GATTCAATTCTAACTAGCTATGTTTCAATCCTTCTAGCAGTTTCTCTTTATCATCCTATGTTTGGCCCTGGGGATTCATCAGAATTCATACGCAATGGTAGTCAAGTCTTGAAGATTCCTGGATGAGGTGTCTCTGTAGACATATTTAACCAGCTGCTGTGTGCAGAGAGAACACTGTCCTAGAAGGGAGAAATAGCGCTTGCAGCAGGACAGCTGGAGACAAGCTGGTAATGACGCCACCAAGCACTATAGCAGACCCCGTGGCCAACAACCACCTATAACTCCAGTTCCAGGGACTCTTAACACCTGGCCTCCGTGGGTACCAGGCACACACAGTGTGATGCTCAGCCATAAAGACACTCACGCATACCCATAATAAGTCTAATAATAATGGCCATAGAACTCAATGTTCACACATCACGTATGAACTTTTATTGTTGCCGTGACAAAATATCTGACAGAGCAACTTAAAGGACATGGGATTTGTTTAGGCTAGATGTTTGAGAGAGTACACCCCACCATAGCCCAAAAGAGTGTGATGGAATTCACAGAGGTAAGAGTAGGAGTAGCCTAAATACCTCAAGATCCTCCCCTACAGCCCTACATCCACCAGCTAAATCCTATGTCCAGAAGGTTCCACATGTTTCCAAGACAATGCCCACTAGCTGGAGACCTAAGTATAAATGAGTCTGAGAATCATTCCATATTCAAGCTGTAACACATAATCAAAGAGAAAGTAAGCCGAAAATGGTAACAGCAACAAATCTGACTGAAACTGTAAGATGAAAAACCTTTTTAAAATAGCTGAGAAAAAGTTTGAAAAAATATCTGAATCAAATGATCATGGCTTATCCTAATAATAAATAATTTACAGAAATTAATAGTAAATATATGATGATAATACATCAGGACATGATTATCTGAATATCACAAACTATAGCAATTAAAAGCACCAAGACGATGTCTGAATTTAAGTGCTTAAAAAAATTAAGTGGCGCATGCCTTTAATCCCAGCACTCAGGAGGTAGAGGCAGGCGGATCTCGGTGAGTTTGAGGCCAGCCTGATCTACAAGAGCTAGTTCCAGGACAGCCTCCAAAACCACAGAGAACCCTGCCTTAAAACCACCCCCCTACAAAAAAAGAAAAAAATTAAGTGCCGGACAGTGTTGGCACAAGCTTTTAATCTCAGCACTTGAGAGGTAGAGGCAAGTGGATCTCTGAGTTCAAGGCTAGTCTAGTCTATGGAGTCATTTCCAAGACAGAGATACACAAAAAAGCCTGGTCTTGAAAAGCAAAAAGTAAAAAAATAAGCAACATTTAACAATGTGGACTTTTGTGGCACAGAGAACAGCAGACAATATACCAGGTACATTCAGCATATATGGGTGAAACAGTCATGTAAAAAATCTACATATAGGGCTGGAGAGATGGCTCAGAGGTTAGGAGCACTGACTGCTCTTCCAGAGGTCTTGAGTTCAATTCCCAGCAACCACATGGTGGCTGACAACCATCTACAATTCAATCTGGTGTATATGTAATAAATAAATAAATCTTTTTAAAAAAATCTACATATAGGCAGAATATATAAAATACAGCATTATTAAAAATCTAAGAATAGTGGGAGTATGTGGACACTTTATTTTTGGACACATACTTTCCCTGAATGAAAAAAATTCACCAAACTACAAGTATGATTGTGTTGAAGAGCCAAATCTGGGGTGACTTTCATGAAACTTTCTAATGAAAACGGCAAGTATAATTTCCAAAAAAATGTCCTTGAAGATTATGATAATTTTTACAGAAAAAATGAATAGTGGGGAAAGTTGAAACTTTAAATACATAGCCTGTGTGGAGGGTTAGAGAACTCCTGAAAGCAACGGAGATTAAATGTACACGTTATTCACCCTTCATCCCAAAGACAATACAGTATCCTGGACAGGGCAGGATGGGCCACGCAATAGTCAGCCCACTGGCCCCTATAAGAGATGGTGTCAGAGAAGGAAGGCCCCAGGGGTTGGATGGAAAAAGGGCCACTTCTGTTTAGCCTCTCACACCAGTCAGAGAATGGGCAGCACCCTGGGCTGGGGAAGATGAATGCTTTAATTGGCTAACTTGTTTGTATTCCCATGGTGAGTCCCCCTGGGGGCATAGAGATGGTAGCCGGCCACACCTCACAAAGCAGCCTGGGTGCCACAAGTGTCCAGGGCATTGTCCTTCTTTCATGCTGGCCTTTGCTAGACAAGCTGGAAAAAGTTACTGTGCCTGGGCCCCGGCAGAAAAAATCCACCGTATGTGCTCAACCAGACTTCCCTTGGGTATGAGACCACAGCCAGGAAGCACTAATCTGTGTTTTTCTAGTAAACAACCTACTTCTACTTCCCCTCTGCCCCTTGCTCCCCTCCCCTTTGGCAGCTGCCTCCAGTCCGCCTTCTCCCTGGTGGTGGCTTCACTGTTCATCTCCAGCCTTCATGATCACTCATGCGCTCAGAGCCCTGGACTGAGATGTGCCAAGTGGTAAAAGTTCTTCAGGACTGGGCCTGGCCTCTGTCTAGGCTCTGTCCCCCTGGTCTTCCAAGCAAGGAGACTGTGTGTTGCCCCCGGGCCAACCAGGAGGTAGACACAGCTCACTAGCAACGTGTGGGTGGAGGGCCTTTTAGAGAAAGCCCAGGCCCACAATGAGATCAGCCAGGTTCACTCCCTGGCCTGACTACCTTTTCCCAGCTTGTAACTGGGATGATAAATACTCTTTTAAAAGCTGTTAGGATTCTTTAGTGCATGCGTGTATGTGTGTGGGCATGTGTGTTTATGGCACACGTGTGATCAAACGACAATTTGCAGAAGTAGGTTCTTCCCTTCTACTATGTGGGTTAGGGGATTGAACTCGGCTCCTCAGGCTTGGTGGCAAGCGCCTTTACCTGCTGAGTCCTCTCCTCAGCCTAAGAAAAACATTCTTGGCAGGAACAGACTAGATATGTACCCCACGTTCTGCACGTTTGATCTAATGGATAGATTTTGCAGGATAGAGGCAGGCCCTTTCCCCTTACACAAAGGCAATCTGGCTACACCCTCCCTCTCTAGCTAAATGTGAAGACGTCTAGCCTCCATCCCACTTTCCTACCCTCTGCTGGGTAGCTCCACTTATCGACGGAGACCCAACCCAGGGCTATCCCAGTTAGGCCAGAACAGTACTGTTTACAACCTTGCTTCTTTTACTCTCAGTTGGCTTGGATCATAAATTACCTCATTATCCTACTTCCAGTCAATGCCAGGCGGGCACATACACACAACTGCCCTTCTGGTCCTTTAACCACAGAGACGTCTTCCACACTCTTCCTCAGAAGAGAAAGCCCAGGCCTGCCTCGAATCCTTGCTGTGTGGAGACCTGTGCCGATCCTGATACATCCTCTCCCTTTTGTCCCTACTGCCAATGACTGTGTCAGGAGCTGAGGTGTGGCTCAGTGGTAGAGCACTTGCCTGATGAGGGGGAGACCTTACCACCTGCAAAATAAAATAGTAGTCGTCTATTTCAGTCACAAATACTGTGGAGTCCTGCCAGGGCTGTTCCAAATCAGACGTACAACCAAAGCTCCTCAGGGTCAGGCACGGTGACGCTGCCAGCTATGTCCAAAGCCCTTCAGCGTCAGGCACAGTGATATTGCGGGTTTCATCTGCTGTCTACTCTTTCACCCTCCTACGTTCCTCCCCCAGGCTCCCACAGCCTGCCAGTGTCTTCCTACATGTCTCCGTGTACTTGCTTTTATATCATCCTCTCTGCTCTGCCATTCTTCTTGGCCTTTATCCTCTTCCTAGACCTGGCCTGAAGCACTGACTTCAGCAGCCCTTTCCTGTCAGCAGTACAGCCTTGCTTCTAAGCGCTAGGTGGACTTTGTTTTAAACATGGACCACACCATGGCACACACGGCCTGTCTCTCCCCACCTCAGCGTTGGGTCTGAGGTCAAGAATGCTTTTCTTGAAACACAGAGAACAATGCCTGCCACATGGAGAGGTCACTACTAACGGAAAGGGAACAAACAAAACTGGCCATCCCCCACCCGGAATTCCAGGGTTGCTCAATGTGTCAGTCACTCATTCTTGGTGGCAACAGAAGTGACTCTGGGAAGGCATGGTTAACATTAGCTCCAACACAGCCTGTCAGGGGATGGATATGTGTTATGAATTTGGGTGTAGCTCCCTGAGGAGAAAGCGTGTCTTCCCTCACCCCACCCTCTTGCTATCCCACGCAAGCGGACATCTTGCACACCCTTATCCACGAACCCTCTCCTTCCCCTCTGTCCACAAGGGGTCTCTGAGTTCCTATCTCATGATTTAGAATAGCAAAACTGTTGTTTTGTTAGGAGCCATTTGGGGTCATTTTTTGTAAGAGGTTAGGACCTGTTTGACTTACCAGCAGAGCACTCCAACTACGACTTCCCTCTCTAGCTTTAACCCTTCCACACGGCTCTGAACTAGAGCAGAAATGCCGTTCCAGGTGACACATCTAGATCTTCATTCCAGGAGGCTAATTGGTCTTGGGGGAGGGGGTCAATTCTTCATCAGGAACCGTGGGAGGCTCCCTCAACCTCTAGGCCTCCCCTGTATGCTACATGGCAGAGCAAATTAGAGACCAGATGAGGCATTGTTTTTCCTTAGAAGCCCTTTGGGCCTGGTCTGACTCCTCCCCTCTAAACACTAGGAAACAAGAGCAACTCCTGGTGAGATCTGAGAACTGGTTAGGGTTCTACGGCACCCACTGCCCCTGGCCCAGATAACAGGCCAAGCACCTATTATCAATGAGCCACCAACGCTGAGTGGCCACAGGACTCCCACCCCTAAGGACATCTCCTCACAGTAACCAGTTGTGAAGCCCCCTTTGGACCAGGCCCAACTTGGAAGCCTCCATTTCCACCACAGAGGTCTGCCCCTCCCGCCCCACACTCTTCTCTCCCTCCACCTTCCTGCTCACCCCTTCGCCTCAGCCTGGGGTGACAGGAAGGGAGGTGCTGGGCACCGGCCTTGAAAAGCAAACCCCCTTCTGCTCAGAGAGAACTGCACTGCTCCAGGGTGCACGCTGGTCCAGTGACCCTGGCCATGCAGTTCACCGAGGCCTGGAGCCACAGCTGGGGCACCACGTCCTGGGACTATTACTATTCGGGCTCTGGCTCCCTGGATCAAATGGAGCTTTGCCCGGCTTGGGACCTGCCCTATGGCCACGCCATCATCCCTGCGCTCTACCTGGCGGCTTTCACCGTGGGTCTGCCAGGCAACGCCTTCGTGGTGTGGCTGCTGAGCGGGCAGCGCGGGCCCCGGCGACTGGTGGACACCTTCGTGCTGCACCTTGCGACCGCCGACCTGGGCTTCGTGCTCACACTGCCACTGTGGGCCGCGGCGGAGGCCCGGGGCGGCCTCTGGCCCTTCGGCGACAGCCTGTGCAAACTCAGCAGCTTCGCGCTGGCGGCCACACGCTGCGCGGGTGCGCTGCTGCTGGCCGGCCTGAGTGTGGATCGCTACCTGGCGGTGGGCCGGCCGCTGAGCGCGCGGCCACTGCGGAGCCCGCGCTGTGTGCGAGCCGCGTGCTGCGGCGCCTGGGCTGCGGCGTTCCTGGCCGCTCTGCCCGCCTTGCTCTACCGCGGGCTGCAGCCGAGCCCCGATGGCGTGGGCAGCCAGTGCGCCGAAGAGTCTTCCGACGCGCTCCAGGGCCTCGGCCTGATGCTGCTGCTGCTGACCTTCGCGCTGCCTCTGGCTGTCACCCTGGTCTGCTACTGCCGCGTGTCACGCCGCCTGCCGCGCGTGGGGAGAGCCCGGAGCAATTCGCTGCGCATCATCTTCGCCGTGGAAAGCGTCTTCGTTGGCTCCTGGCTGCCCTTCGGCGTCCTGCGCGCAGTCTTCCACCTGGCGCGCCTGCGGGCGCTGCCGCTGCCCTGCGCGCTGCTGCTGGCGCTGCGCTGGGGTCTGGCTATCGCCACCTGCCTGGCTTTTGTCAACAGCTGCGCGAACCCGGTCATCTACCTCCTGCTGGACCGTTCGTTCCGTACCCGGGCCCGGTTCGGGGTGTGCACGCGCGCCGGGCGCCAGGTACGCAGGATCAGCTCAGCATCCTCGCTCTCCAGAGATGGCAGCTCGGTGTTCTGGGGCCGGTCCCCAAAGATGAACTCTGCCTCCGCCTGGTAGCTTTCCCGGGGCGGTGCAGATGGAGCGGCCGGGCCGCGGACTGTCCATCAGCTTTCTCAGAGCTGTCTGCTGTTTGAGCAGGCCGATTGGCGTGGGAAGGGTGGGGGTGTTCCCTTAATTTTCCCCAGGGCGAGAAAGGCTGTAGACACCCACCTGGAGAAGTGCGGGTTCCTCCGTAGATGTGAGGGAAGTGGGTTTTCCTCTCTGCTTCATTTGGTGTAGCTCAACCCAAACATCCAACCCAGACTCTCAAGGACCCTTCTTGTCCCTGACTATTCTTGCCCCTGCAAAAGCCTTAGCCCTCTGAGAAATTTCTTCTCTAGCACTGCCGCCTCAAAAACGTTCGGTAGAACGAGAGGAGGGACTGCTCCCTTCGCTCTGGTCATCTCCATAGCTGTATTGCCTGAATCCTTTCTCATCCCCAAGTTGGATTTTCATTTTCAAAAGCTCACCAAAGACATGGGTACCAATTCCAGTGTGAGCTACCCAATTTTGTCCTTCCCGCCTGTTCCCTCAGAGTGCCTACCCTTCTGTGGTAATCCTTTTCCCCTCTGGAGAGGCTGTTCGGGCCCTCCTTCTGATTGCTGGAATCTGAAATTCTCAGCGGGTGTTCAGATTCCCCGATCGCTGAGCCAGGGACCCCAGGTTCTTCTGTGAGTTCTCATCTCAATAATAATAATAATAACAATAAACCATTTGTTAGCCACAGTTGGCAACTGTGTCTTGACTTGAGCAGCAAGAGTGAAATGGGTGTCAGAAAGTGTGTCACACAGTCAGACAAAGCTCAGCTCAGAAGCTGAGGTACCTCAGGGCGATGGTTTGTGTGATGGGGGGGGAGGACCAGCTGCACCTGAGTCAGGGTACTCTCAGGAGGGCAGAGAACTGCTTATGCTTTTACAGGCATCTCACATCTTGAAGGTTGCGAGATGAAAGGGAAAAAAACTGAGGAAGATGTACACCATCTGCCTGCCAGGTGTCATTTCAAAGAAGAGATGTGTAATTTTGATTTTTAAATGTGGTCCAGGCTTTCCCCCATTCTCTGGGAGCCCTTCCAATACAAATGTTTAGAATTAACCATTTCAGACTCTGGTTTATCCTTTGAGGCTTCTGGAAGGCTTAGAAAGGAAATGTTTTTATTTGAGAAACGTCTTGATCGGCGAGGCGAAGGGATTCCGTGATCAGGCTGTTCCTGAGAACTGCATCCTGCCAGACTGTGGATCTTGAAGTAGCCACAGAGACTGATGCGTCCGTGCTAGGTTAGATCTGGAGACGGGCATCTCTCAGGCTGTTTAGCCTCCTCTCTCTTCACCTAGCGCCACTGCGTTCCCTCTAGCATTTGAGACTATTGGTTTGGAGTATGTTTAGCCACACAGCCCACCTTGACCCCACCTTGCAACTGCTCTTGTGAAAAAGAACATCACTGCATGTCCCCCTTGGAACAACAAGGCTTGCAGCCTATGGTCACCTGGGCCAGCAGCAGGGTGTTCTTCGGGTACTTCCAACTGTGAGGGCTCATTTATACCATAGTCCTTCCTGTCCTCACTATTGTCTTCTCCTGTGAAGGCTCTAGGGCTTCCAGGACAGGGGTGCTGACCCTAGTGTGTGTCTAGACCGAAGCTTACAGAGTAGGCATTGCTCTAGGCTGCTGGGACAGAGCTCCCCCAAGTTCCTTTCTACTTTCTCAGTCGAGCTCCCTGAAGACAGACAGGCAGACAGGCAGAAGGCTCCTCAAGTCCATGGGAAGTTTTCATCTCCCCTCCTGCAGTGCTTACTGAAAACTGGCGTCTACCGCAGCATAGAACTATGCATGGGCTCTCATGGGCCCCTCATTCCATGGAGGATGAGCTCCCACTTCCTGGTGAGGGAGACCAGGCATAGATGCAGGAACTAATAATAGGTTGTGGATGGAGAACGAACTAGATTCTTTTAGAAAGCAGTTGGCAGGGCTGAAGAGATGGCTCAGAGGTTAAGAGCACTGGTTGCTCTTCCAGAGAACCCAGATTCAATTCCCAGCACCCACATGGCAGCTCATAGCTGTCTGTAACTCCAGTTCCAGTGGATCTGACACCCTCACAAAGACATGCAGGTCAAAAAAAGAGAGCAGTTGATCCATCTTCATCAAGAACTCTACCTCCAATCCCAGCACGAGGGAGGTAATGGCAGGTGAATCTCTGTGAGTTCCAGGTCAGCCTGGTCTACAGAGTGAGTTCCAGACAGCCAGGGCTGTTACACAGAGAAACCCCATCTTGAAAAACAGAAATTAAAAAAATAAAAAGTGCATATTCCAACCCCTCAAATGTCCACACTAGTCCCTCATTATGCAGTAATCCTAAGCAATGAAAGTTGGATGACTGAATAAGAGGAGTTTTTAAAGATTTAAACCAAGAAGAAAAAAAAAAAACTCTAAAGTGCTATGCTTTTATGACTTATAGACCAAAACACAAAATTTAAGGTAGCATTCAATGAGAAATCAGAAAATGTTCGTAGTAAGTTTCCAAGAGAAAGAAGGTGAAGTTTCAGCAGTTAAATAACCTCACACTTTGATTTTTAAGGATGCAAAACTGTCAGCACTGGCCTCCTTGAAGGAAAACGTTACATGTCTCTTAGTTAGGGTGTTATTGCTGTGATAAAACACTGTGACCAAAAACAGCTTGGGGAGGAAAGGGCTCATCTCAGTTTTCAGTTCCACATCACACGGCATCGCTGAGGGAACTTGGGTCAGGAACTCAACAGGGCAGAAACCTGGAGGCGGGAGCTGATGCAGAGGCCGTGGAGAGGGGCTCCTTACTGGCTTGCTCCACATGTTTTACTCCGTTCACTTTCTTATACCATCTAGGACCACCTTCCCAGGGGTGTCACCACTCACAATGGGCTGAACCCTGAAACATCAACCACTGGTTAAGAAAATACCCCCACAGACTTGCCTACAGGCCACTCTAGTGGGGGCATTTTCTCCATTAAGATTCTTTTTTTCCCCCAAATGACCATAGCTTATGTCAAGTTGATATAAAATTAGCCAGCTGAGCCTCCATTGGATCAACGCTACCTTTACTTTCTTATCCCTCATGGTTTAGGCATCATAGGTAAGATCTTTTCTCCTGCTGTTCACCAATAGAATACCAGGTATCTCATTTATTGACTTATTGGTCTCTCTCATCATAACATGCACTCCATGATTCCAGATAATTTTGTTGCTTGATTTCACGCTGTGTACCCAGTACCTAGAGCAGGTGTTCCTTCACTACTGCTAAATGAACAACTACAAGGACTATGTCATCATGCGAGACAATGAGAAAATTGAAAGAGATGCTATGCATGATAATAGTTATGCTTTATTAAAGGGCACAGAGAAGGGATAGAGAAAATGCAATAAATGTGAGAATTAGGAGAATTATCAAGCCTTCCCCCTCCATTTTGTTTGTAAAAATGTTCATAAGCGTTTAAGGGCATATACTGATAGTTCCAATACAAAGAGGCTAAATTTAGATCAGGATCTTATGCCCCATGGTCACATCCAGTTGCCTGTCCCTGGGCCCCTCCGTGAGGCTTCTGAGCTGAAGACTAGGGCTGATCATATCTGCTCGGCTGCATCATAGACCAAAGGAAATGATGTTCTTGAAAGCACTCTGTAAGTGCTGCTGTTTCAGACAGATGTGCCCCAAGAGCACGTCCCCAGGATGAACATGTTTCAGGCCCCGCTCTCCCTCCCCAGGTCTGTGAGGCTACCTTAGCACTGAAAAGGTCGGCATCTTGGCTGAGGCTGTAACTCAGCAAATAAGGCCCTTACCTAGCAGGTAAAAAGCTAGGTTCCATGGTGAGGTGGGGGCAGCGGCAGGGAAAGGAGGGGAGGGGAGAGAAGAAGAGAGAGAAACTCCACATCCAGGCAAAGGCTGGCATGTGTCTCTGTATCGTTCTTAATCTGCTTCTTGTGACTAATTCTGACCTTTCTCCTCACCTCCCTCGACCCCATGGGTCTGTTCTCAGGGCCCAGTGTGGGAACTGGGCCCAGACTGATGAGTGATCTGGGGAGTTCAGAAGGCTGGCAGAGCCAGGGCGCACGTTGGTTGGTTGATGTCTGAAATGACTCAGCTTCCCTCCCCACGGCGGGCAGAGGGACCTGGACACTGTGAAGGCATCTCACTTGTGGGATTTTCTCAGGTCTCCCTGGGCTGAGAGGCCTGCAGGAGACTACTTGCAGTCCTCACCTGACCTCCAGACTCAGCAACTGGAACAAAGGAGGGCCAGACCAGGAAACGCTGATAACTTCCAGGGAAGGAGAAATCCAAGGTGTGAATTATGCTTCCTCTCCATTACCTCCAAAATCAAAAAGAATTTACGAGTTTGTAATTATTCCGCCTGAGACTTATGTCTACAACACGTCACTGGATTTTAGCGGTCTCAGCCAGTTTTGTCCATTCTAAGGAGACCAAGAGCCAGAGACGGGAGTCACCTGTTTAAGGTAACAACCCCTTCATCTGTGCGGGGGAGGGGGGAATACTTGCACGAACGCTTTGCCTTCCCATCGTTGAGCAGAATGCACTGAGCCTGGGAAAGTAAAGGACCAGGGGCAAGACCACAGACCAGCAAACGGCTCAGCGGCTCAGCCGTAACCTGCCTGTTGGTCCTGTCCCTGTGACTCCTCCCTTGTGACACACAGAGGCACCTTCTCCATTTTGAACCTAGCTCAAATGGACAACTCCCTGACCTCTTCTTTCTTGAAAATGTTAAGATTTTCTGCTGGGCTTGGTGCCTTTAATCCCAGCACTCAGGAGGCAGAGACAGACATATCTCTAAGTTCCAGGCCAGCCTGGTCTACATAGTGAGTTCCAGGCCAGGGCTACACAATGAGACCTTTTCTTAGAGAGAGAGGAAGAGTGTGTGTGTTAAGATTTCCCTGCACTAATTATAAAAGTAATAAAGATTCTTTGAATGTTGGTTTGTGAGATTTTATTTTATTTCGTTTTGTTCTGAAACAGGATGTCATAGTATGTTGCCCAGGCTGATCTCAAACCCCTAAAGGCTCAAATGAGCCTTTATTAGTCTGCTAAGTGATTGGAATAGTAGGCACGAACCACCGAACATATACTTTTCTATGGAACTGTAGTAAGACAGTAGAAAATGTGTTATAGGAAAGAATGCTGAGGAGGGAATACTAAGAAGGGATTCGAAAGGTAGTAGGGGAAGGAGGAGAGCTATCCAGGGATGTATGAAGAAGTTTTATGAAACCCCACTAGTTGGTAAGCTAATTAAAAATAAGATAAACGGGGGAGGGGCTGGAGAGATGGCTCAGAGGTTAAGAGCAATGATTACTCTCCCAGAGGACTTGGATTCAATCCCCAGCACTCACATGGCAGTTCACAAATGTCTCTAGCAAGATCTGGCACCCTCACACAGATATATATATATATATATATATATATATATATATATATATAGGCAAAACACCAATGCAAATGAAATAAAAGTAAACAGATTATTTTAAAAAGCGAAATATAATAAACGAAGGGGAAACGAAGGAAACACCGAGTGTGGGTGAGAATACAACTCCCCAGGAGGCAGGGGTTATCAGATGAAAATCCCAGTGCTAGGCATGGGCTACCTTCCTACAATTTACTGCTCAGGGCGTCCCCAGAGGCAGCCCAACAATGCAGGGTATTGCTGTTGCTCTTGGTTGCCAATGATGACTAGATGGTATGACCCTGTTGCTAAAGACAACACACAGTTTGGTTGCAGGACATAAAGAAATTGATCGTGAACTGGCCAGGAGTCTCTGAGGGTGGCTAGCTTTCACAGTGCGGGAAGGACTATGCAGGTTGATGGAGAAGAAAAGACAACAAAGGCCTTGTTCAGTACTGGCTCCTGTGTAGTACAATACCATCCTCCAGGCAAGATGTGCCCACTGGAGCAACAGTGGCCAGACAGCTTATAGGGGTCGCCAAATGCTCCCTTGATTAGATTTGAGGCCTGCTCTAAAGGATTTAGAGAATTTATTTCAGTCAGGGTTCTATAGAGTAACAGAATTTATATAATTAATCTCTCCCCACCCCTGTGTGTGTGTGTGAATACAGGTGTATGCATATGCATGCTTGCACACAAGAGCCTGAGTGTGTGTGTGTGTATGTGTGTGTGTGTGTGTGTGTGTGTGTTAACATAGGTGTATGAGCCCAAGAGAGATAGTAAGAACCCATTTGGGGAGAGGGAGCCCATATTCAACCCTGGATAAATTCCTAGATGTGAAATTATTAATTTTTAATTATAATTCTTAAAGACTGCTTTTACAGAGTTCAATCTTGAACTCAGAGTTCTCAGCCTCCTGCATGCTTGTATTTTAGGAGTGACTCCCATACCTGACCCTTAAGTAAATTTACTCATTAGAGATTCTGAACAGCCTGAGGTTTGTGTGTGGGGGTGGGGGTTGTGGTTTGTCGCAGGAGATGTGATAGACAGAGGTGATTCATATAGCTTTCCCGACTGTCCTCCATGATGGGCAGACTCCCCATCTCCCTTCTACATGCCTGTCCCAAACAAAACCAGGATTCGCAGGGAACGCCTGACTGAGGACCGCCTATTCCAGATCCCAGGATCATGAAGGCTCAGCACTGTGTGGCTAGCTTGCCAGATCAAAATCCGCACTCCTCCCTTCCTCCCCTCCCCCCTCTCTCCTTCTCTTCCTCTCCTCCCTCCCTCCCTCTTTCTTCTTCCCTCTTTCCCCCTCCTTCCTGGCTCTCTTTCCTTTAAACTAAGCTTTGTTCTTTACATAACTCAGTGCCCCCAATCTCTCAAGTCTCCACCCCTGAAATTATTACTACAAATAAAGCTGTGATAGCAAAAGTGTGATAACTCAAGAACTTTTTCTCTAATTGCGAGAACTTTCCCGTCTGTACATCTTTCCAAACCTTCTCAAGCGTGGTCTCATGAGTGCCATTGTCCTCATGTGGTGTTTGGCTTTTTCCTCTTAGATTTCTTTTGTTATTTTATGTGTATGGTGTTTTGCCTGCATGTATGTGTGTATACTATCTGTGCACAGCATGTGTGTCCTTGCTGCATGAGGAGGCCAGAAGAAGGTATCAGATTCCCCCAGCACCTGTGGGAATCTGCGAGCAACCATGTGGGTGTTGAGAATTGGACCCAGGTCCTTTGCAAGAGCAAAGCGTGCTCTTAACCTCTGAGCGACCCTTCCAGCCCTGGTTCAGCCTTTTCTTTCTCACAGCACTCCATGCGTTCTTCCTACATCTCAATGTAGATTTCAGAACGGTGATAGGCCATAGTATGATTAGCTATCCCTCCTTTTCTGGATGTTGAAACTGCTGGGGGGATTTTGCTCTTATCACCATGCTGACATGAGCATCTTTCCCCTACAGTTGGGGACTTGCTTGGAACATTTGGGTCAAAAGTGAACAGACACCTGCTGCCTGCGCCTGGCCTGGGCTCTCCCCCTTTGTGGCTCTATCGTCTAGAAGCCAGAACTCAACAGCAGCGCCGTGGACTGATGAAAACACATCATGGAAGCACGTTAACAAGCAGCAGAGCGCACTAATGAAAGCAAAGGTGACAGTCACAGCTTCTGCCGCCGCCACCTGGGCTCAAGCCCGTGCTCTGCATCTCACGGTCTTTGTGACTTTAGCTAAGTTAGCCAATCTCTTCCATGTCACAGTCCTCATCTGTAAATCTGGGATAATGCTTCTATCTTACAGGGTAGATGAAGGGTTAAATGTGTTGGTATGTGGAGTGTTCAGGATTATCCCAAACATAGTAAGCATTGTATGTGCTGCAATTACCAGTAGTGAATAAACCACAGGATATTTGCTAAGTAGCATTGAATGCAGCTGTGGTTTAGGATATCGCCTCTCAAATGCACTGAATGAACAGAACTGTTATTTGTAATTCCTTGTTTCAGTAAGGCAGGCCACGGGACTCCTGCGGTGACATAGACTCCCAGTTCTACAAAACAACAGTTAATAATTTGAGTCTCCATCCTATTCACAAAAAGACAGCAAATGTGGAGTTAGTGGTATAAAAGAGGGAAATAAGAGTCAGCTGTCCTTAAGCTGAGGGTAAAAAATTTTTTTGCCCATTGAAACTAAAGCTTATGTGATGAATTCTGTGCTGTGACTTTTGTGTTTCTGTGTTTCTAGAGAGTGACTGGTGTGTCCCAGGGATAGAAGCCTGTGAGTAGACCATGAACACTTCCGGGGCCTAGAGAGGCCACTTAGAAGTTAAGAGCACTCATGCTCTTGCAGAGGACCTGGATTAAATTCCCAGCATCCACATGGCAGCTCATAACCATCTGTAACTGTAGCGCCAGGGAACCTAACACCCATTTCTGGCCTCCACAGGTATGAGGCACATAAACACTCATGCATATAAAATAAAATTTTTATTTAAAAAATACGTTTCAGAGCTCAGAATGAACCCCGAGATGAGATGAACTTCCCCATAACAACACCTTTATTGAAGAGCCACACCCCTGCAGCGTCTGCTGCCTTCTGTCCCAATACTGCTACAGGTCAGAGGTCAGGAGACTTCTTGGACCCCAAACCTCAAAGATTGCAAACCCATCCATGCCTCTTCTCCAGACACATTGCTTTTTTAGTCTTAATAAAAAACAAAGCATCAACAAGGAAATATAGAGACCTAGGGACATGCTAACAATTACTAAGTCTAGGGATGTGGTTCATCTGGCTCAGTGCTTGTTTAATACCCACATAGGCCTGGGTTTGAGCCCCAGTACCATAAAGACCAGGCATGATGGCTTATGCTTGTAACCCAAGTACTTCTGAGGTAGAGGCAGAAGGATCAGAAGTTCAAAGACACCCTCATCTACATAGCAAGTCTGAGGCCAACCTGAGCTACATAAGACCCTGTCTCTCTCAAAAAATATATTTTTTAATCTGAACAGTGGTGGCACATGCCTATAATCCCAGCACTTTGGAGACAGGTGGATGTCTGTGAGTTTGAGGCCAGCCTGGTCTACAAAGCAAGTTCCAGGATAGCCAGGGTTGTTATACAAAGAAACCCTGTGTTGAAAAAAAAAACATTTTTTCCTAAGTCTACATGATAGGTAAAGGGGAATTCATTAGCTAGACTGACCCTCCCCTCTGTGACCATCTCTCCACCAGCAACTTCCCACTAGAACTCTTCAGTCCATGTGGTTATGAGCAAATAGACACAGTGCTTTGACCTAAGTGACCTCACAGAGGACTGGGGACGGCCAGGGGTTGGGGTCAGAGCTGGGAGAGCGAGGGAGGGAGGAGAAGGAAGTCACACTTGGTCCATTTCCACTGAGTACACAGCTATCATCCGACCTCAGTGAAAACCCTCCTTCCTCTTTTCTCATCGTGCTTAATACATCCTAAGAGCAGCCAAAGAGGTGAGGTGTTAATTTGTCTCTGGCGGACCCAGCCGCAGCTCCGGCTCAGCCTCAACACCGGGGGAATCTAGCTCTTTGAAGCAGCTAGTCACTAAGCCACAGGAAGTGGAGGATGGCCACTGGCAAACAGGTCTGGACCTTCAAAAATATAGCCACACAGAAATCTAAGCATTGCTTTCCTGAGGGTTAGAAGCGAGGAAGAAGAAAATGGGGTGTTTCGTCAGGCTGAAAATGTAAGAAAATATCTCTTTAAAAATCGCTACTTCTCACTGGATGTTTCCTATGGGCAAAGGATAATACCAAACAGTGTTTTATCTGCACGGGGTCACTGTCGCAGCCATGGGGGTGGGGGTGGGAACAGGGGTGGGGGTGTCCCAACACACCTACTTTACAGAGGAAGAAACTGAGGCACTCTGACAGAATTTCTTGTAGCCTACTGCAGCTAGGCAGGTGCTCTACCACTGAGCTGCACTCCCAGCCCCGAGCACACACTTTTAATGTGTCTCCTAAATTACCTACCTGAGCCACTTGACATCATAAAATGTTAAAAGACGGTAGCCCTGAGTGGTTAAGACACTACCGTAGGGAGCATCTGCCATTTCAGATCTTTTTTAGTTTAATTGTTCTTCCTGATATTAAATGAGAAAAACTATTAGGAAGGCTATTGTCTGGGCTGAGCTCCCACACTGGGCCCACATATCAGACCAATCGAGTCACTCACTAAAGCTCAGTAGCATGGAACCAAATCCTCAAACTGGATGCGTTTGCTGGGCGAGGTAAGCGAGTGCTGTAGAGCTGCCCCGTAGAGACTCTCACCAGACTGACCTGACAGCGGCCCGCTGCTTTCTCAGCCCCTGTCTGCTTTCTTCGCCCTTCTCTGAGATCCCACTCTCAGCCAACCAGGGTCTTATCTACATGTTTAGAAGGAACATCTTCCCTATTCACAATGCATCATAAAAATCCTCAGGACCTACACTGAATGTGTTATGCTCAGTTTCTTGCAAGCAATAAAGCCAGCCTGTGGTGAGCATAAGGACCGTCACACACAACACACCTGCTAAGGGCCAGTCGTCAGGCTGCAGTCCCTGGCAGGACCTAAGGCCCTAGGCTTGCCCCCTGGCTTGGAGAAGAATTCTGTCTTACCCCACTACCAGGGAGGAAACAGACAAGACCAGACAGATCAGTCTCTAGACCCCATTGTAGCTGACTTCAAGCAAAGCTTTCCCGAGGAACCAGGACGATTTTTCAGAGCAGATCATCCTTGAGGTGTGGGTATCCTGTGTTGGATGCAGCCCCAGCAGCCCAAGATTAACATCTATCTCTCCTCCACTGTATTTAATTTTATCTTAAAAAACAAAAACAACAGCAAACACCAAAAAGCAAAAAACAACCCATAAGTCACTCCTACCTTAAAATTTCAGATCTTCTTTAGGCTTCCAGAAATGGTAGGATAAGAGCTGAAGGGCTTGGTGGTCCTCAAGAGGCTGGAAGTTAGTGAGAGCTTGGGCTCATAGTGATAGAGGGGTCAGAAGTGATCCAAGCATGGCCATAGGGAGAGGAAGAGACCCAGGCTGGGTAGCCCCTCAGCCCTCCCCCTATCACACAGAACACCACAGATCCAGACCAATTGTGACCAGGTCTAGCGGCAATTGCCACCCTGTAATGGTCTCACCTAGACGAATGAGCTTAAGTAGGGACAGAAGGAAGCATGTCAGCTTCTACCCGGAGCACCGAGGACACCCTAAGGCAATCCTGTGCAATTCCGGGAGCTACCCACCCTCCCGGAGTCCAGCCTGGACATCAAGAGTTCTAGCCATAGTTGCAGTAGCCTCCAGGCAGTAAGTGTTGGCACCTGCCCCAGCTTGCAGGATGCGGTCAGGAGAGGAAGCAGGCCTTGGCCCAGTCATTCTGGGGTTTCCAGAGAGCTACTTGCCAAGACATTGATAAGACAGTGTCTGGGTGGCTAACCATGACCTTCTTTTCCCACACCTGGTTCTTAGAGTCCAGGGGGAGACCGTGTGGGGTGATTTCTCCCCTCTGCGAGGCCTGAGGTCAGAAGGACAGGGCAGAGCAGCTTCTAAAAGGCAGGACAGGAAGGACCTGGGGCCCCTCCCTCTGAAGGAGGCTGCTGGGGTACAGACATGTCCAGCTTCCAGGCAGCTTTCAGAGGGCTGTGAGATCTCGCTCTCCCTGAACAAGAAGTCAGTTTCTGATCTTCTAGAATGTCCATCTGCTAGAAGAGGGCCTTTGCCTCTCAGCCAATTCGGAAAGAGGAGAAAATGAACGGAACTTAGCTGACTCTCCTGATTTACAGCTTCCATCAACCTCCAGTTGCTCAGGGCTTGGGTTTGTGCAGCCAGAATCCCTGCTTCTCCAGCCTGCCTTTTGCAACTTGTATGCATAGCCAAGGCTCCAACCTAGGCTCCCCAGGCCTCTGCTGTGATGGGACAGTGGCATCGTCTAAGGGACGTACATTTATCCAACTGCTTGAGGTTTTTTGGTTGGTTTTTAAGACAGGATTTCTCTTTGTCCAGGAACTCGATCTGTAGACCAGTCTGACCTGGAACTCAGAGATCCACCTGCTTCTGTCTCCAAACTGCTGGGATTAAAAGCATGTGCCACCACCACCCAGTAACTGATTGAGTTTTTAGCAAAATGATTGAATATGTCCAGCCTATTTTTTAACAAAAAAATTTGTATTTCCAGATTTTATTTTTAAAACAGATGCATTTTCTTGCGATAACATTTGTGGTGACTGCCCTTTAACACAACCTTCATTTTCTTTTTTTTTCTTGTTTCTTTTTTCTTTCAAGACAGAGTTTCTCTGTATCTTTGGAGGCTGTCCTAGAACTTGCTCAGTAGACTAGGCTGGTCGCAAATTCACAGAGATCCACCTGTCTCTGCATCCCGAGTGCTGGGATTAAAGGTGCGAACCACCGACAAGTTACCATTTGTTTTTATTTCGTGTACATTCATGTTTTACCTGCATGCATGTCTGTGTGAAGGTGTCAGATCCCCTGAAACTGGAGTACAGAAAGGTCTGAGCTGGCATGTGGATGCTGGGAATTGAACCTGGGTCATCTGGAAAAGTAGCCAGCGCCCTTAACAGCTGAGCCATCTCTCCAGCCTCTTTTGGGCTCATCTCATCTCCCTTCCCTAATTCAAACCAAAGCTAAGAATGAGTTTGAGGACCAGAATTCTTACACCTGACATAGTTTATTACTTAACCATTCAGTTCCTTTGGCATCTAAAGTTGTTCAACTAGTGCAAAGCTGTGGCCAAAGAGGCTCCGTCTTCACATTCTAAATCCACCGAGTTGAATGCTTCTGGGCTTTGGTTTCCTCATCTGCCAAATGCAAATAACAGCAGCACGACGAGTGCCACCCTACAAACTCAGGCTTGCAAGACAGACCACTGTAGGGGTAATCTCAGCTGTCAAGCCGATGAGGTTAAGGATCACCATGGAAACAAACCTCTTGCCCTCACAGACATCTATATTGGGTTAACGGAGGTGAGAAGCCTCACCAGAAGTGTGAATGGCACCTGGACTGCAGTGTGGAAAAGGCTGAGTATCAGCTAGTGCCTGCTTCATCATTGTGGGTGCAATGTGAACAGCTGACTTGGTCCTACCACCATGCCTTCCCTGCTACAATAGACAGTGTTGCCTTAGACTGTGAACCCAAATATACCCTTCTTTCCATAAATTACATCTGCCAGGTATTTTGTCCCGGTATTGAGAAGAACAACTAACATAACCATCTTAGACCATTTTTGGCTGCTCTACCCAAATGTCTGAGACTGAGTAATTATTTAAAGAAACAAAAACAAAAACAGTTCTTTGGGGTGTGGTGACGCACAATTTGGGAGGCAGAGGCAGACAGATCTCTGTAAATTGGAAGCCAGACTGTAAACTCTATGCCAGCCAAGGCTATATGGTGAGATCATGTATAAAACAAACAAAAATTCAACAGATAAAAAACAACTTAAAAACCAGAGTTATTTCTAGAGGTCGGGAAGTCCAAGAGCATAGTGCTGCTATCTGGGAAGGGCTCTCTGCTTTTGCTACTGAGTAATAAGGGCATCAGACTGTGAGACAGAGCAGGCAGGCTATCTAGGGCTCTTCAGCCTTCAAAGCCAGCCATTACCACACCTAAGGCCCTCTCTGCCTTAATGTGTTAATACTGATCTAATCGGGATTACTACCCAAGACTCCAGCTCCAAAGCTATCAACTTACAAACTGGGATATTAACTTTGCAATACATGAACTTTGGGGGAACATAATTCAAACTACAGCACATATAATTGCTTTGATTTTGACATAGGCAGGGGAAAAATCCATATTCTTAATCAGAATCCAAAGGCTTAGGGAAGGCTGATACGTCAGGGACCCTCATCTTCATGCTCTAGGACAATGAGGTCTCTTGCAGACTGAAGGATCCTGCTTCCTAGACAAATGGGATATCAGAATTTATAGAAGCAGGAGATCTGGGGATAAAACTTCCTGCTGTCATCCCCACTTTGGTTGTCACTTCCCAAGGATACGCTGTGATATGCCCAGGACACACAGCATTTTCCTTCCATTCTCAGTCTTACCTCATCACTTTCATGACCCCCAAAGACTTTCATCTGTGCTGGCATTTTCTAAATGAGCGCAGAGTTGGAACCTTCAGGAAAACCCTCCTTCTCATCCAGAGACAAGGTATCACTGAGCATATGGTCATAGAACTGTGTTTCATAAACCACCCTATTCTGTGAGTAGTAATATAGTAGTTCCCCGCTACTTAAGGAAGGGTTTGTTAGCTCACAGTTGGGGGTACAGGCCATAAGGGAGAGGAAGACATACTGGCAGGATTGTGAAGCAATTGGCCACAGTGCATCCACTGTAAAGAAACACTGAGATACGGGTGCTTAGCTTTCTCATTTTAAATTCAGCCCAAGACCCCAGCTCACGGAACACTGCCACCCACATGTAGGGTATGTCTTGCTAATCTAGAAACTCCCTTACAGAAACCCCCAAAGGTTTTTCTCATGACTGATTCTAGATCCTGTCAAGTTGACAATATTAACTATCACAAATCTGTCAACTTGACACACACATATCATTTTAAAGCCATAACATTTTACTCCTTGTCCCCATAGGCTCAGGGTCATGTTATAACGAAAAGTGTATTTAGTCTCACTTCAAAAGTCCCCATAATTTTTAGCAGTTCCAACACAGTTTAAAAGTCCAAGCCTTTTCTGAGATCCAAGGCACTCCCTTGAGTTCCGTTAAAATAAGAAATAAAGTATATACTTTCAGTATACAATTGTATGGAATAAATATTTAACTAGGAGGAATGGAAGCATAGGAAGGAATGATGGGACTAAAGAGCAAACCTTAGCATGGAAAATACCAAGACCTATAGCAACATCTGGGCTCCTGATAGAATCTTGGCTAGCCCTGCCTCTCCATTTCTTCTGCCTATAAAACACAGTCTCTCTCTTGGGCTGGCTCTACTTTTAGCAGATGTCTTATGGTGTTGGCATCTCCAACATCCTAGGGACTCCACTATAGGCAATTTAAGCTTTGTTTTTACATGCAACGGCATCTCAAGACCTCCTTGCAGGCACTCAGACCCTTTTACACAATTCTTGGCATATCTGGTTTTTAGGAACCTTGGTACAAGCCTCCATGAACTTCTCTCGTTCTTGCGTTGTCCATGCCTGTTAATTCAGTATTTTATAAAGCTTCCGAGTTCTGCTGCCAGCTTGAGAATCAGCCTGGCTCCCTCTTTAAAAAACAAAAACAAAAAATCATTGACCTTTGTGTGTGACACTTTCCTAGGCAAATTGTTTCGAGTAAGAAATCCCTTTGGTGGCATTCTTTGGTCAGGCTCTCTGTTTTTGGTGCATTTCCACAAGTTACAGCCTTCAGTGGGTGGGGTCTTGCTTCTTGAGCACCTTTTTATTGTCCCAACATGGTGCAGGATGTTATTTTGTTTATTTTTTTTTTGAAACAGAGTCTCATTTTACAGCTCTAGCTGGCCGTGGGACTCCCAGTGAGCTGCCTACCTCTGTTTTGGGAGTGCTGAGATTGAAGGTATGCAGTGCCATACTTGGTAGATTTGTTTTTAATGGTGCAGAACTCTTTAGCAGTTACTGCTCCCTTCTCACACTCCTTGTTGGTAACTGTAAACTTGTACACGTTTCCTTGCAAAGTTTACATTTTGCTTCCTTCTACTCTTCCTCACTGTAGATCTGAACAAAAGCAGGGAGCGGCCTGAATAGAAGCAGGACACAGCCTGAATACACAGTCTTGTCTTGAGAATTCTCCCGTCAGACAAATTAGTTTGTTACTTCTCAATTCAGCTTCATCCAAGTTCTCAAGGCATGGGCAGAATGAAGCTAGATTCTTTGCTGGAATATAACCCCATGGCCTGGAGCCTTGGGGCTGATAGAATCCTTGCTCCTTTATGAAACCTCAAGAGTTCTTTCAGCATTCTGGCCTTCTAAACTCTCACCAGAATGGCCGGTTCCATCTATTGGCAACATCTCATTCTTATTCTGGAGTTCACAGCTGCAGCCTCTTCCATATTCCTCTCAAAAACCAGTTCCAAAAGCCTACAAGTCACATGGTCAGGCTGATCACCGCCATGGCCCCCACTTCTTGGTCCCAACTTTCTGTACTTGTTATTTTTCTAGCTCCTGTGACAAGATCCCCGACGAAAGAAAGGAAGAAGGAAGCACTTACTTTGGCTCAGCGTTGGAGGGTAATAGTCCCTTCTCATGGGGAAGCAAGAAGGAAGCATTTACTTTGGCTCAGCGTTGGAGGGTAATAGTCCCTTCTCACGGGAAGATGGGGCAGCAGGAATGTGAGGTGGTTGTCACAGTGCATCCACACTCAGGAAGCGGAAAGCAAGGAATGCTGGTGCTCCTCTGGCTCTCTTTTTTATTTGAACCCTACGTTTAGGGTACAGCTTTCTACCCAATTAAGCCAGGCTAGAACTCCCTGGCAGCCATTCCCAGAAGTTTGTCTCTGGCAATCAATATTAACAATCACAAATGATAATGGTTCCTCCAAAGGTATCCTCTGTCCAGCTCTAAAAGTTCCCAACATTTCTTCTTTCAGGTCTTTCCCCATTTTATACAATTTTCTCAGGCCATCTTGTTAAGGGTTCCCAAACCCTTTTCTCCAACTTTTCTTGGACTTTGAAGCTCCAGCCAGACCACTTAAAAGACAGGACAGCATCATTAGTATTCTAGTACAAGCACTGAGCTCTCAAGACAGGAACCTGGGAATTCTTAGTTCTCCTTCCTCCTCATTGCCCACTGAGGTCAATTACCAACTCAGGCTGGCTCCACCTACTGCAAAGCTCTTGACTCGCCCCTTGCAGAGGAGCAGTGTGACAAACTTTTCCTGGGAAGATGAAACGCACACCTACTAATCCCAGATAGGAAACCTATGACAGACCAAAATAAGGATATCACTAACATCCAACTTGGTGAACCAATGGGTTTCGTTGGGGTTACTTGCAGGAGTATGGGCAAGAGGTTACTTACAGAAGCAGAAATGTCTCGGAGACAACTGCATCACCAAAACCCATCCCAGCATGGGTGGCAGCTCACAAAGCAGGGAACCTGGTACACACTGGACAGCCTGCAGGCAGTTTAACAGGTTGGAGAGTGTCCTTTCCAGGTGCCTCAGTTGGTCTAACCCTCTTCCAGTCAGCCTGGCTGGTTTCAGCTGCTCCCAGGCTAACCCTCTGGTCTCAGTCTCCTTTGCGGCCTTGCTTGTCTGAGAATGTTCTTTACAGCCTAACTTCCTTCAGTCTGGGAGGGACTCTCGGCTTTCGTTGCTTTCTCTGGCAAGGAGGGCCTATCGAATCTTCAGGTTCAGGGACTTCCTGAAGCTATTTTGGCTTATTTACCTTCCTGCTTCTCCAAAGAACTGAATGTTTCAGAGAAACATCACCGCCTTCCCAGATTTCCTTATTGCCAGGGTCTCTCCTCCAGAGGCTTACCCAAAGAAAGTTACCTGATTATGGTGTTGACTTGTTCACACTATCTCCTGGATCCGTGCCCTTGGGAAAATGAAGATTAATTTTTATCTTGGCTAGTCTGCAGATCACAGGAGAAGTGGTCAAGCATTATTCTGGGTGTTGCGATGAGGGCTTTTTTTTTCCTTTGATGAGATTAATGTTGAGATCAATGGACTGTGAGTAGAGCAGATTTCCCCCGTGTTGTGCAGGACTCATTCAGTGGGTTCGTGTGGGCTTCCATAAGCCATGCCCTGTGGGTTCTGCACTTGTCAGAGTTCAGTCTCGTGACGGCCCCACTCCCCACCTCACCCCTTCCTAGTTCGATTTCTCAGTGTAGTTTCGCTTCAATTTCTTCAGTCAACTTAGCTCATATATTCATTAGGAAAAAAAGCATCTACTCGATAAGAAAAAAGCTCGGGCTCTAAAGGAACAGAGATCTGATTACCGATAGTTGACGAGGACTTTCTAGACTAACCACACAACTGCTCTGCCCCGGGATGGGTCCCTGCTGTGGCAGCCTCATCCCTCTTCCCCATCCCTATCCTAAACTCCCTACAGCTCCTAGACCTGCTGTGCTCCTTTGCCCAATATATCTTGTACATTCTCCCTGAACAGCACACTCCTCTGGCCAGGCTTTGGGGACCCTCGGCCTGGGTTGGCCTCCACTACTCTCGTTCTTCAAAATTATACTTGCTTGATCTAGACTGAACAGCCGTCTAGCGATGGAGTCTGAACTTAAACAACCACCATGCTTGCTGCTGGCAAAGGACTGCACAAATGTAAATAAAACTTGCGAAAAGAGGAAGGCGCAAGTCTGAGTGAATGAAAGGATGATTTGGCGGGCTCGCAGCTAGCAGCAGGAGGCGCTGCCCAGGAGTGTGTGCCTTGCCTCTCCGGAGCCGGCGCGTTCGGCCCGCCACCCCTGAAGAGACTCGGCTGGGGCCGCAAGAAGGGAGGCGACCCCGGTTCGATGCGGGCCTCAAAAAGGAATCGGCGAGGAGGGGGAGGGGCATGCTGTCCCTTTGCATTCTTCCACGCTGGGGTCTCTGGAATGAAAACTGCCCCTAGCCGGGCCAGAGCGAGGGGATGAAAGGCGGCCCTAAGACCTCTAGTCAAGTCTCGTCCCGCCCGGATTTCGGAAACCGGCCCTGGCCAGGGGTGTCCCGCCACGCGGCCGTCCCAATGCGGGGAGGTAAGGGGCAGCGTCACCCCTCTCGCTGTTGCTCCCGCAGGACGCACACCCGGGCTGGCACTGTCCCATCCCATCGTGACGCCCCGCCCCGTGTCTTGGGATCAGAACCTCAGGTCGCTTCTAGCATCTTCCCCTCTTTCCGCTGGGCCTTTGGTATGCCCCAGGGGACAGATGTCTTGGGATCTTTAACATTTGGGATGCTGCAAATGCCGAAGTTAAATGAAATACCTCCGGGGAGGGGAGGCCCGGGGGATCCTTGGGGAGAGGGAAGGTGGGCGGGACCAACAGGTCCTGAAGCTGCGCGGAGGGCGCGGGGGGCGCGGGGGCAGGCGCGGGGCGCCAGAGCTCCGTGGGACAGGTAAGGCGGAAACTTAGTAAACGGGACGCGGGAGAACTGCGGGAGATCGAGCCCCTGAACCCCGGTCTTCATCCTCAGTAGAGGGGGGTCTTGCAGGGAACCGGGGGTAATTTTACGAAGAGATCGAGAATTCCCGAATTCCTACCCCAAAGCCGTTTCCAACGGCTCAACCTTTCTCCTTCGACCCTCTCCTTAGGCCGGTGGATCTCCTGGCCAGGTTCCGGGAAGTCAGAAAGCAGGCAAACAAAAGGAGACCAAGTCCCAGGCCGGACTGGAAGGGGAGGGCGCGGTGGGGGAGGGGTTGGGGGGCAGGACAAAGGGGCTTTTTGCCGAGAGCCTAGAGGTTTGATTTCGGGGTGCATCCCGGGCCAGCCCGAGTTCCTCTCCCTGGCTTAGTTGGGGTGAACACCTTTCCCAGTGTCCAGAGAGAAGAATGAAAAAAGGAAACAGTAACAGGGGATGGTCTTCCATCCCTCTTGCCCAGAGAGTCCCCGACAATTTCCCTTCCTTTCCCGGCTGTGAGCTCCCACGGCTGGCCATTGATTTGTTAATTCATTAAGTAAAGTTGTGGGAATGCTGATGCCTGTACTTTGCTGGGCACTGTTGGGGATGTGAGATAGTAAGGATGAAAGAGTAGTTTTAAAAACTTTGACTTCTAGCGTATCACAGAAATCTAAAGAAGGAACTTCGGGGCAGCGGGGTCGAGGGGGTGGCGGGAGTGGCGTACGGTTGGTTACAGGTCTGTGGAAGAATTTGGACTCGAAAGGTTTTGAGCAGGAGGTTCCGGGAAGAGTTGTCTTCCACCAAAATAGGATTCTAGTGCTGGGCAAAGAAACCTCGCTTCCTCGCCTGTCGGTGGTCTTTCTTGTTGCCAGTGCTCGGACTCGGGATTCCAAGTGTCAGCTTCCTGGTTCCAAGAGTCGGGCGCTGAGTTCCAAGTTCCAAGTTACCTCTGGAGTGCCCACCTATCCCTTGGTGTTGCCCCTTCCCAACCCGCTGGTTTGTCAGCCGCATTCCAAACCTGAGATTGTTGGGCTGACAAATGCTGAGTGTGGATTTGGAGTATTTACAAATTAAGGATCCATGCAAGCAGGTTGGTCTTGTAGGTCCATTACTGAGCAAGGGCCTGCTACCCATTCTCAATAGAAGTCTGTACTACAGCAAGGGGTTTCTGCAAAAAGAGAAAAAGAAAAAGTTCCGTTGCACAGCTGTCCTGCAAGAAGGCTGAGAGCGGTAAGGGAAGATCTTCCTCCCCAATAGTGGAGACCGAAGTGAGGAAGCTTCAGGTTGGTTGCCGGGCTTGCCTCTTTGCAGGTTGCATAGTTCTGGGAGGTGGGGGACTATGTTCTGCTTGAGGGGGTTAGAGTTTGTGTATCACCGTCCTGGCTTCTTCTGCTCAAGTCCATTCTCGAAAAGCTGGTTTCGAGCAGCAAGAATCATTAGTGAAGGCCTGGAGGCTTTTCCTGGAAGACAGTTTAGGGAATTTATGTCCTGGTGTGTACAGGCCTTAACCCGATTTTGATTTCTGTACTTGAATACAGATGGTGTTACCCGAGGTCATGGTTCTTAATTGGGTCCAAATCTTACACCTCAGGCTGTAGGGGCAGCGTCAGTACCTGTGACTTTCCCACTGAAGTTACATGTAAATAGTTTCATTCATCGGTTGCTTGAAATGACCTGTTTGCTGGGTTCTGTGTAATGTTAATAATGAAGCATACAAGTTGTGATGTTTTTGTGGTTTTAGAACTGTACTTCAGCATTCGACTACATAATTGGTCTTTTTATTTTATACATTAAAAAAATGAGCTGAATTGATTCTAGAAACTTTACCACTGTCCCCAGTTGGAGCTGGGGGGATGGGCCAAGACAGCTCAAGCCCAGAGTCAACCCCTCGCAGACACTGGAAACCTGTTGGGGGATGGGAAGGGACTGCAGTATTGTGGAGGATGGGGGGGATGGGAAGGGTTGTGGGTTCTTTGGAAGGTTCAGAGAGCATGCTCCCCACAGTGGGGAGGGTCTGTCCCCTGTGAGGGCCCCTCAGCTTCTGCTTAGGGAGAGGAGGAGGTGGTCAGTCTGTAGGACTCCTGGGCGAGCATTGTTTGGAAAGAGGGTGTGTACAGGAATGTGGAGGTACGGGAGGGGGATTTGTGTATAGAAGCAATGGGGTTGTGGTGAAGGGTGGTGGCAGACTGTCACAGTTCTGCTCATGAGATGCTTAAGCAGCCAGCTTCTCTGGCGTTCAGATGCCAGGGCATGGACAGTGAGGACAGGGCACCTTAGGGGTTGAGAGAAGGAAGCAACTTAGTACTGGGACCTGGGTCCCAGAGGCGGGAGGTGATGGGACCAAGGCTTGGGAGATGCAGGCCAGTCTGCAGTGTATCTCAAACCTCTGGGAAGAGGCAACCGTCAGCCTCAGCTCTTGTATTCTAAGCAAGTTTTCGTTTGCTTGCCGGTCAGAGGAAGTCGAGGTTTTGCAGGGAACCAATTCCAGTTTAGCGACGGTTCCTTGCATTTGGAGAGCAGGCTAAGGATTGGAGGCCGCTGTAGCTCTCCGGAGGAATAAGCGATGACTAGACTGTTCAGGTCAGTGACCACAGAGCATTGCTGTGGATGGATGTCCGTTACAGATGAGATGGGATGCTCTTGATGTTGCTGGGATAAAAAGGAAACAGCTTGGTTCTCCAACTCTAGCATCCTAGAGTCTCTGCAATAGCAATCCTGGCCTGTTTTTGTTGTCCATTGGTTTTGTTTCTTTCTTAGGTGCTGGGTTTTAAACCCGGGACCTCCGACTTGGACTCTACCAGTGACTTACATACACTCACAGCTGCCTCCCCCTCCTCTTCCTTCTTTTTAAATGTAGTACCTTGCTCTGTTGCCCAGGCTGGGTCCTCAGTCTACGGGTTCATGTGAACCCCCTGCCTCAGATCACAAGTAGTTGGGACTGCAAGTTGCTACAGGTGCCTGCCACAACCCCCCAACTCCTAATCTTGGAAAACTGAGGCTGTGGTCGTCACCTGTGTACAGGGAGAGCAGTGACCCAGTGTGTCTGTAGATTTGCTGATGATGCTTCCTATGGACAGTGAATTTTTTACTCTTTTTCTGGGGGGGGGGCTTTAACATTCCTTAATTTCTAGAAAGAGAAAGTGGGGTAGAAGGGAGGCCAGAAGAATCATGCAGGACAGAAGGGCACCGAAGTATTTCGTATCTCAGCACACTGTATTAGGGTTCCTTGTAGCTATGGAAACCTGATCTGCTGCCTTCTGGTTCTCTTTCATGGGGAGCCCCTTCTCCCTGCTCCCCTTGGCCCGGAAGTGCAGAGGCCTAGGAGCTGCCTGCCGGCGACTGCCAGCAGCAGGATTAGTTCAGGGAAGGACTTGCTCACCTGCTCCTCCCCTCTGACTCAAGTCCTAACAAGTAACCTGGTTCCCCTGGCCCGGCAGCCTGGGAGGGACAGCAGGCAGGCGGGACCTGATGAGAGGGAGAGCCAGGGGGCGGCCATCAGCCTGTGGAGAACTTGCTGGAAGCAAGAGCATTAGGTGGCCTGCTTGTGTCCTGGGAGACCCTGAGGTGGCATGAGAGGCACCCCAAATCCCTGAACTGGGAGCAGGAGTCTTCCCTGATCTGGACTGAGCTCTGGAGCAGGTGAGAGTGGGGTGTGTGTGTGTGGGGGGGTAAGTCTGTGTGTTTGAGCTGTATGCAGACCAGGAAATGGAAGGAGCCCTGGCGGCCGGACATGGCTATCATTCCCCTACACCTAAGGTCATATCTGGGCTCAGGGGTAATAGGGGACTGCTAGTGGCTTTGGAAACGGGGACCCTGTCTCTGTGAGCAGGCCTAAATTTCCAACAGAGATGAACTGGGACAGAGAGGACCTGGCTTTGGGGACACATTTGTGACGCGGAGGATCCTCAGTAGCCTCCCTGAGAGAAAGTATGCTGGACTTTCCCTCCCACCTTCTAAGACTGTCTTTCTGCCTCTGGCTTTGTCTAGGGTGGTTTTGAGCAGGTGGGCCGCTGCTGTGTTGGCTGGGAGGGTCAGTGGGGCAGAGAGACTCCTGAGTTGGGGGTGGGGATGTTACCTGAACTGCCTTTATCTAAAGCAAGACCTTCCATGCCTAGATCCCAGCTCTCCTGGGTTGGTCTGGGCTGCCCCTGTGGGAAGATTCTGGGGAAGGTTCCTCACACAGGAGAGTCTGTGTCTGCAAGGGCATCATTCTCAGGCTGGTATTGTCCAGAAGGTCCTAATTCAGACATAGGGGCTGGGAAGGGCCTCAGGCCTGTCTGATTTTCATTGTCCTTGTGAGGAAAAGTGGGTCTGAGGAGACCAGAGAACCCCCTCAGCTGTCTCAGGAAGCAGCACAACTGAGCGCTGACTCCAGGGCTCTGGACCTATGCACTTTGCCCTCCTTGGAGCAACAGAGCTGACCCTGCATCCTATGGGGTGCACCATAAATTCCAGAGCCTTGAGGAGAGAGAAGCTGGAGAAGACACGCTAAGGAATCCCTTAGTCTATCCATGACCACCCCTCTTGTCTGTAACAGCCTGAGTCCACCTGAGAGGCAGGGCTTGAGTTGTTTCAACCTTTCAAAGCACCTTCTTAGTGGTTAATAATTAATTAGCAAGTGTGACTAATTGATGGCTTCCCCTCCCACTCATCCCCTCCCTCTGTCCAAAAGCAAAAAGCTCCAGGTGCCGGCTGCCAGCCCTGCTTCCTAGATGGAGCTGAGCTTGCTCTCTTCTGGGGAGGGTGGGAGGATGCCCCAAAGAAGGCCCAGCTGCCAGCTTCTGTGGGCTAGAAAGAGTAAGGATCTGGGCAGTGTGAACTAGCAGTCACCCTAGCTTCCTGGAAGTCCCAGGCGGGTACCTGGCCAGTCCTTCCCATGTGTCTATGAAGGTACCACGTCAGGTTTTATTCCTTTTATTCTTGCCTCCATTCTCCAGACTTGCTTGGAAGATTGAAATTCTGGGGTGCAAAGTTCATGTCGATTTCCGGGCCTTGCTTTAGCTATTGCTGTCCATGGTGCATCGATAAGCTGTGCTGTTGACGCAGCTCTCCCTACACCCCTTTCTTTCAGGTTCAGTCAGCAGGCCTGGGGGGAGCTTAGCCGACAGTAGCAATCCCCCCCACCCTCTGCCTTGCTTAGCAGTCAGCCCTTCCAAGGAACACCATTCTGCTCTGCAGGGATGCAGCCCCCCCTCTCCTCCCCTTCCTACCACACCCCTGCAGCCCTTGTGCTCTGTGGAGGCAGCAGGATAAGTTCCAGACAGAAACTCTGAAGGACTTTTGGACTCTTGCTCAATGGGCTGACTCAGTGAGGAGGTGGCTGGTGGCCTCTGCTTCCAGACCTCCGCCTGGGCTCCACCCACCCCTCCCCACCCCTGCTCTAGCCAACAGCTGCCAGCCCTGGCCAGCTGGGATCCCACTGAGGGTGTGGGTTTGGGAAAGAGATAAGGGGTGGTCACAGGTGTTTGGGCTGGTGGTGTGCTGGGCCGTACCCACACCACCAAAGTGCCATGCAGTCATAGGGAGGCAGAGAAGCTGGCGTTTTCCTTTCTATCCTTCTAACTTCTAGTCTGTTATTGCCTCAATCAGCTCCCAACAGCTCAAAGACCCCTCCCTCCTAGCTGTGGGGTATATAGTCTGCAGGCTAACTCCTCCTTAGGACGTCTCCTAGGTATACTGGTGGCTTGGGGTTCAGGACAACTCTCTGGCATGGAGTTGCTTCCTTGACCTTTAAGTGAAGGACCAGATCCAGACAGCAATGTCCCCTGGTCCCTGGGTCCTAGACCGGTCTTGGCTTTGTGCTCACTGCCCAGTCATTTCTTGCGGTGCCTTTGGTCAGTGGGACAGTAGGCCATGCCTCACGCCTCCTGTGCTCTCAAGGTGGGGATGGCTGTCCCTCATGAAGACATCTCGTCGTTTCCTTCCTTTGCCATCCTGTCCCATCTTCCCGCCTTTTCGTCTTCTCCCTGTTCTTATGCAGCCACCAGTTCAGTCAGCCCTTTCAGACCTAGAGAAGGCTGTGGTGGAGACCTAGTGTGGGGAGCTGGGCTGTACCCTCAGAAAACCTCTCACCCCAGATCATCCGGAAACACAATCCTCACTTCCATTCCCCCACCCCCAGGCATCGAACCACAGGAGGCTTCAGAGTGTTTTTGTTGTTGTTTTCTCTTCAAAGCTGGGAAAACTCCAGGCTTCCTGCACATCCTGGCCCAGGCTGGGAGCAGCGCAGCCCCTTCTTCCTCTGTACCCCCTCCCCCCAGAAGTTCATCATGGAGAGTAAGGATGAGGTCAGTGACACCGACAGTGGCATCATCCTTCAGTCTGGTGAGTGATCTAGGAAATTCCCCTGCCCTGGTCCCTGACTCCAGACTGAGTCCCTAGGCCCTGGGCTAGTTATGCTAAAACTCCCAAAAGGGCCAGGAAGGAGAGGGTGGAGAGAGAGGCTTCTGTTGGGAAAGTGGGGGGACTGGAAGGTCTGGCACCTCAAGGAACTGCAGTTTTCCTTGCTGGAAGGCACTAGCCAGACATTTCTGTCCTATCTGGAGTGGGGATCTGCTGGGTCCAACTTTAGCTGCAGCAATTACTAAGAAGTTGAAAACTCTTACCCAGCTAGTGTTCTGTCTCTACTAAACCTGAGCCTGTGGGTCTAGTCTGTCCTAGCTTTGAGAGAGGACAGGAGAGGAGGAGGAAGACACCGTTCTGACCATGAGTCCCTCCCCCCCACAGGTCACCTGGTAGGACTGACACATCTCCCTTTGCACTATAATGTTGCCAACCTTTGGGCAGCCAGGAGATATGATGTTTTGGGTTTGTGACACAGACCATAGCAGCTAGTCTGTAATTTGTGGGCAAACATGAGATTGTAGGGGTGTGTACATTCCTAGAGGTGGCCAACAGTGTCCTAGGGATGCCTTGCTTCAGTGTTCATGAGCAAGTGTCCCTTGTCTTCCTGCAGGCCCGGACAGCCCTGTTTCACCAATGAAGGAGCTGACCAATGCGGTCCGCAAGCAGCAAAGGGCCCTGGAAGCGAGGTTGGAGGCCTGCTTGGAGGAACTGCGCAGGCTCTGCCTGAGGGAGGCGGTGAGGCCCCTGGAGCCCCTGTCCCTACAAATTTAGTCTTCATCTGAGGAACTATGTTTTGGGATCTTGAGACCAAGGGGAAAGCTACATTTTTGAGGGGATTGGAAATCAGATTGAGGTCTGGACCTAGAGTCTCCCTCATGTGGGTTTGGCCTGGACACTGGGTAGAGGGAAATTAGACCTGGCAAGTTTAAATGGTTGGATGACAGTTGAGCAAGTGGAAAGGGCCCTGACTGGACTCTGCCTTCCCTCCCCACAGGAGCTGACTGGCACTTTGCCTGCAGAGTATCCCCTTAAGCCAGGTGAGAAAGCGCCCAAGGTCCGGCGCAGGATTGGAGCAGCATACAAGCTGGATGAGTGGGCCCTGCACAGAGAGGTGAGGAGTGTCAGAGGTGATAGTCACTGTGCCTCATCCCCAGAGGCCAGCTACAGAAGCAGTCCCATGCCCTGACAATCTCTACCATCTCCGCAATCCCCGGTGTGGGTGCTGATGACCGTGTTAATCCGGGGCTTCTCCTCATGGGGAGCCCAGATAGCTCTAAGTGAGCCTGCCACCTCAGCAGCTGGAGAGCTGGGAGCTCAAGGGAAAACACTGGGCTTGGCCTAGGGGGCAGAGGATTAAGAATACAAATAACCACCACAAAGAAGCGGTGGCCAGGGAAGCCGGTCCTTTCTTAGCCTAGGTGGAAGGAGGTGGGTAGCTCTGGCCCTTGGTGGCCTTCACCTTGGAGAGATTCCCATGGGTCGATATGTTTGGTTCTTTGGAGTCAGGGAGGAAAAGTGTCTCACTGAAGTCCTCTCCCAGCCCTGCACAGCAGGTAGCTGGGGTGGGACTCTCATGCTAACTTTTCATAATGACAAGTTGGCTTGGAGCCCCTCCCACTGCTCCACCCTTTGCTGTGTGCCCCTGGACACTGCTGCCTGCTCACCACCGGGTCAGAGCTGCCTGGAGTCTCCTGTTCCCTAAGCGCCAAGGACTCTTCTTGGCTCTCATTCCCAACCCCTCCCTCAGGACCCCCTGAGCAGCCTGGAGCGCCAGTTGGCTCTGCAGCTTCAGATCACGGAGGCGGCTCACAGATTGTGCGCGGAGGAGAACCTCAGCCGACAGGTGCGCAGGCAGCGGAAGCATGCCGCACTACAGGAGGAGAAGAAGCTCAGGGAGCTGGAGCGCTGCCTGGGTGACCGACGGCGGAACAGCGAACCCCCTCCCACCACTGTGCCCTCCATGGGCAGAGGTGAGCCCGCTGTCCTGAGCAGTGCCGGCCTCATGCAGCGGGGCCCTGTACTCCGTTTTGCATTGTGCTTTTGGCTATTGCCTGTGTTAATGTTTCACGTTAGCGCCATCAGGGTACTCCGTCCTTACCCCATGTACCCCACCAAAGCATCTCCACCTGGGGGACCTTCTCCATCCCATTTCCTTCTTCTGCATCTCCCGTGGAGTACCTCACTTTTACAAGACTTTATAGAGAGGAGTCGTTTCTCTGCTTGATCATAACCCGAGGGTTTATTCAACCTGGAATACTATCTCCAGGGTAAAGTTCAGCAAACCAAAGGTTCTGCGGTGATGCTCTCGCTCACCTCTAGCTCGAGTTAGGGATTGACTGTTGCTATCGGTAGCCAATCACTGATGGGTTCAGCGCCACCTACTCGTGGGTGTTTAGGCTGAAATCCATTTGTACCCTCATAGCCCTTTCAGTGTGTGCAACTGCCGTGGTCAGGAGTGCTGGTTTTCACGTCTCTGCTTTGCTGAATCGTGCTTGTAGCTTAGTGCCCGAGCCCCGGCCCAGAGATGAGGCTGTGGGGCACCTCAGAACCAGAGCCAGCCAAATGACAGCAGTGTGTCCAGTCTGGTGAGCTTTTAACCCTGAGGAGGTACTGTTTCCCTTTGCCCTGACCCAGATCTGGCTTGTCAGGTCAGGACTTGTAGTCTCCACTCTTCCACTCCCGCTCAGCCCTGCTCCCAGAAGTCTCTTGCCCTGGCCTCGTCTGAAGGAGGTGGTACTAGGGACCAGCTATTCACTGTAGCCTTGAATCGGAGCCTCAGGCTCAGCCCGGGGAGCAATAGCCTCTCTCATGCCCATGTGTCCATCGCCACACAGCATCTGGGCTCTTGCCCAGCTGTTCTCGTCCCTTAATGGACACACAATGGAAACCTACAGGTCCTTCCTGGTCCGCATGCTCCATGCCTCAGGCAGGCATGACTTTCAGTACCTGTGACTAGTTCAGACTAGGAAGAGTTTGAACAGACACCAGCCAGGTCACCCTTGGAAGTCTGGAGTAGATGGCATGGCTGACTGGGAAACCAAGAAGAGCATGAGACTGACCCAGGGCCTAGGGGTCAGACCCTACACTGCTTTCAGTGGCTCTGGCCCCGATACAGGACATCACCCTCACTCTCCAAGTTTCTAAGCAAAAAGGCATTCTCTGTCTGCCCTCCATTTCCCACAACCCCTGGGTATGGGAAAGATAGCTGCTGACAGAGGTATAGTCATCACCAGGGCCCGCCTCTGTATGTGAAGGAGCCGTTAATAATGAGATGTGTCCTGTCCCAGTTGGTCTCGGCCCCTGGTCCCTCGCCAGCACGCACTGTTTGGAAGCTCCTTTGCCCATAGCTGCTGCCATTGCCAGGAGCTTCTGCTCAGAGTAGGGCTTTGGGAGGACTGTCACTACTGATGACACTCCTTGTTGGAAGTGGGGAAGCAGGCCAGGACGTGCCTAGGGCTCTGGCTTAACCCTGTGTAGGAGGCAAGAAGCTGAGGTTCTCAGGGCCTTTAGCCCAGAGAAGATAGAGGTGTAGCACAGGAACCAGCTGGCACAGAGCGACTTGCTTGGCTCCCGCACAGACCCTGCCTTCCAGACGGACCTGAGGTTCTGGGTTCTAGTGTCCTCACTTGGGAGCTCAAAAGGAGGTCGTTCTGGACTAGTCATTCCTGTTTTGTGGCTCCTCGGTCACTTGTGCCCACCTGGAAAGGAGGAAGTAGAGAGAGGTTAGTAATTAGTTTGAGGCTAGAGGGTGTTTTCAATTAAAAGGGAAAAATAAGCAAACAAACCAAAAAAACAAAAAAACAAAAAACGAAACGAAACCCACCCACCCCCTTTGCACACAAGGGTTATTCAATTTGAGAAAGTTAATTTGTCAGGTGAGGGTAATTAGTCAGTTCTCTGGAGGTGGCAAGGAGTGGTCAGGTGTTGAGTTATTTTTTACTATGTGCGAGCCCGAGACCCCCCCCGCGATCTCCTACTGTAATGGATGCTGAGTATGTGTTTGTTGATGGACAGTGACAGCAACACTGTCTACAGGAACTGTGCTGTCCGGCACTAGCCGCATGTAGCTACTGAACACTTGAACTGTGCCCTGTGTGACTGAAGAACTGAATCTTAATTTGAGCTAGTGTAGCCTCGTATTGTGTGGTTTGATTCGTTGGGCAGTATAGCTTTGTAAGTTTGGTTTCATCGTTACATCTCTGCCATGGCTGTTGGGGGACAGTCATGGTAGAGAGAGGACAAGGGTAAACCATGACCCAGTTGGGACGGGGTGGGGATCGTGAGCATCTCAGGAACCACTTGTGTTTGACAGCTTGTCCTCCCCGCATCCACCCCTGCGAACGAGTCTCCAGGCTTTCCTCATAGCCTTGATAGTCTTGTTCATATGAGGGTTAGAGGTGAGGGAGTGATGTCTTTCTTCCCAGACCCTTGCATCCTGACCCAAGCCTATGCTGTGAATCCACATTGCACTAGTGGGCTGTGAGAGTAACACTTGGTAATTTCTTCAACTTGACATTTGCAAAACACTTTGCTTTCAAAGTTTTTGTAAAGGATGCAAGACAGAGAACCAGCATTCAACAAGGGGGGGTCTCTTCACTGAACCCCAAAGCAAAGGTTAGCTGTTAGCTATGCAAAGCCTTGGCTAGCTACTCAGCAGCTTAGTCACACAGCCACAGACAATAGTGAAGTTGACGTTTGGTTTTAGTTACAGATCAGAGAGTGGCAATTTTCTCCATAAAGATTTTATGGATTGTACAGTCCCTTATCACAACTAACTCTGCCATGCTAGTCCTGAAGCAGCCAGACATCATGAATGTGTAGTTGGGTCTGAATACAACTGCAACTTCATTGGTGAAGTCGGCCCATGACCAGGATTCGGTCTGTGGGCCAAGGTTTACCAACCTTTCTTAACAAAAGATTTCAAGATGGTTGAGACTGTTCACCCTTCGTAGAACTTTCTGGTAATGACCTGTGCTGACTGACAGGAGAGCTAATCAAGGAGTGTGGCTTACTTAGAGCGCAGGCTCTAGCCAGACTGTCCAGGTGTGAATTCTTCATCAGTAGTCTTTTTGGCCCAATCCTCCTGGCTGGGCTGAGACTGGTTTCCTCCGTTACCTGGAGATGATAGTAACTACCTTATTCGTTATGGATTTTACATGAATTAGTGTACATATTTAGGAAAGTATTGGTACAGTAGAAATATTAACCATTGTTAATGTTTCCTCATCTTCATTCTCAAACAGTTGGAAATGCTTTCTTGGTTCCATCTGGGTCACTCAGAGCTACCACAAACCCCAGGGCACTACACCTGTTCAGGGACAAAAGCATAAGTAAGGTCCCCCCAGTTTCCTGCTTCACAGCCTCCCTCACAGTTTCCCTCAGGCAGCTTGCACAGCACTAGCAGACTCCTCTTAGGGCCAGCTGGCCAGACCCTGTCACAAGCTGGCCTCATAGTCCCCACAGCCCCTCCCATCCCCCCTGCTCTTGTGGGTCCTGCAGGAATTGTTATGTTTGAGACCCTGGAGTAGGGTTGCATTTGTGATGTTTGAAGATTATAGACCCCTGGCAAAATGCTTTTCATCCTAGAGCCTTCTAAAGTGGCTCTCAGTCTTTCCCTTTATTACCAGGAAGTCATACTCCTGTTGGCCGAGGGGAAATCTATGGTCCAGAGCCTTGAATTGGCTTATTCAAGGTTGCGTGGTTCAGGATAGAGCAGGGTTAAAATCACCTTCCCTGTCTTCCAGTCCCTAACTTGTGAACCTCTTTTTTACCTCTAAGTAATAAGTTCCGAGTACATGGTTTATGGAGTAGTGGGTGTTTCCTGGGGGAATTCAGCTGCTGTCCTGGCAGAGGAATCAGGCTGTGTAACTCTGGGCTCATTGCCTCACTCCTCTTTCTTCCCCTTTGACTGTTGCAGAGCTCAGTGCCTCCGATGACAGCTCCCTGTCTGATGGGCTGCTCCTGGAGGAAGGTGAGGTGGTCAGTTTGGGGACACAGTCAAGACTGTGGGGATTTGCAGCGTTTGCTAGCGAGGACTCCCAGTGGGACTGGAAAGTTTAGGGTGCTGCTGAAGGCAGGCGTACCAGCCAAGGGTCTGTCTCAGATCTGACGTCAGTTCCTGTGTGTCCAGGCACATGCCCCGTTGAGGGTGGGGGATGTGCTGAGCTCCTCTTTCAATGGGTCCTTTTGATGAGGAAGGGAAAGATGAGCTCTAGCCTGGTCCATTAACCCTGGCATCCCTGCTTCACTCGGGCTGTATTCCGGAGCCAGTTAGAGCCAATGTATGGTCTACTCAAAACCATTGCCGTGGTTGAAGAGAAGGTAGCACTGGAGAGGAAGTGCAAATCTGTGGATTAAGGACCTTGTTTAAAAACACTGAGAGTATTGAGGGTCAAAGTGGACACACCCAGGGTGTGTCCAGACCAATAAGGAAACAGGGCACCTAGGTGAGGCAGGAACAAGAAAGCTGGCTAGCTGCAGACAGGCACCGTGAGCAAACGCTAAAAAAGTGAAGTAGAACGAATCAGCAAGGAAACAGGGGCAGACAGGGAGGGAGGGGGGGAGGGAGGGAAGGAAGGAGGGTAGGAGGGAGGGGAGTCCATCCCCCCCAAAGAAGAAAACAGCTTTCCTTATCTGGGACTGGGGCTATGGCCTGGAGCAGTAGGTCAAGGCATTGAGGAGAGAGAGCCAGGCAGGGCCGGGGAGGTTCTTGCCGAGCCGGTTTTCCCCAGCCAGCCTCTGCCTTTTCTACCCCTGCAGAAGATTCCAAGGCGCCAAAACCTCCCCCAGAGTCCCCTGCACCACCTTCACGGCCTCACCCACCCCAGAGCCTTGAGGGCCTGCAGCAAACAGGACCTGAGTCTGGCGGCCTGGAACGGGCCCCAATCCAAAACAGTCCTTGGAAGGAGACCAGCCTGGACCGCCCCTATGAGAAGCCCAGGAAGTCTTCTGAACTCAGTAGCGAGTCCAGGTCAGGCTGGGGAGGAAGGGAGAGCCCAGAACAGGCAGAAAGTGCCAGGGTGGCCAGACTGGGGATGTGGATGGGGAAATGTGCAGGTGGTCACTCTCCTTACCTGTGTGATGCCAGAGGTGTGAGAATTGGTAGCTCTTTGGGGTGCTGACACCTTGTACCACTCCCATTGGGGCCACTTGCTGCTTGAGCCTTTAAACGAGTGGTTCTCAACCTGTGGGTCCCCACCCCTTAGGCAGTAAAAAAGACCCTTCACAAGGGTCACCTAAAACCATCAGAAAACACAGACATTTTACATTACAGTTCATAACAGTAGCAAACTCACAGTTATAAAGTAGCAAAGAAAATAATGTTATGGTTGGGGGTCACCACAGCATGAAGAGCTGTATTAAAGGGTCGAGGCATTAGGAAGGTTGAGAACCACCGTTCCAAATAAAGACACTGCTGTCACTGACTCATCTCCAATCCCTCTGCAGCAGCCCAGCCACCACGCCTCAGGACCAGCCCAGCACCTCCAGCTTGTGGCTGCTGGATCCTGCCTCCTACCATGTGGTCCCCATCCGAAATGTTCCTGGCCAGCGGCAGGGCCGCACCAGTGCCCCAGCTACCCCTGAGATGCAGGGAAGGAGAGGCCAGTCACAGTCTCTGAGGTAAGAAGGCTACTCTAGAGGAACAGCCCATTTCCATCCCAAGCTATGCAGGTGTAGCTGAGATACACGCCCTGGGTGACACAAAACATCATTTGTGGGGTCATTTTAAATATCAAGAAGCCAGCTGTGGTGCCTCCCAGCACTTGGGATCTCTGTGAGTTCCAGGCCAGTCTGGTCTACAAAACTAGGTCAAGACAGCCAGGGCTACATAGAAATACCCTCAAAACAAGCAAACAAAAATAATACAGTCAATCCCTCCTCCCCGGGTACCCTAAGGAACACCACAGGAAGTCCAAAGGCTGACATAAGATAGCAGCACATGAATGTCTATCTAGTTCTACTTCAGTGTGGGGCGGAGCTGGGGAAGGAACCCGGAGCCTCACAGGTAGTGGAGAAGCTTTCTATATGTCTCCAGCTATTTTGTTATTGTTGTTTGTTTGTAGATAAGATTTCCCTATGTAGTCTAGCCTGGCCTGGAATTCACCATCCTCCTGCCTCAGCCTCCTTGGGGCTGTACCTCTGTGCCACCACACCAAACTCAGCACTTGGCCAAGTGCCCACCAACACATTGTAGCTACTTTTCTCCTTCAATGCTGGGACAAAATGCTTGGCAAAAGCAACTCGAGGGAGGAGATTTTGTCTTGGCTCCCAGTCTGAGATGCTGTCCATTGTGTGGGGAAGGAGAGGTAGCTGTCACAGCGCACCTGCCATCAGGAAGCAGGGAGAGAGGAATGCTGGTTCCCAGCTCACTCTCAGTCCCTTTGAAGACAGAGTTTCTCTGTGTGACTAACCTGACTGTCCTGGAACTTGCCAGGCTGGCCTTGAACTCAGAGATCCTCCTGCCTCTGCCTCCCGAGTGCTGGGAGGCACCACAGCAGACTACTTTATATTTAAAACGGCCCCAGAAGTGATGCTGAGGATGGGATTAAAGGAGACACCACCACTGCTCAGCAACTCTCAGTCCTTCAATTCAGCCCAGGACCGTAGCCCATGGAAAGATGCCACCCATATTTAGGGTGGGTCTTCTCACTTCAACTAACCCAGTATAGAAACTCCCTCGCAGACATATCCAGAGGTTTGTCTTGTAGGTGATTCTAGACCCTGTCAAGTTGACAAGATTAGCCATTTCGAAAATGCTGTGTATATTGACTTTGGAATTAGCAGATTAATTTTAGAAAGTAGGTGAATTGGCAAATACTAAACCTACAAATAATGAAAATCAACTGCATGTTTCTTTCCAAGCCCCTACTACCTGGTAATAGCTTCAGTAAGCGAGGTCATTTTATAAACAATGTCTTTGTGCAAAGTTTTTAAAAGGCAACCCAGCCCTATGCCCAGTATATGAACAGAGGGGGAGCTAGATTTTAGCCCTCTGTGATCCCGTACTGCATGTATCCGCCCTTTGGAACACACGAAAACTTTTCACATTTTTAAAGATTTTATTTATGATGTATATAGTGTTCTGTCTGCATGCCAGAATAAAGCATCAGACCTTACTCTACATGGTTGTAATCCACCGTGTGGTTGCTGGGAATTGAACTCAGGACCTCTGGAAGAGCAGTTAGTGCTCTTAACTTCTGAGCCATCTCTTCAGCCCACTTTTCTCATTAAGTTAAATGCTTGACAATGTCTAACCTAAGAGGGTCTGAATGAAACACTACCGAACAGAGTGTACCCTAGCTGGCTCAAAAATGTGACATGGATATCACAGAATGTTGGCCCTTCCTTTCTGTGAATTGAATCGCTGAGAAACCAAAATGCTTTTAAAAATCACAGATGTATAGGACATGTACAAATTCTCTTTGCAGGCCGGGGACTGAACCTAGGATCTCATGCATGCTAAGCAAGTCTTCTTACCTCTGAGCCACATTCCCTGTCTGTCAGATTCTTGCCACTATTCCTAAATAGTACAATGTGTGGACTAGTTACATGGCATTTACACTGTATTAGGAATTATGAGTACTCCGAGATTATTTAAAGTCCACAGGATGTAATGCTTACCTAGTTTATGCATTGCGACCTGGATTTTGTGTCCCAGGCCAGCACTTGTGGAATCAGTTTATCCTGATGCGGGAAAGGCTAGAAGAAAGCACTCGTGTGTGAATGGAGTAGGAGCAGTATAGCAGTATAGCGTGCAGGGAGGGACTGTGTTACCTGTGCCTATTAGGGCAAACCTGGAGAGGTCTGACCAGAGTAAGACCTAGCACATGCTCATTGCGTTGGCTTTGGGACAGAGCGCTGGCCTCCAAAGTCATAACTCATCACTCCGGTGTGGCTCCTCCCCAGCTCAATGCTCTCCCGCTTTCCTCTTCAGGGTGGACTCCTTCCGAACAGGTGCGGAGGGCCGAGGTCGCAGCGCCTTCCCCCGCCGCCGCCCCACCCATTACACGGTGACCGTGCCAGACTCCTGCTTCACACCCAGCAAGCCCCCGCTGCCACACCCTGCCTGCCACTCTTGCTCTGAAGACAGCGGCTCTGATGTCTCCAGCATCTCCCACCCCACCTCACCCGGCAGCAGCAGCCCAGACATCTCTTTTCTGCGGCCCCTCTGCCCTCCTGAGCCACCTCGTCATCGTGGGGCCTGGGGCCCAGCCTGTGGCAGAGAACTGGCCACTCACTACCCTAAACTTCTGCTGCCCGCTGGATATTTCCCAACGGGGCGCTATGTGATGGTGGCCGAGGGCCACCTGCCACCTGGTGAGTGGGAGCTGTGTCGTGCAGCCCTGAGTGCTGCCTACGACGAGGAGGGCGTTCCCCTGCGCTACCAGCGGCTGGTGCCCTCCCACAGCCGCATCGTGCGCACTCCCTCGCTGAAGGACAGTCCTGCGGGCAGGGCACTCAGCAAGGCAGCCGTCTCCGAGGAACTCAAGTGGTGGCATGAGCGGGCACGTCTCCGGAGCAGCCGCCCCCACTCACTGGACCGCCAAGGGGCTTTCCGTGTCAGGAGCCTGCCTCCCGGGAGGGAGAGCTTTGGGCGGGTCTCGGGACCCCGGACACAGGTATAGCCCCCACCCCTGCCCCCTGCCCCCGGGGGAAGACATTAGATCAGCAGACTACTGGCCGAGTAATCCCCACTTAGGAAAATCAGGCCAAAAAAAAAAAAAAAAGAGTATTTCCTCTTGTCTTTAGGAGGCACTTCCGATCCCCCTGGGGGTGCCTCTTACTTGTGTTTGCTGTCTAGTGCCTAGTGTGAGCGAGAGCACATACCAATGTGCCCCGCAGAGATCATCCACACAGATAACTGGGGAGGTTTTTTCCCCTTCTGGCTTCACACATGATCTACACAACAGATAAACTTCCTCATAACCAAATGTGTAACCCAAATTAACCCCTGGAATTTCCTGACTCCAGGGCCCAGGACAAAGGGAGGATCTGGAAAATGGGTTTGCAGAAAGCAACTCAGGGCAGCCAAGCAGAGAAGCAGATGGTCTCATAGTTAACATCTAGAGTACCAGGTTCTAATCCCAGCCCCACTTCTTACAAATTACATGCTCCTGTGAGTTGTTTAACTAGTAGGCTACTATTTCCCCCCTCTAAAAGATGGGCACAGTAAGTGGATAAGAAGCTAAAATGATTAGAGCTAGCACAAGAGTGCTAGCTAAGTGATAATGTTGTCACCAGGCTCCCAGAGGTCGGGGGAGGTTGTATTGTAGTGATTAGGATTAAGACCACTCTGGCTTCGGGTAGGGGCGACGCCTTGGTTCCTGTGAGCCCCGTTTCTTCATTCTGAGAGAGGGCGTAGCAGGCATGAATCCTTTCTTTATTCTCCCTTCCTGATTCAGAAGGCTAAGTGGGGGACACGCTCTAGAAGTTACCAACAGGCTGCTTCTTTGAGACCCCAGATTCCCAGCAGCCCAGCTGCATCATCCTCCCCTCCCCCAGGTTCTGCGGGCTGTTGCAGCTGCCATCCCTGGCGGGGCAGCACCCTGGCCCAGTCCCAGGTTGCACACCCAGCTCTCCCCTTCCTTCGAGCTCGGACCTGTCTTTGGTCTAGGCTTGGCCCATCCCAACCTGTCAGACAGGGACGGTGATGAGACACGAGTCCTGGAAAGGTGGGGAAGAAGGTCAGAGTGTCTGTCACACCCCAAAGAACCTGGAGTGGTAAACAGATGAGGGGGATGGTACCGGGGAGCGTCCTTCCTGGGGAGGGCAGGAGCAGATCCCCCGGGGTTCGCTACTGATGGTCTATGCCTTTAAGCAAAAAGAATGGTGTGAGTGGGCTGGCAGTGCTGACATTTCTGTCCGGTTTGCTCATCCGCCTCTCTTTTCTCCTGCCTGTGACAGGTGCCCCAAGTGTGTGTACTCCGGAGGTCGCCCGATGGGGCTCCTGTGCAAGTCTTTGTGCCTGAGAATGGGGAGATCATCAGCCAGGTGTAACTACTCTGAAAGCCGTGGCCATGGCTGGAAAAGACTTTTATACTGGGGCTGAGGTTGAGACCCCCTCACCCTGAAGTGCGCCTTTCGTCTCTCCTACGCTCATCGCCGGCCGATGACTCAGCGCTGAAACCTCCGTTTTTTACGATTGTTTTCCCAAGCCCCTACCTGAGGATTTATATCTGTAATTTGTCTTCAAGGTTCCTGTAATATGATCATACTTTATGCCCCCAGAGTCTGGCCTTTTGGACTTAAGGTCTTGCTGGGCTAATTGACAGCATTTGTCTCCTTAGGCAGGCCAAGTGGCATGGAGGGCCCCTCGGGAGTCCCTGGTGCTCTGTGCCTTCCCTCTGAGGTAGCTGCTGGTTCTTACTGCTGGAGGCGGGGGTGTGGTACACACTGGACAAGGACTCCTCCCTTGTTTCCAGATCTCTGGGTGCCATACGCTGGGCAGGACTCTCCTGTCCCATTTATGTGCTCTGTGATGCACACACTGTGGGAGGAGAGGTCTTCATGTCTGGTGGGGCCCGGCCTTCCTGTATTGTCCTGACTCCACAGGTCTCCATTAGGAGCCCTCGCCACTGTTCTGTCTCCACACCCTCGAGCTCCCAGACCACTGAACCTGGAGTTTGAGGCTACATTAAACTGTCCAGTCAGGGGCCTGGCCTAGGGGGCTGGTTGGTGGGGAACACCTCATCCTCCACAGCCACGGCTGGCTGCCAACTATGCCCTCTAAAATCTTCATAGTCCTAGACACCAGCATCTTGGGAAAAAAATACATATATATACATACTTAAGTGCTACTTCTGTGGTGTGTGTGAGGTGAGAAGAGGCAGCAACTGTCCCTTCCACTTTCTGCCCAGCCGGTTTCTGCTCTGAGAAAAACTCTTGTTTGTCCACACCCGGAGAAGGAAGCTCTGTAATGACTCCTGTTGGGGTACTGGATTGTCTTAGACAACACGAAGGAGTTGTCCCAGCAGACCAGGCAAGTCAGGAAGCTGCCTGTGCTTAGACCAGTGGCACGCTTTGATCCTTACGCCTCCTTTGCTGCCAGGTCAGATGCCCAGGTAGCCATCTTGCATAGGAGCAGCTAGGAAGGTAGCGATTGTGACTTTGTGTGGCCTTCCTCACTGGAGCACTTCTCCAGTCCTCCCTTGGACAAACGCTGATGCCTGACTCTAACGGTCTATTTCTCCTGCTGGAGAGAAAACAGTGTGGTCCATTGCACTGGGACTGGGGGAGGGGCAGGCTTAGGGATTAGGGAGCTAAGAGGAGCTTGAGGGGATGCACAGGGCATTTCTGTCACTATTCTCACTACATCCCACAGCTCCACCCTCCACAGTGTGTGGGAAAGCCCCGTTTTGGTTTGTCTGGCTTCTGAGCCGCTCCCCTAGTGTAGATGTCCCCTCTCAGTGTGTCCTCTGGATCCCCAAGAGCCTTGGATCCTAAGTCACAGAGCTGGGAGACTTTGAGCGTCCACCCCTGACTCCACCTGAGCATCCATCACATTAACTTATTGGTCTTACCTAACAGCTATTACGTGTGTTTGCACAGCGGCTGTGCCGGAAGCTGCGGGGCTGAAACTGCTCAACATTGTGCCGAATACTTCAATAAAGTCTGATTGGCCCAGCTGAGGATGAAGGATTGTGTGTGTGTGTGTGTGTGTGTGGTGTGTGTGCGTACACGACTCCCTGAGGTGTCTGCCTGACCTTTCCATCTGGTCTGGCCATGTCCCTAGGGAGCAGGCGGGGGGGTGGCAGAGGGAGACCCAAGCTGCTCCCCTGACCAAAGGGAATCCCCCACAGCCCCTTGTGTTCTCCAGGGCCTGAGAGCTCTGCTTTGGACGTCACCTCTTCCAGAGAGATCAGAATTTGTGACAGCCTTACCTCTGGTTTCAAATGGCCCCAGCCAAGCAGTGGTTAGAGGTTTCTGAGAAACTGTTCCTTGTGGCTGGAAAAACAGGCTTTCCTTGTGTGAGGGAGGGTTGTCCATAACTCCTGTGTTTCTGCAGAGAGCCCACGGCGGGTCCCTCCACCATGGGGCAGGGGTGGGGAGAGACTGTGGCTTTCACTGCTACCCTGTAGGGGGTGCTCAGGACCTGGCAGCAGAGTGCCCCCTATGGCTGCAGCCTCTAGAGAAGTGTATGGCCTGAGTCTGAGGTAACATGTGTCAGGTAAAGGGGTCTCTGTTTTGCCTGTCCCTCTCCACAGTCAGGGAAGAGGTAGGTCACAAAGGGTCAGGGAGATGGCTCTGCAGGGGTGACTCCAGCCCTGCCCTGGGTGCCCGGCCCTAGGGACTGTGGGAATCTGACCTTCAAGGGCCTGCTTCATTAGGCCTGGAGGTGACATTCCATGTTGGATGTTGTTCCACGGACTCCAGAGAGAAGTTGTGGGAATCCTTACCTCAGACCTGGTCATCAATTTAACTGTTAGCTGCGGGCAGCAGGGACTTAAGTTTGGATTTAACTTACCTTGTGGTGAGTCTGAACTTTATTTTGCTGTGTTAGGGAAGGAAGCCGGTTTTTCACACATGGTAGTCAAGTATCGATTTTGTATTTTGGCTACTTGTTATCTGTTAGGCCAAGGAAACATGTTTTTAGACTTTCTTTTTTTAATGTAAATGGGTGTTTGGTCAGTATGTCCACTATGTGTGTGCAGTGCCCTTCGGCTCGAAGACAGCGTCAGATTCCCTGGAGCTGGAGTTACTGTGAGCTACCATGAGGGAGTTGGTAATAGAACCTAGGTTTTCCAGACGAGCAGCCAACACTCTTAACTGTTGAGCCATATCTCCAGCCCCCACGCCCAACACCAGGAAAAACCTGACCCAATATCAGGTTTTAATAATCTGTGATAATCTATCTGGGAGACAAGACGGGTTGAAGGGGGAGGGGCAAAAAAAAACAAGCAAATAGGGAATATTGAAGTTCTTCTATGCAGCTAGCCATGGAGTGTGCCAGTGTGAGGACCTGGTTGGGCAGCAACCTTCCAGTCCACAGGCTGGCTTTGCTGGGCCATGTTTGGGAGGGGCGCTGAACTCCCCTACCAGAGGGCAGAAATGGGATGGTGAATCCCAGGGAAGCAGAATGAAGCCTCTCTGCTCAGAGCAGCTTCAGGGTTTGACCTGAGGATGCCCAGAACCATAGATGGAAACTTCCTGGGAGCCAGCTTGATTCTGAGATTTCCCCAGGGGAGATCCTTGGATGAACGATGCCTACACAGGCCGTAAAGAATCAGGGTCCTTGGGGGAGGGGGGTCGGTCAGTGCACCTTCCCCTGAGGGAGCAGATAAAGTAGGAAGGTTACAAAGGGAGCCCAGCATGGGCAGCACTGTTGGGTCAATTCCTTTCCTGTAGTTGCTCTGTTGTTTTCTGCACTCTGCTCCAGGACTGTGGGTAAATTTAGAGCCTCGGTACAAGCAAAGGCTAACAGCAGTGCTCTGCTATTGGACCACACCTCCAACCCCATCCTTTTCTTGTAAATGGTCAGGCTGTCTCCTGCAGCCTCCCCCTATACTAACTCTGAATCCCTAGGAAGACCCATCTCTTACCAAGCCTGGCTGCTGGTCTCATCACAAGTTGTTGGGTCCTATACTGGTTGTGCAGATGAATCCACACCTCGACAGAAGCCAGAGCAGAACAACATCTCTTCGGTCAGCTTATGATTTCTTCTTGAAGCCAAGCTTGTCAGGTAAGCAGTTTTCCCCAGGCAGGGGTATCTCTCATCTCACTGTTGCTTGGAAGTGAGGACGAGCATGATTGCCTGGTCCTTGCTGGAGATGTCACTCAAAGGGCACGTGTCTGCTTACTTCTGGCTACCCCTTCCATAGCTCTAGTCTCTACAGGCCTGTCCCTCTTGCAAGCTTGCCTCCCTGAGAATCCTGAGCTCAGCTGGGCACTGACATTGTCTAAGATCTTGGCCATAGCTCACCTAGAGACAACTAGATGTTCAGGGGAAGCGGAGCAGGCCTTTCCTTGTCACCTCCAGGCCAGCAACCTCCTAACAGACACCTGCTTCAGACCAGTGGGGTTCAAATTCCAAGTTCTTACACCCCCAGTCTTTTTTTTAAATAAAATTTGGAGTTTAACTGAAAACACAACAGATACATTTAACAAAGAAATAAAACTCTTCTGATTATCAACTTGGAGATTCCAAGGATTCCCAAACATTGGAGACCTAGCTTATTCCTGAGGCAGCGAACGTCACAGAGGGTTGCAGTTCGAGCTATTCACATTGTGTAGCAGAAAAAAGAACCAAGTTCTGCAGATGTCCTTCCTTCCTTTTCCTAAAGTCTTCACAAAATAGGGTCTTTCCATGGTTCAAAGGAAAAACAGTTTTCTTTCCCAGTCAACGCACCCCCAGTCTTTTTCATTTTTGTTTTGATTTTGCTTTTGTTTTTCGAGACAGGGTTTCTCAGTAGCTATGGAACCTGTCCTGGAACTCGCTCTGTAGACCAGGCTGACTTTGAACTCACAGAGATCTGCCTGCCTCTGCCTCCTGAGTGCTGGGATTAAAGACGTGCGCCACCACTGCCCAATCAGTCTTTTTAAATTTAAGTGTCCTTTATTTTGTTAGTGTGTGTGTGCATGCATGTGTACAGTGTGCATGCTTGCTATGGCATATGTGTCGAGGTCAAAGGACAACTTACAGGGCCAGGTTTTCTCCACCATGTGGGTCGAGAAGATGGAATTCAGGCTGCCAGCCTTGGTGGCTAGCACCTTTACCTGCCGTTACTCTGTTGGCCTTTTCCTTTTTCCTTTCCCTCTTCCTCTTCTCCCTCCCCCTCCTCTTCCTCTTCCTCCTTTTCTTCTTCTAGACAGTCTTGCTACATTCCTCAAGCTTGTGATTGGCCTGCCTCAACCTCATGATTAGGAGTTCAGGGAAGTATCACCATGTCCTATCCACAAGTCTGTCTTGTGGACAGGGCACTTCGATGCCTGGTAGACATCTCAAAACCAGCATGCTCCACGCTCCAACTGAACCCTGACTTTGCTACCACTTTCAGATCTCCTCAGGTCAACAAACGGCCACCCAGTCCTTCTAGTTTCTCGGGGCCAAAAATGTAATCTGTTGTTTTTTTGTTTTGTTTGTTTGTTGCCTGTTTTCTCCAGGCAGAATCTTGCTGTGTGGTACCATGGCACTGGCTGGCTTGGAGTCCATTTTGTAGATGAAGCTGGCATCGCATTTGCCCTGGTTCTTTTGCCTCAGCCTCTTAAGTACTAGAGTCACAAGTGCGTGCTGCTACACCATCTGTTTTGGTTTTGTTTGCTTTTGTATCCATTTTTACTTTCTGAGACACAATTTTACTCTGAAGTCCAGGCAGGCTGGGAACTCAAACTTATATAGCCCAGCGTGCTCTCAAATCCAAGATCCTCCTACGTCTATCTCCCAAGTGCTTGGATTACAGGTGTGTAACGCTATGCCTAATTAATTTTTGTTTAATAGTTGTACCGGGGAATCAAACCCAGCAACTTCAGCATGTTGAGCTCTACCCCTGAGGCACACTCCTAACCCTAAACCACCTTGACTTCCTTTTAGCTCTCACACATCTTGTCCGTCATCTTTTTCAACTAATCATCAAAATAGATTGCAGGTCTGACAATTTAGTGCTCCCACCTCCCTCGCTGTATGCTTCCATTTGTCTCTCTGGGCTATTGTTTCAGACTCCCAACGGATCCCTCGGAAGGATTTTTTTTCCAGCCAGGTGGTAGTGGCCCACACCTTTAATACCAGCACTTAGGAGGAAAATGCACCCTGCACACTGTCATAGCCTTCATTCTTTTTTTTTTAAAGATTTATTTATTTATTTATTATACATACAGTGTTCTGCCAGAAGAGGGCACCAGATTGAATTGTAGATGGTTGTGAGCCACCATGTGGTTGCTGGGAATTGAACTCAGGACCTCTGGAAGAGCGGTCAATGCTCTCAACCTCTGAGCCATCTCTCCAGCCCCACCTTCATTCTTTTGCCTTAGCCCTTCTGGACTCTTTTTTCCTAGCCTCCCTCCTAAACTCTGTCTTCACTTCTCATTGGAGCAAGCCCTTAAGTCTATGCTCATCCCCCCCCCAGCTGACAAGACAGACTCCCAAGGCTGACTTGAATCAGGAATTTCAAAGGCAGTGTGGGACAGTCCTAGATATCTGTGGGATGCTGAGAGTGGCTTAAAGCCTTCTCCCTTCCCAACCATTCTTGAATCAGTGGCCACACCTGATGCAGAAGGTCTTAAGTCCACACTTGAATGCTTTCCGTGCTGACTCCTGAAGTCCCTGTGACGGGCGCTGTGCACACCCATGCTGCACCTCGGTGGTTTTCTAGTCTCCTCAATGGACGGGAGGGGAGGAGTGGCTGTCCCTTCCTTTCCCGCCTGATAAAATCAGCTAATCTCCTTCAATGACACCCTCTTCAGGATTGTGCCAATCAGAAAAGGAAGCCTACAAGCTGGTTCTGGACTTCATGGAACCAGGCGAGATGGTAAGGAGATTCTCTGAGAGCTGAAGAGCAAGGTGGGGAATCTAAGGTCCATCTTTTTCTAGCCCTAGCCTGAAGCCACCCAAATGTCAGCTCATTCGTGGCTCTTGATCTGGGGAAATTTGGAGCCCAGGCCACTAGGCAGGGTAACAGTACCCCTCTTCTCTAAAGGACATTCCTTTAGACTCTGCCCTACTGTCCCCAGAAGCCTACAAAGGCTGGAAATATCAGTGATGTCTAGCACTGAGACATAATCTATACTTTGGTCCGGTTGAGACTGGGCATAGTGTGTATAGTACAGGTCTCAGGTTCTGCCCTGAGACTGGTTTTGTCTTCTGCCTTAGTCCCTGACAGACAAGCTGAATTTCCTGCATGCCGTGTCAATTTTGAGCGGTGTTGTGCGTGACCAGGCAAATGGCAACATGAATAACTACTATCCTAAAACCCTTCTAGCCAGGAAAATTGAGGTGAGAAATAACATAACTCTTAGTTGGTTGCTCCGGGTTGAAGGTGACAGCCCTAAAATTGAGGGCTGGTAACCTCTTTGAGGTAAATTCTCACTTTTTCTGATCCTTCTAGACATTAATCGTGGAAGAACCCATGGATATCTTGGACAGTAGTGTGCGCCAGCAAGCTATGCTCTGCATTGTGGCTCTGAGGTTCTTTCCCCATGGACCCTCTCCCTGCCCCCAGGAATTCTGGTCCTAAGAACAGTTGGGTTGGGAAGACAGGCAAGGTTTGGGAACTTGACTGGAGGCTAGAAATGGCAAGGCCTATGGTTGCCACTTCATCTGCCTGCATCCTGGGACCAGGGGCACCTTTTGGAAATCTATTAAGACATCTAGTATAGGAAGCCTCCTTACTCGATGTTCTCCTGTCCTGACAAGGAATCACTGTAAAGTGGTCCACAGTTTTCTGTAGCTCAGGGAGTAGCAGAGCAGTTTTCCCTAGAGGGTTCTGAAAATATACCTCAGTCTCACACAGGACCCCCTAAGTCCCTTGTTTTTCATCGATTCTCCTCCAAGCCAGGTGAAGCCGCCTTTCCACTTATGCCAGAAGCTGGACCTGGTTAATGTTAGCATCACCAGCATATTTGCCCTGCCCCTCATCCAGCCCAGTCTAGACCGAAAGGAGAGTGCTAGTCTCTACCTCCAGGTAACCACTGTTGTTGTCTCTTGCTGAAGATCTCCATGGGGATGACTTTGTTTTGAGGACCACCTCCTGGGTGGGACTGATCAAGACCCCCTGAATGTGGGTGTCAGTGAGGAGGTCTAGGTAATCTATTGAGCCTTGGGTAGTAGGTCAGTATTTATCCCGGGTATACAAATGGACTTTGGGCTCCCATCCAACAATGAGAGATGCACTCTCACCCTGAACTCTTGGGGGAGGGTCTAGGCCTTGCCCTGGATGAAATGACAGACTATGGATACCCCCATGGAGGGCCTCACCCTCCCTGGGGAAATGAGGGGATATTGGGGGAGTTGGTGGGAGAGCTCTGGAGGAGGGGAGGGAAAGGGAGAAGGACCTGGAATTGACATGTGAAGCAACCTTGTTTCTAATTTAAATTTAAAAATAAAAAAGAAAATATATAAAAAAAAAGAAAAAAGAGAGAGGAGCCTGAACCCACCTTTAGTAAGGCTGAGCAAGTTCAACACTAAGGAAAACTATAATGTAGCTGATATGTGAGCAGATGCAAGGACAACAGGACCACACTGGCTCCCTGCTCCTTTATCCTATAGAGGAGATGGCGGGAGTGTTCCCAGGAAGCTAAGCAAGCCACGTGACAGTCATCCTATCGCACACCCCATGTCTCCTTGATTCTCAGACAAACCAGGCCTTGGATGAAATGCTACAAGCTCTTGTGATGGAAGATAGGAGCCCCAACATGCTTATTCTGCAAAACTTCGTGGAGGTAGGTGGCTGTAGTACCAGAACCCCATACTACTCTTGTATTGTATGCTGGCTAAGGCAAGAAAGGAGTATGACAACAGTCAGGTGCTCCTCTAGTTCCAGGATTCTCAAGCTTCATTAGAGGATGCAGTCCTGTGTCTCCCCCAAGATACTCTGAGGGTGACATTTGGGGACCACAGTCGTCAGGCTGAGAAGCCTTTTCCATCTAGAACTTGGGCATGCTGGGGCATTAGCAGTGATCATATTTATGTCCTTTAAGTTTGGGCTAGATTTGAATCATCTGAGTGTGTTTTCCCTTGCTGTCACTGCTCTGTGACAGAGATCAGTGTTCACCCTTAGGCTAACTTGAAAGCATTATCAAGTGCTTTTGTTTTTCTTTAGTTGACTTAAGATATTCTTAGTTTTGGCAAATTTTCACTACCTGAGAATGAGTTTGAATTAGGGAAATAGCCAAGAGTCCATTGAAAATAACGCTCACGAGCAAAATGGCTATTGACTGGACTAAGACATTTTGCCTAAAATAGTGTATGATTACAAATAGAGATAAGACTGTCTGGTTATCTCATAAGATGGTCTTGATGAGGGCTGCATCCAGATGAGGCACTTGTTTGTATTTGGGAGAGTGACATAGTGCTCTGGAATGTACTGCTGCTGGTGTGCTTGCTGAGAGGCGTTTCTGTGCTTTATAGACACCTCATTGTGGGTGCAATAACAAACCCCTGTTATTCTTGGAGTTCATGGGGGGGGAAGGGAGGCACTGAGCTCTAGTCCTCAGCGTTCATTACAAGGCTCCTTGTTCTCCAAAGGAAAATGGTGCCAAGCATAGTGTATATGTCTATAAATATAGCACTAAAATGCAGAAGCAGGAGGATTGCAATGAGTTTGAGGCCAACCTGGGCTATATAGTGTGACTTTGTCTTAACTACATAAAACAGCACCATGCAAAAGTTTCAACCTTTCATAAAAATGGATTATTTTGTTCTATTTTTATTTTTTATTATTTTTTCAAAGTAACTGTCTGCAATTTTCTCTTTCTCTTAAGGAAAATAGATTTTTTTCTCATACAATATATCCTGATTATTGTTTTCACTACTTTAATTTCCTCCCCACACCCCCTCCCCTCCAGATCCATTTCCTTTCTGTCTCTCATTAGAAAAAAAAGGCCTTCTAAGAGATAACAATGAAGCATAACGAAAATATAATATGTTAAGGTGAAGTAAAAACTTTTATATCAGGCTGGGTGGTGGTGTTGCATGCCTTTAATACAGCACTCAGGAGGCAGAGGCAGGTGGATCTCTGTGAGATCGAGGCCAGCCTGGTTTACAAAGTGAGTTCTAGGACAGCCAGGCTTGTTACACAGAGAATTCCTGACTGGAAAACCAACCACCCAACCACCAACCAAGCAAAAAACCTTTCATATCAAAGTTAGCAACCCAACAGGAGAAAAAGAGTCAGAGATCCACTTTCTTATAGTCAGGAGTCCCATAATAACACTATTAGCTATAATAATAATAACACTATTAGCTATAATACATACACAGAGGACCTGGTGAGACCTGTGTAGGTCCTGCGCTTGCTGCTTCAGTCTCTGTGAGCTCTTTTGCACCTTGCTCAGTTGACTCAAAGGATCTTGTTCTCCTGGTGTCCTCCATCCCCTCTTAGAAGTTTTCTTCCTCCTCTTCCTTGGGATTCCCTGAGCTCTGAGGGAGGAGTTTGATGGAGGTCTCCAATTTAGACTCTCTCTGTATAATGTCTGGTTATGGGTCTCTGCATCTGTTCCTATCTGCTGCCTGGGGAAGCCTCTCTGATGATGATTGTATAAGTCACTGATTTATGAGTGTAGCAGAATATCATTAGGAGCTATTTTATTAATACTTTTTTTGACCAGTAGTGTTTAGTCTTACTAGGTCTCTGGGATGTCTAGTTTCTGGTTCTTGTTTACGCTAGCAGTGTTGGTGGGTTCCTCTTCGGGGAGTTGGCCTTAGGTAAAATCAGACATAGGTTGGCTGCTCCCACAAGTTCTGTGCCACCAATGCCCTAGCATATTTTGTAGGAAGATCAGGTTGTAAATCAAAGGTTTTGTGGCTGGGTTGGTGTCCATATTTCTCTTTCAGTAGCCTTCAGAGTACTTTCTGCACCAAAGACACTAGATTATAGGGGTAAAGGCTCCAAGTAGGTGTCAGCTCAGCTTCTCTATGTTCAGTGAGTTGTGTAGATGTTATCCTTAGCAAAGGGGCCCCACCATCAGTTTGTGGGGAGCAACATTTTGTCTTAGCATCAGCCTGGGTTGTTTCGAGGATTTCCACGGGACTCCCTTGGGCAACAACTCAATTGAATGCAACCCACTGGTCATTTGAGACTATATATCCTGCATTACTAGGAGTCCTCATAGGGATCACTGTCTTAGTTAGGGTTTCTATTGCTGTGAAAAGTCAGCAAGACCATGGTAAGTCTTAAAAGGAAAACATTTAATTGGTACTAGCTTACAATTTCATTGGTTTAGTCCATAACTGCCATGGTGGGAAGCATGGCAGCATGCAGGCAGACATAGTTCTGGAGAAGGAGCTGAGAGTTCTACATCTCCATCTACAGGCAGTAGAAGGAGACTGTGAGCCACTAGGTAGGCTTGAGCTTCTGAGACCTCAAAGCTTGCCCCCACTTCCTCCAACAAAACAACATAGTGCCTCTCCCTATGGACTAAGCATTCAAATACACGAGTCTATGGCAGCCATTACTATTCAAACTACCACTTTCCACTCCCTGGCCCCCATAGGCTTATAGCCATAATATAAAACAAAATTCATTTAGTTCAACTTCAAAAGTCCCCATGGTCTATAACAGTCTCAAACTTGTTTAAAAGTACAAAGTCTCTTCTGAGACTCATGAATTCTCTTAATTGTAACTCCTGTCAAATCAAAATGAAAAAGCAGATCACATACTTCCCACATATAATGGCAAAGGACTTAAATTACAATTCCAAAAGGGAGCATAGTGAGGAAATCCTGTCCTAAACAAAGACCGAAAACCAGCTGGGCAAACTCCAGGCTGTTTGTCTCCATGTCTGATGATAAATGCTCTACAGATTTCCAACTCTTTTCCGTATTGTTGACTGCAACACACTTCTCTCTCTTGGGCTGACCCACTCCCTGTTAGCAGCTTCCTCGGCAGGTATCCCGTGGCTTTGGCATCTTCAGCATTTTGGGTTCTCTAAGGCAATCCAGGTTTCACCTTCACAGCTTTACACATTGGCCTCTCTAGGCCTTCACTCAGAGACATCCCTGATCTATGCCTGGACTCAACAGCTTTCCTTAGTCTCAGAGGGAGATTCTATAACCCCTTCCTGCTATCCTTGACTCTACAGCCAGAACCTCCTGGCCTAAGCAGTCAAGTTCTGCTGCGTTCTGGGGCTGGAACCTGCCCCCCTCATTCAATTACATCTTCACCAACTCTCTGTTTTTGATGGTCTCCTTCATTTCCTGTACTTTGCTGTCCTGAACTTGCTTTGTGGACCAAGATGGACTTGAACTCTGAAGCCTTCTCGGCTCAGTCACCTGAGTGCTGGGATTAAAGGGATGTACCATCATATCTGAACCTAATCTCGTCTTTAATTCCTTTTCACAAGTGGAAAGCTTAGCTGGGTGAGGGCTTCCCCTGAAGTCACCACTCCCTTTATGCTACTTAATATCTGGCTTTTATTTATTCCATGTGTCTCCATTCCACTCCCTGGTGGCCCCCTTTTCCTCAAATTGTACATTTTGTAACTTTCCTTATTCAGCATGCTCTTTTTCACTATAGATCTGCGTAAGTGTGGTCACTAATAACCATACAACACAATCCACACTAGGTTGTTTTGAAATCTCTTCTGCAAATCCAAAACTCTTAAACTTAGCCTCAGGCAAATATTTGGACAAGGGCAGAAAGCAGCCTCACTCTTCACCAAAGTATCACATGAATAGTCTCTAGGCCACATACTAACCTTCTTCTTCTCTGGAACCTATTGAACCAGGCCCTCACAGTTCAAATCGCCCTCAGCACCACTGTCTTCTGTGCTTATACTGGTATGGCCCTTTAAGCCCCACTTAAAGTTGTCAACTGCTTTTCTAATCCAAAGTTCCAAAGTCCACATTCCTCCAAATAAAATCATGGCCAGGCCTATCGCAGCACTACCTCACTTCCTGGTACCAACTTCTGTCTTGGTCAGGATTTTATTGCTTCATAGATTCCAGTAAGTTTCCACTGTACTAGGTTTCCACACCTAGCTTATCATTTATTTTATAGCTAATAGGCACTTATATGTGAATACATACCATTTTGTCTTTCTGGGTCTGTGTTAACTCACTCAGGATGATTCTTCTTTTCTAGTTCCATCCATTTGCCTGCCAATTTCAGGATATCATTTTATTTTAACAGCTGAGTAATATTCTATTGAGTGAATGCACTACATTATGTTTATCCTTCTGTTGAGGGACACTTAGGTTGTTTCCAAGTTCTGACTATTATAGAGTTGTAATGAACATGGCTGAACAAGTGTCCTTGTGGTAGGATAGAGTATCCTTTGGGTATATGCACAAGAGTGGTATAGCTGGATCTTGGGGTAGATTGATTCCCAATTTTCTGAGGAACTGTCATGTTGATTTCCATAGGGACTGTACTAGTCTCCATCAATGGAGAGTGCTCCACTTGCTCCACATCCTCATCAGCATGAGCTGTAACTTGTGTTATTGATCTTAGCCATTCTGACAGGGGAAAGATGGAATCTCAAAGTAGTTTTGACTTGTATTTCCCTGATGGCTAAGGATGTTGAACATTTCTTTTAATGTTTCTCAGTCACTTGAAATTCCTCTACTAAGAGTTCTTTTAGATCCATACCCCCATTTTAATTGGATTATTTAGTTTTTTGATACCTAGTTTCTTGAGTTCTTTACATATTTTGGATATTAGTCCTCTGTTAGACGTGCAGTTGGTAAAAATCTCCTCCCATTTTGTATGCTGCTATTTTGTCCTATTGATGGCGTCCTTTGCCTTACAGAAGCTTCTCAGTTTCATGAGGTCCCATTTATTAATTGTTGGTCTTAGTGTCTGTGCTACTGCTGTTCTATTCAGGAAGCAGTCTCCCTGCCAATGCATTCAAGGTTAATCCCTCCTTTCTCTTCTATCAGGTTCAGTGTATCTGGTTTTATGGTGACGTCTTTGAGCCACTTGGACATCAGTTTTGTGCAGGATGACAAATATGGGTCTATTTGAATTTTTCTACATGCAGACATCAAGTTTGACTGGTGACATTTCTTGAAGATGCTTTCTTTTTTCCAGTGTGTATTTCTGGGTTCTTTATCAAAAAATAGGTGTCCATAGGTATAGGATTTATATCTGGGTCTTCAATTTGATTCCATTGATCAACATGTCTATTTTTATGTCAGCACCATGCAGTTTTTATTACTATAACTCTATAGTATAACTTGAATTTAGGATGAATACCTCCAGCAGTTTCTTTATTGTTAGGATTGTTTTAGCTTGGATATTTGTTTTTCTATAAGAAGGGGAGAATTGACTTTTCAAAGTCTGTAAGAATTCTGTTGGAATTTTGATAAGAATTGCATTGAGTTTGTAGGTTGCTTTTGTTAGGATGGCCAGAAAATGAGTTATTTTATATGAGACAAAATTTGTATTATATTTACCACCTCATTTAGAAAAAATTTGTATAAAATAATTGTAACATAATGTGTCATAATTTGTTTTAATTTAACTTTGAATAGTAGGCTGTAACCAAAGATGCTTGGGGGAAAGCTACATAAAAACGATATGTAAAGAGTTTAAATGGGAGGCTAGAGAGATGGCTCAGAGGTTAAGAACAGTGGCTATTTTTCCAGTGGTCCTGAGTTCAATTCCCAGCAACAACATGGTGGCTCACAAGCACCTATAATGAAATCTGGTGTCCTCTTCTGGCCTGCAAGCAGAACACTGTATACATAATAAATAGGTCTACAAAAAAAAGTTTAAATGGAGTTCCTCTATATAGAGGGATAATGCCTTTACCAGACACCATAGACTGTCAAACAAAAAACCTAACACTAGTATGAATTACCTTCCTTTAAGATGTTGGCCAATGTTATTTCCATAGCCCCTCAAACAATACTTTTGTTGCCCATGGTTACTCAGCAGGACTTGATGGTAAGACACTGTTGTTAAAAAAGCACCTCATACTGGAGTCACTGGATGTGAAGAAATAAAGCTGGCACTGATCTGAGAGCTTCCTTCCTATTGGCTAGATTTCATAGCTCAGGCTTGCCTTACACTCACAGCAGACTTCCTGCCTCTGTCTCCTGAATGCTAGGGTTACAGATGTGAGCTACCGACTCCAGCTTAATTGTAGATTTTCAGTATACATCTATGAAAAGTCTGAGTTTGTATTGGATGCCATGTATGGGTCGTTTTCTCTCTCTGTCTCTGTCTCTGTCTCTCTCTCTCTGTCTCTCTCTCTCTCCCTCTCTCTCTCTCTCTCCTCCCATTCTCCCTAATGCAATGGATTGAACCCAGCTCCTCAGGCAAACATTGTATCACTGAGCCACAAATCCAGTTCATTTCTTACACCCCTTCTTTTTCCCCTTTAATTTATTTTTATTTTTAATTTATTTAATTAACTTATTTATTTACTTATTTATTTTTTGAGACGAGGTTTCTCTGTGTAGTCTTGGCTACCCTAAACACACTCTGTAGACCAGGCTGGCCTTCAACTCAGAGATCCACCTGCTCCTGTCTCCCAATTACACACAGAAAATGTGTGGTTGGATTAAAGGTGTGCACCACCAAAGCATGAATGTCCATGATAAGGAGAAAGATTCCTATTCCTCAACTCTGACCCCAGACCCACTTTCCAAAAGTGAGCACCAAACAGGTCCCCACAGGTGGGACCTCAACCTAAACAGCAATAAAAATACTGCCCCGCAAGACTGCAGAAGGATGACAAGAGTCCTTGTCCACAGAACCCTTACTGGAAGCACATTATCACCAAGCCCTAGCAACCACTGGCTCTGAATTTACCCTTCAGAGACACTTCACTCCCGAGCCTGGCCTAGCAGGTGGGGGTGATGTGTCTTTCATTTCCCCCTTGTCCTTGAAGGTCTGCCTTGCTCTCCCTGTACCATCTCTCATGTGAAGGGACACAGATGGAACCTATGGAGTGAATGATAACTTAGCTCCTCTAGTGACCACTCTAGCTTCCTTCTGTTGGTCTTTTTTGGCTGTCAGCTGTAGACACAGGACAAGCCAAGAAGAGAGCGCTGCTCCACGGCCCTGTTGATGAGTCCCTCTGTCCTGTCTGCAGATCATCTTGCCTTGGTTAATGCTGTCTGACAAAGTGCACCAACAGACCCGAGCCTTGGGCACTATTTCCCGATTGCTGAGGTTTGTTTGCAATTTCTCGGAACTGTTGGTGAGTATTTGTGGTGAACTGTTGGTGAGTATTTGTGGTTGCTGCAAGGCAGACCCAGCAGGCTTTGCTTCTCTATGGAGGAGGGATGCTGGTTGAGCCTGGGTTCTGCAGGGGCAACTGGAGGGCAGGTAGTCAGAGTACATGCACCCCACTTTTCTGCATCAGTGTTTATTTCTGTCCCTGAGGCTCAAGAGGCTTGATATGTTCTTTTGTCTGTTCTGGACCTAATAAGCTCCAAGGAGCCTGGTTGAAGTCCTTGGCCTGGACAGCTGATGGAGACCCAGTGCCCACTGGGTAATGAATGTGTTTCAGGGCTTTAGCTGTTCCTTTCCTTGCCGTTAGCTGGCGTTGCTTTCCTTGGCCAGGACAGTGTGGGGTAGGAAGGGATGGGACTCATCGAGGCAATGGTAAAGCAATATAGAAGGAGGATAAATATGGGGTGGGGGATCTTAGCGGGGAGAAGCTCCCTCGGGATGAGGGGAGGTAACCATGTCTGCTTCCTGTCAGCACATAGTATCGTTCTCCATAATGGGGAGGCTGATTGGAACCTTCAGCGTCTTCTGCCTGAATCCCAGCCAGGAGGTCAGTTCGGGAGCACTGGAGGCACTGTATTACGTGTTCACCGTCCTTGTGCTGCAGAGAAGTAAGTGGGACGAACCCTGACTACCTGCCCTCCAGTTGCCCCATCTCCGATAGTATGTCCTTTTCAATGATGTTCTTGCGAGGGGGCATCTAAGCTTGTAGCCACTTACAGGGGTCCACTTGGATCTTCAACATTTCCTAGATGTCCCACAACACTAGGGAAGTAAGCATATTTTTCTTGGGGAACAAATGTGGGGATTTTTGACCAAGCCCTTCTGTTTCAAACAATCATGGTCACAGAGACACCAAAGGCATTTGGAAACTCCCTCCCCACCCCACCCAAGGCAGTTTCAGAGACCTTGGCTTCTTGTGGTTCAGTGTGGGTACAATCTGCTAAGCACACAGGGATGGCTCAAGTCCACATTTTGTCATGGTACAGGAACAGGGGCCAGCCTGAGTCCCAGTCCATACCCTTCCTTCACCTTTCATTTGAACGCTAGGGAATTCCCTCTATACTTTGGGGCTAGTGCTGTTTAATCTGTTCGTCTCTATTGCTCTCAGAGGCCTGGAGAAGAGGTGGGAGCGTGGGTTCCTTTCCTCTAATAAGGCCTAGCCCTTTACTTGCTGTTTTTGGATCGGAGGTATCAGACCGAAGACAGAGGCCATCCTGAAGGACTTGCAGAAGCATTTCCGTGGAAACTGGATGGCCAACATGCAGAATCTCACACTGGTAACCCAGATGCCCACTGTGCATGGGATGCCCAGAGCGGTTGGGTTAGCGGGGGAGACAGGAGGCTAGGCAGTAGATTGTAGGAGTAATAATCCCACAGACAGGAGTGTTTACAAAGTTCAAGTTCTCAGGACAGGTGGATAATTCTCCTAGTGGCACTTGAGCTGTGTGAAGTGAGAGGTCACCAAGGCCATTTTAGAAAGAAGTGCTGATGTCTCCAAGCTCAGTCAACCCAGATCACCTCAGCTAAACATCCAGGATTTGTCCTATGCTCCTTCCCCTCTCTCTCTCCCCATATCCAAAGCCATACCACACTTAACTGCTCTGCCTCCCGAGTCCCCCATCACCTCTCGCCTGGTCAATACAGCAGCCTCTTCCTAAATACTCCGTTTCAGCCATCTTTCTGCTCTACCTTTTCCACGTGCAGCCAGAAAAACATTTCTAAAATACAAACCTCATAACATTTCCTTCAGACTCCATGCAAACTCTCTGTCGTCTTCCTCTACGGTCTGAGCCTCCTCAGTTGGTCTACCAGGACCTTAAGGGTCTGGTTCTTGCCCTTGCCTGCCCCTGCCTTGTCCTTACTCAGTCTCCTCTTCCTGCTGGCCCCCCACCCCCATCGTCCATGCAGGATACTGGAGTCACACTAGGGGCCTTCCCATTCCCCACCTTCACAATTCTACCTCATTGATGGAACTTTGACCCCATTTTCCTCAGGACTGGACCCCAGGGAGACTTTTTCGTTTTCCCAGCTAGTTTCAGCACCCTGCCACAGACACTCTTAGCATTTTCGCCCACACTATCTTCGCTGCTTCCCAAGCCAGGTACCAAAGGGCAAAGGTACCAAGAGTTGTCTTATTCACAGTCCTCCCTAGATCCCAGCAATAGAGCCACATACAGAGCTGGTACCAATGCTGCTTGACCTCACTGAGCTTCACATTTGCACACTCCCATGTGGGGCATGTCACATTTTCTACTTGCTTTGGAATGCTGTAAAGCCACTAGGCATAGAATATGTTTCCAATGGGCTCACCTAATTGCATTTCAAGTTTAGAAATGAAAAGGCCAATGTGATACATTGTCTGGACTGTTGCTCCTTCTTGGGGACATCAGAGTTGGTAGCACTTTGGAGTTGACCTCAAATCACAGATGTTTCCCAGGCTGCCTCCTAATTGAACCCCGTCTGATGGGTCTCTGTGGGTGCCTGATGCTCTGGGGGCTGTCTTCAAGTGGGATGCTGGGATGGAGAGCTTCACTCTTCTTTCAGTTCTTCAGGAAGTACCTGACCCCTGTAGAGAGAGCCGATGTGATCATGGTGGCCATGGATGCCATGACCAGTGGCAGCACAAATAATATCTTGGCAGCCACCAAGATGTTAAAGGTGATTCTGAAGTGCCCTCTTACGGAAGTCGCCAAGGTAGGCGTTGGAGGGCACATGGCTTTAAAATCTCTCTGTTCTGTTTGGGGATCTTGTTCTATTTCCTATCAACTTGAGCTTAAGGAATCCCAAGTCCCTTAACTCTGGGGAGAAAAAACCTATATGGAGAGTTCTTTTAACAAAAGTGCAGAAGGTACTTTTGTGGGAAAGAATGAAGTAGTGATGACCAGGCTCCCATCTGTATTAGGAAGGCAAGAATTGTGTCAAAGATGGAGTGGGAGGGTACCATGGGTTCCCAGGACCTTGGTCATCTCTCCCATTTCCAGAAATTGTGTATATATTATGTTGTAGCTGCTCCTTCAAGTAGGTGGGAGAATGCATGGTCAAGAACAATGGTAGGCAGAGGTATAGATATTAGTGACCAACCAAATGCCTGACAGAAACAGCTTTAGGAAGGGAAGGTTTCTCCTGGTTCACAGCTTCGGAGGGTTTCAGTCTACCATGACAAGAATGACATGGCAGAGAATCTCTGTACATGGCAGCAGGAGTGTGTGCAGGAGCCTGTCCCCATGGCAGTAGACTAGGAAGCAGGGCCGGGTACTGGAGCCAGGGGCCAGGCTGTTGCCTTCAGAGGCTTACCTCTAGCAACGGGATTTTCACTAGCTAGGTCCCCCTAATCCACAGCCTCCCAAAATAGTGCTGCCCACGGAGAAACAATTGTTCAAAGCGTGAAGCTGTGGAGGCATTTCCGACTCATACATTAACAACAAAGATATACTCGAGTATGTCTTGACTGAATGTGAGGTATACTAATAAACTGAAATGGTTGAAAGCTGAGAACACACCTCACTCACCAAACAGCCTGCCTTAACAGCACACTGTAGTGCCGGCCGTCTCTCCTCTTGTCATCTGGTTACTAACAAAGTTGCAGCTCACGGCCACCACCCAACTAGGAATATCGTCCCACATATCACTCTCCCCAGAGAGGATGGAACTTCAAAGTATTGTTTTTAAGGAATATGTGTTGTACCACCCTTTTTCTTTTGGGCCACCAACCAGCTCCCAAATCATGACATGGAGACTTCTTATTAGTTATGAATGCTCGGCCTTATCTTATGCTTGTCCACTAGCTCTTATAACTTTACCTGTTTCTCTTCATCTACTGTTTACCACAGGTCTCTTTTACCTTTCTTTCCACATGTCCTACTCTGTGCCTGCTGGTTGGCAGCTACCTGACTGGTCCTGGGCATCTACCTCTCTTTCTTCCTAGTCTCTCTCTCATTCTCTCTCTCTCTCTCTCTCTCTCTCTCTCTCTCTCTCTCTCTCTCTCTCTCTCTCTCTCTCTCTCTCTCTCTCTTCTTCTTCTTCTTCTTCTTCTTCTTCTTCTTCTTCTTCTTCTTCTTCTTCTTCTTCTTCTTCTTCCTCATGCTTAGAATTCTCCTCCTACTTATTCTCTCTGCCTGCCAGCTCACTAATTCCTCTCGTGCCAGCCATTGGCCATTCAGCTTTTTATTAAACCAATCAGGTGCTTTAGGCAGGCAAGGTGAAACAGCAACACATTTTTTTAAAATAAGCGAATGCAACAAAAACAAATGTAACACATATTTACATTGTTAACAAAGGCAGCATAAACAAATACAACACATCTTTGTTAACAAAGGCAGCATAAGCAAATATATCACATCTTTGCCTAGCTAAAATAATATTCCACAACAATGTATCGCTTTAAAGCCATTGTAAAGTTGGAAAATCACAACAGCAGGAGCTATGTTAGTGTGGGATAAACACTTAGGAGATGTGGGCACTAAATTGAAATGGGTCGTGCAGACTCCTTCATCAGAAGGAGAACCAGTCTCAGTATAATTAAGATGGGACAGTCTGGCTTTAGCTGTTCTGGTTATTAAATCATTTTAAAAGACCCATTCTATCTGCCCTCTCTCTTGCTCACCACATCTTCTGTCAGCTTTCCTGGATTCAGCCCTTTGTGGTTCTTGCCTGCAGAGCCATCTGGTCATGTGCCTCAAAGCAGACCACTGATGGGCCTTTAGAGATGAAGGGGCCTCTGGAGCCAGCTACTCAGCCCGGTGTTCAGATTGTATGCTAGTGAACCTGGTGATAGACTCCGCTGTAAGCAGCATGTTCATTGCATAGTCAAATGTGAACAATGTGCCTTAGAGCTATGCGGGGAGAGAGGGTAAAGACACTTGTCACCCTATCTTAATAACAATCCTAAAAATGTAATTCCATATTTGCCCCTGGCTTGTGTTCAATTCTTGGCATCCTGCAAAGAAGCAGCTCTCCATCTTTTGTTATTTTTCTCCCATTAAACCCAGTCATCGTTTCCTTGGTTCATGGCGTAAACCAGTGATGAGAATATACCATGTTATACCCAAACTTCAACCTAGACAGTTTTTTTTCCTTTAAACATATCTTTTTATTTGCAAACTGCTTACTTAAAAAGAATTAAGATCAGACCGGACATACGGTTCAGTGGGTTAAGAGCATGTATTGCTCTTCCAAAGGACCCAAGTTAAGTTCCCAGCACTTGTATTGGACAGATCTTACCTGTAATTCCAGCTTCAGGGTATCCTCTGTTTTTAGCCTCCATTGTCACTGCACACATGCATGTACATGCCCAAACATGTGTGTGCACACACACACATACAGTTAATAATAAAATAATGAGGAAAAGCTCAAAGAGGCCAAAAGTCGTGGAGATTGGTAGCGTTCTAACCCAGTGGTTCTCAACCTTCCTAATGCTGTAATGCTGTGACCCTTTAATACACGCTGCTCATGTTGTGTAGACCCCCAGCTATAACATTATTTTCATTGCTACTTCATAACTGTGATTTTGCTACTGTCACAAATAGTAATGTAAATATCCTGTTACGCAAGATATTGCATATGTGACCCTTGTGAAAGGGTCATTCAACCACCAAAGGGGTCACACCCCACAGGCTGAGAAGCGCTGTTGTAGCCAATGCAGATGTGCTAACTCAGATGCTAAGGAGGATGAAATTATTTCTCTTGTTTTCTAAGTGAGGACACAATATACAGGGAAGATGAAAATTATCCTCTAAGTCTCAAAGGTAACTTTGGAAGTAGTTTCTCTGCTTCATATACCAGTAATCAGAACTAGCCATTTCCTCTGTCCACAGTGCCCTTCTGATGCAACAATCATATACCTATTTCCCAAGTCATTCTTCATGCCATGTGTTCCAGACATGGTGTGGCCCTCCATGGCTGCCTTCTCTCTGCCCCTCTGAAGGCCTGAAGGTTATAGTCTCACAGTCCTCTGGGAGCGACTGGCCAGGGCAGAGTACAGCAGGACAGAGCTGTGCTCGGTCCTGAAGCTGTATTGTTTGCAGCCCACACTTTAAGTGGTGACTTCCACTCAGCTAGTGTTGCTGTCCAAACAAAGCAAAGCAAAACAAACAAGCAACTCTCCCTCCTTGTTCTTTTAGGTGCCAGAAATCATCCAGTTAATTTACTACCACATAGACAGAGTCACCGACACAACTGTTCAAAGTACCATAAAGAAGACCTTCCAATTGCTGGTCCAGTATCATACGGATGAAGTTATCCTGACACTGTTCAAGATACAGGACCAGTCACAAAGGTTACCGTCCCATCAGCTACAAATCTGCAGGCCACTAGTCGTCCTTTTAATAGCATATCTGCGTGCGTGTGTACATGTTCAAGAGTGTCTGCATGTGCGTGCATATTTGTACACATGTGTGGAGACTGAGAGGATGTCAGGCATCTCCCTTAGCCACATTTCACCTTTCTGTGGCAAGGTTTCTCACTGAGCTTGGAGCTCACCAGTTCAGCCTGGGACCCGACTCTCCACCTCCCCAGTGTTGCTGCACGCCCCTCTATGTGGCTGTTGGGGCTCTGCATGCATCTCCCCACTCCCTAGCTTATTCTTAAAATGTATTCAATAGTGGATACTTTATTTGTTTGGAGCAGAGTGATTCTTTCTGCCTTACTGCAGGAAATCTTGGAAGCATGTAAAATACAGAAAAGACAAAGTAAAAAAATGTGTTAAATTTCAGCCACTAGCTGAATGATAACCTTCAGTTACCATTTGAGTATAATTCATCTTCTGAAAGCAGTTTTTAGAAAACATTATAGCCCGGTGTTAGTGGCGCATGCCTTTAATCCCAGAGGCAGAGGCACTCTGTGAGTTCAAGGCCAGCCTGGTCTACAGAGTGAGTTCTAGAACAGGCAGGGCTGTTACACAGAGAAACTCTGTCTCAAAAAAAAAAAAAATCAAAAACAAACAAACAAAATATCAAAACAAACCCAAAGCCATATATAATGTATGTATGCTATATGCTATATATGTTATATTGTATATAATATATGTATTTATCATTTGGGTATAATTTATGTTTTGTCTACTTTCTGAAAGCAGTGTTTTTAAAAACATTATATAATATACATATGCTATATGTTGTATATCATGTGTTATATTGTATATAATATGTTGCATATATGTATTCATTATATATGATATATGTATGGTTAAACCCATACTATATGTACAAATCCATGTGTTTTTTCGTTACAGAATTTCCTAAGTTATTACCCTCTAATAAGTAAAAATTTCATGGCTTCTTTATCTTACATTGTAAGGCTATACTATATTATAATTTTTTTAAATAAAAAGTTAAAGTTGGTGGCACAAGTTTTTTTTTTTGCTTTTTGTTTGTTTGGTTTTTTTTTTTTTTTTGGTTTTTATGAGACAGGATTTCTCTGTATTGTTTTTGAGGCTGTCGGTCAGCCTCGAACTCACAGAGATCCGCCTGCCTCTGCCTCCCGAGTGCTGGGATTAAAGGCGTGCGCCACCACTGCCCGGCGGTGGCACAAATTTTTAATCCCAGCAGAGGCAGGCAGATCTCTGTGAGTTCGAGGCCAGCCTGGTCTACAGAGGGAGTTCCAGGGCAGCCAGGTCTACACAAAGAAACCCTGTTTCGAAGACTAACAAACAAAAAGTTAATATATGTGTAGCAAATTCACCTTTTCAACATATAGTTATATGAATTCTCTGAAAATATGGTCACAGTAACCATCACTACAACCACGATGGCATGACCATGACCACCCCTCCCCAATTCCCCACACTATCTTTCTAGGGCCTGTCCCTTCCTATACCCTCCGTTGCCGGCAGCCATGTTGTCTTTTTTTGGGGGGGGGCGTTTCGAGACAGGGTTTCTCTGTGGCTTTGGAGGCTGTCCTGGAACTCACTCTGTAGACCAGGCTGGCCTGGAACTCACAGAGATCCGCCTGCCTCTACCTCCCGAGTGCTGGGATTAAAGGCATGTGCCACCAACGCCCGGCTCCATGTTGTCTTTTTTTTTTTATTTAACTTTTTGTGTATGGTGTTTGTGACTACATGCATGTCTAGGCACCATATGCATGCCTGGTACCAGCAAAGTTCCGAAGAAGCTGTTGAATTCCCTGGAAATGGAGTTCAGATGGTTTGTGAGCTGCCATGTGGGTGCTGGGGATGGAACCCAGATATTCTGGAAGAGCAACCAATGCTTTTAACTGCTGAGTCCCCTCTGGAGCACAGCAAATTGTCTTTTAACCCCCCCATTTTATTTTCAAGTTTTAGTTATATGTACATGTCTGTATGTGAGTCTGTGTACATGACTATAATGACCACAGGAGCCAGAAGGGCATCAGATCCCTGAAAGTGGATTGTAGGCGGTTGTGAAGCTGTCTTATGTGAGGGAACTGAGCTTGGGTCCTCTTCTAGAGGACCTATCTCTACAACCCCCAACAAAATAAAAAAAATTAAATATTTTAAAAGTAAAAAAGAAAGTTTTATTATATTTGTAGTTTGTTGAGAGTGTTTATCACAAATGGAAATTAAATTTAGTTAAAATTTTAATTGCATCTATTGAAGTGATATTGTGATTTTCTTTTTCATGCTGTTAATATAGTGAATTATACCTTTCAGACTAAAGCCCATTAGTTCTTCTGTTCTTTTATTGTAACTAATATATCTAGAATAAGTTTTTTATATAGAATATAGCTATATCTTTGGGTTATTTGGCTGTTGTTGCTTGTATTGGTTTTTGTTTTGCTTTGTGGTAGTGGGGATTGACCTGAGATCCTCATGTGTGTTAGGCAAACATTTAACCACAAAACTAGACTATGCATTTTTATCCAATCTGAAAATCCATGCCTTTTAATTTGCATGTTTAGATCATTTACAATTAATGTAATTAAAGGTTTGTTTAGATTTATGCATCATTTTATGCATTTTTTCTGTCTGTCTCTCTGTTGTATATATTAGTCTTCTTTTCTGCATCTTTTTAAATTATTTGAATTTTTTCATGTCTTCCAATTTTCTTTACCCATACAACCATTTTTTCACCTATACATGTCTTCCATTTTTCTTTACCTACATTAGATTAGATCTTAGTTTAACTTATTAGGCAATTAAGGATTTATATGGCTACACCACGGTCTACTAATAACTAGTATCTATAACTTATTAGGCAATTAAGTATTTATATGGCTACACCACAGTCTACTGATAACTAACATCTATAACTATGGCTACACCACAGTCTACTGATAACTAACATCTATAACTATGGCTACACCACAGTCTACTGGTAACTAACATCTATAACTATGGCTATGCCACAGTCTACTGATAACTAACATCTATAACTATGGCTACACCACAGTCTACTGGTAACTAACATCTATAACTATGGCTATGCCACAGTCTACTGATAACTAACATCTATAACTATGGCTACACCACAGTCTACTGGTAACTAACATCTATAACTATGGCTACGCCACAGTCTACTGATAACTAACATCTATAACTATGGCTACGCCACAGTCTACTGATAACTAACATCTATAATTTTAGGGTAAGGCTTCCTTTGCCTTCCTTGCTTCACATGATAGCTGCCGTTCACCTTACATTCACATACACTGAAAAACTTGCCAAAAGTTATTGTTTTACTCTCCAACAGGCATGTATATATTTAAACTAAGTGGAGAAAATGACCCATTACAGTTACTCATGTATTTGCTGTTTCTGTTGCTTTTTATTATTGACGTTTCTACCTCCCTGTAGCAAAATTTCTCCTCAGCTAAGAACTTTTTATTCAAATTCACTGAGAGCTTATCTTTTGGTAACTTCCCTTAACTTTCTTTCATATGAGGCTGATTAATACTTTGCCTTCTTCTTGAAAGATTGTTTCCACTGAATAGAGAATTCTGGGCTGGCAGGTCTGTCCCTCCCCACACAGATGCCTTTGTCTCAGGGTTCTTTGAGCCCGTTCTCTCTACCTGAGCACTTGAGGGCAACTGTGGTGTTTGTGCCGGCTTGAAAACAGAACTGGGGGAATCCTTCGCTTGCTGCTTCCGAAGGATCCCTTCCCTGATCCTGTAAGCTGTCTCTGTTGATGCATAGCATAGTTATCGGGGGATAAAGTGAAAAACGTGGGTCAGAGAACAACAAGAGGAAAAACAGGGAGGCACCAGGCTGTGGTCCAGAGCTGGAGACTTACAGGGTTTGTACAAGGCCCTGGCAGCTGATCGCGAGCACCACAGACACAAGTTAAGACAATAAAACAAGCCCTCAACAACAGAAGACATGCCTCCCTTCCCCTACCCACCACATCACATCTTTCCAGCCAGACAGCTTCCGCTCTGCAGCTCTGCCGGAGTCACCCAGACAGGGTTTGGAAAGAACAAAGGGACAAAGACCTACTCACACTGTCTGACTCACAGGGCTCCGTTTTCCCACCGCTCCAGGGAGACAGAATTTCACCCAGAGGTTCTGGTGCCTGTGTCTGGTGCACAGTTTTGCTCTGGGGTCATGTGCAAGTCAAAGTTGGGAGATAAAGGAGGAAAAAAACAAAATCTGGAATGCTCACTCAATAGATTAGTTTTCTGCATTTTGGCTTCTGTCTCCAAACTGACTGTTTTTATTAGTCTTTCGGGATCTAATCCAATTCAAGTTTTGTAAATTAGATTAAGATAGTTGATAGTATTATTCAAGGCTTCTGTGTCTTCATTGATCTCTGTGTGTCTGCCAATCACTGACAAAGCCTTTTGTGTTTTCAAGTGTTTGAAGTTCTAATCAGTGGGAGAGGTGGGCTAGGGTGGGCTTGCTCATTCTTGGACAACAGAAACTAAAATTGCTTATTATTAATTTCTAGTAAATGTTCTTATCATGATAAGGAAGCTTCTATTTTAGACTGCAAATTACAACAAGCAAAAACCAAAATCAACCTTTAAATTTCACAAAATATCTAATGACATACCAGTACAGATCTTCAACAATTTAGTGTCCAAGTGTTAGATATTTTGATCAATTTCTTCTTTTCAAATAATTATTGGGGAACATGATCTTAAAACCTTCTTTTTAGATTTAGATTTTTAATGCATATGGACTAGTAAGATATGGACGTCAATTTTGTTGTATGTTGAATGGATATTTGAAATAAAAATTATTATGCAAAATTATTATACAAGACTGGTAAAAATGTGCTAGTAAATCCTCTACATGTGAATGTATTTATATTTATTTAATCTGTTAAATTCTTGATATTGTTTTGCTAGGTTTTGCCCAGTTTGTTAGATTATTTATAATATTTGTTAGATTATTTATAATATTTCATTATTCGATTGTCCCTCACCTTATCTTTTAACTAGTCTTTTGCTGACAGTCATTTGTCACCAGTGTCTTTGCTGTTACTATGGTGCCTTTGTAGCATCCTCACGCTGACCCCAGGCTCAGACTTGTTGGTTTTCCTTGCCTTCTCTGCGTCCCAGGCTTTCCTGGTGAAACAGCTTTTCTTCTCCCTCAGCCTGTCCTTTCGTTTACCCTCTAATAAGGGTCTGCCCATCAGCCCGCCCATTTGCTCATGCAGGAAGCTTCCCTTAAACAAGAGACTTTCTGTGAAGCTTGAATGCCAACATTTTGCTGTTGTCTAACCTTGGAAGGCCTGACTCCTCATCTCCTGCTATCCACTGGTGCTGTTAGGAAGTGGCAGTCAGCCCAACTGCCATCCATCAGTGAACGGCTGTTCTCTACTTGTCCCTAGAGCACATGTGTGCCATGTGGCCAGAAGTGAAATTCTCCTCTTTTTGAAAAATATTATTATGTAGTGTGTGAGCATGTGTGTGTGTATGAGTGTGTGGGGAGTGGTGTGCATGTTTGTGTGTGGTATGTGGTGTGTGTAGGCCAGAGGATTACTTTCAGGATTGCAGGAGCTGGTGTTCACCTTTCACACTGGGGTCTTAGGGATGGAAATCAGTTTGTCAGGTTTGGTGCCAAACACCTTTACCAGCTGAGCCATCCCACCAGCCTGAAATAAATTCTTTCTTTGCCTCTTATTATCTTTTCTTAGTTTACTTGTTACTCTCTTCTGGTCTTTTTTTCCTCTCTTTCTTCCCTCCCCTCCCCCTCCCTTCTCTCTCTCTTCCTCCCTCCCTCTCTCCCCCCTCTCTCCTTTCTTTCTTTCTTTCTTTCTTTCTTTCTTTCTTTCTTTCTTTCTTTCTTTCTTTCTTTCTTTCTTTCTTGAACTCACAGAGATCCACCTGATCTGTCTCCTAAAGGCTGGGATTAAGGCCAGCCTGGTCTACATAGTGAGCTCCAGGATATTCAGAACAGAGAAATCCTGTCTTGGAAAAACAAAAAACAAACAAACAAACCCCCCAAAAACAACAACAACAACAAAAAACAAGAAACAACCCCACCAAAAAACAAAACAACCAACCACAACAACAAAACCAAAACCAACAATAAAAAACCCAAAACAATACCAACAACGACAAAACAAAACCACTTTATTATTTTAGAAAACATTTTTTCAGAGATTTACTTTTGTTTTACATGTGGTTTTGACATATCCAGATGTGTAAAGAACAGAGACATCTGTGAAAGTGTCCCTCTACAGAAGACAGTGTGAGGTGTGAGCCTGAATGGGGCTGTGTGAAGGGAAGCCCTCAGCCCTGGCCTCAGAGGGACATGATTGCACTGGGCGGTCCAGGAGGAGTCTGGAAGATTCTCTCTCTCTCTCTCTCTCTCTCTCTCTCTCTCTCTCTCTCTCTCTCTCTCTCTCTCTCTCTCTCTCTCTCTCTCTCTCTCTGTCTCTCTCTCTGTCTTGCACTGGGCGGTCCAGGAGGCGTCTGAAAGATTCTCTCTCTCTCTCTCTCTCTCTCTCTCTCTCTCTCTCTCTCTCTCTCTCTCTCTCTCTTTCTTTTTCTTTTTTTCTGGTGGGGGGGATGGTGTCTTGTGCAGCCCAAGTTGACTTCAGACTACCTATTTGGTTAAGGATGGCCATGATCTTCCTGCCTCCACCACCTTCCAAGTGCTGGTATCATAGGTGTTGTTATAGATACATGAACAACCATACCAAATTAGGGACTGAACCTAAGATCCTGTATACTGAGCTGTCTCCCCAGCCCCAAATGCAGTGTTTGTGAGAGTAAGGAGAACTTAGATATGGCCACAAGGAAGGACTTGATCTGATGCTCTCAAGGGCACCGGATAAGCGTTGGTCTTCGATGTTTCCAGGCCCACAGGTTAAGTGAACATCTGCCCGTTTGTACAATAGAACAGGGGAGTCTGGAGGTGATGAAATGGGAAAGAGCGAAGAGAAGCAATAGGACAGGATGAAAGCAGGGAGCTAGACCTGGGCTAAGGAGCTGAGAGCCCTTTGGGAAACTGAGCAACAGCGGAAAATGTGTTGCCTGTAACTGTTGGTGGCTTCTGACTCCACAGAGGGACACATAAGTCCTGGGAAATCCTGGCTTCCTTCCCGAAAGGCTACCAAATGATCATGGAATATCTGCTGCAGAGGCTGATTTCACCCCAGACACCCAAGGACCAGGAGACCAGCCATGGAACAGTGCTCTCAACACCAATTGTATGGAGGGGCAAGTGGAGCGGGCTGGGAGGGAAACACACTGGGATTTCTGCTGGGCTAGCTTGGGCGCTATGAACTAGAACCATTAAGGGGCCATTCTAGTGGCAGAGTCTCCAGGTTGGGCTGGAAGGAGGATTTCCAGACAATTGACTTGCCTAGAACAGAAGAATCCGTTTCTAGTTTTGAATATGGGGGTGCAGCGAGGGGTGCCTGAATACTCAAGGACTCTGAGAGGCTGAAGCAAGACCCATAGTCACAAGAGCACATAAGTGCATTCCAGAAGCAGCCTGGGATAACCACGCCCGGTCTTCACTTGCTGGTAACATCGATGACTGCACTGGGCAGGCCTATCTGGGTGATAGGACCTGTAAAGGACAATAACGATGATAACATCCTGCTCTCTTCACTCCAGGTCACCAGGGCCATCCATGAGCTGCTGATGATACCGAGTCAGCGGTCAGAGGTGCAAACCTTCTTCGCCTCTATGTTTGTGGCACTACTTTTCCAAATCTCTTTCCTGGTGACTAGAGGGAGCACTGTGACCCAGGACGAGCTGCTTGAAATGGAATGTGTGGACCCCGTGAGGTACCTTGGGCTCTGGGTCAGTGTGCTATGGACTATGACCCACGTGCCGGCATCTTGGCACCCCGCTGACTTGGCCAGCTCTCACCCTCCACACTGACTTTATTACTCACATATTGTCTCAAGAAACCTTCTTCGACTTCCTTGAAAAGACTTTAAAGTGGCTGCCCAGGTGGATGTGGGTTCTGTATCAGGATAAAATCAAAACAAGACTGCTGTGCCACAGACCCAGTGTGGCATTTCCCCAGCCTCTGCAGGCTTCCCGTGCCACCTGGGAGACCCCTTCCCCACAGCCCTTGCTTGCTTCAGTTGCCATTCCACGGCCAGGTTCATAATTCATATGATGGGTGGGTATCCCACATGGGTTTAGGAGGTCAAGGGCGTGGCTGACAGTGACTCCCTGCCTCTGGCTCTGTCCTCAGTTCTTCTGTAGAGGCCTTGAAGACCTTACTGCGGAGCTCGGGGTACATAGACCACATGTCTTACATTCAGACACTTGGGGGCTGGGAATTGCTTGTCAGCCCTGAAAAGCACTATGATGGAGTCACTCTGCTGGCCAGGTAAGCTGCATCCAGTCCCTGGGTGGAGGGCCTTCTGTGCTTTTGGTCCTCTCCTGTGGTTGAGAAGACGGTCTTATTCTGAGCACCCTAATGTTATCTCAGGTCCCTGGTTGACAAGAATTGTTGGCACAATCGTCCTGTCTTCAGCTTCCTCATCAGAACCCTGGAGAACCCAAACTGTGCCCATTACTTCACAGCCCTGGTGTTCCTGACAGAGGTGACTGGAGAAGAGTGGGCAGAGGGTGGTGGGGACAGCTTCCTGGGAAGCAAGTGGACCCAGGGGACTCCTCTAGAAGGCTCCTGGGGAAGAAAAGTGGCCTCGTTTACCCATGCCCAGCGACGGGCTAGGGAATGTGGGTAAGGTTTCTTTGAGTCATACATCTCTATCCTCCTCAAATCTCAAGGCTTTGACTGCGCTGAGCTTGTAGTACACTAGTTCTCTCTCTTGCAGTTACTTCAGCTTTGACTAGCCACCTGATCCACTCTATAATTCAGTCACCAGACAGGGGGAAATGTGTAGAAAATTAATATATATAAATTTTATAAAGCCATTCATCTTTACAGCACCTAAAGAGAGTCACTTGCATGCCTTTGCTTGTATGAAGATGTGTGTGGAGGGTGAGTGTGTGAGAGTGTGTGTGAGTGTATGAGTGTGTGTGAGTGTATGAGTGTGTGTGAGTGTATGAGTATGTATGTGTGTATGAGTGTGTATGAGTATGTGAATGTGTGAGAGTGTTTGTGAGTGTGTATGAGTGTGTGAGAGTGTGTGTGGTGAGTGTGTGTATAAGTGTGTATGAGTATGTGAGTGTGAGAGTGTTTGTGAGTATGTATGAGTGTGTGAGAGTGTGTGTATGAGTATGTGAGTGTGTGAGAGTGTGTGTATGAGTGTGTATGAGTATGTGAGTGTGTGAGAGTGTGTATGAGTATGGGTGTGAGTATGTGAGTGTGTATGAGTATGTGAGTGTGTATGAGTGTGTATGAGTATGTGAGTGTGTGATCATGTGTGTGGGGTGAGTGTGTGTATGAGTGTGTGTGCGTGTGTGAGTGTGTGTGAGTGTGTGTGTGAGTATGTGAGTGTGCGAGAGTGTGTGTGAGTATGTTAGTGTGTGAGAGTGTGTGTGAGTATGTGAGTGTGTGAATGTGTGTGAGTGTGTGTGAATGTATGAGTGTGTATGCATGTATGTGAGTGTGTATGAGTATGTGACTGTATTTGTGAGTGCGTGTGAGTATGAGAGTGTGTGAAAGTGTGAATATCTGAGTGCGTGAGAATGAGTGTGTGTGAGTGTATGAGTGTGTGAGAGTGTGGGGGAGGTGGGTATGTATGTGAGTATGTGTATGACTGTGTGAATGTGTGTGTGTGTGTATAAGGTTAAATTATTCTCTAATATTCTATGTCCTGTTCTTTTCATTGCATTTTTATTTTTGAATTAACTTTTTAGTTGGTACACAAGGAAATGAGTTCCACTGTGACATTTTCATACACATACAACACTGCAATTTTGTTCTTATTCACTCCCTCCACTATCTCTCTCTATTCTCCCACCCCTTTTTGAGACAGGTCCTCACTGGGTAGCCCTGGCTGACCTGGAACTTCCTAGATAGATCAGGCTAGCTTCAAACTCAGTGCACACGCACGTGGAGGTCAGAGGGCAACATGCACAAGTCAGTTCTCTCCTTCCACCAGGTGGGTCCCGGGGATCGAACTCAGGTCTCAGACTTGACAGTGAGTGCCTTTACCCACTGAACCATCTCACTAACACCAACCTACCTAATTAAAAGATAAGTAAAAAGTGGATTACTTTTGAATACCAGCAGAAGATAATACAGTAGCCACAATACCAGGATGCAAACATGATCTTCATTCTAAGATGCTAGCAGACACTTGCTAAGTATGCTAAGGATTCTCTTGGAGGATGTAGGGGTCTGACTAGCTGGGGGTGCATTCATGCAGCGGGTCTCAGGCCTTGGTGGAATCAAATCACTGGGGATGCTGTTCAAAAGGCAGACTCCTGGGTCCTTCCCCAAGAGGCTTGAGCCAGCTGACCTGGGTTAAGCCTTCATCTTCTAAAAACACTCTGCTAGCTGTTGTGGGCAGGTGCTCCTTGGGCTTAGCTTAGAGAAACAGCACAGGAGACTAGCCTACATGTAGGAGGGCCACCTTATTAGAGCAGTGGTTTTGAACCCTTGCTGCATACTAGAAGCCTCTAGGACAGCTGTTCTCAACCTGGGGGTTGCAAACTCCAACAGGGGTTGAAAATCCTGCATATCAGATATTTATATTATGATTTATAACAGTAGCAAAGTTACAGTTATGAAGTGGCAACGAAATAATGTTGTGGTTGGAGGTCACCATAGCATGAGGAACTGTATTAAAGGGTTGCAGCATTAGGAAGGTTGAGAACCACTGCTCTAGGAGATGCTAAGCCTTACACCACCTTTTTAAAAACTGCTCCTGGGTGCCTGGTTCTTCAGAATCGCTCCAGGTAGGGTGCAGGAACTAGTGTGCTCTAAGCTCTGGAGTTTACAGTTGTGATCTAGGCACAGCTGGTACTACGGAACACTCTAGAAGTTCCCTCAAATGCTAATGCCCAGCTGAAAAGAGTAGACACCCACATAAGCAGTTGCTCAGCTGCCACTCTTATTGGAATTTCAGGCTGGAGTGGAGTTAGCATGTGTAAGTTAGGGCATTCAGGTAGGGAGATGGGTGAAGCCCATTTTCAGCAGCAGGAGGGGGAGCTCTGACAGTTTTAAAGTGGGGAACCAGTGGGGTTTAGGTACCAGTTAAGAAAGTGGGTCCATACCCGTATGTGAGAGGCCATGCTATGAACACTCGGCAATATTTTCCAGTCCCTTAAAACTTCTTGTTCAGGGCTGGAGAGATGACTCAGAGATTAAGAGCACTGGCTGCTCTTCCAGAGGACCTGGGCTCAATTCCCAGCATTTACATGACAGCTCACACCTGTCTGTAACTCCAATCCAGAGGACCTGCACCCTCACAGAGACATGCAGGCAAAACACCAATGCACATAAAATAAGAGGAAACCTTCTTGCTCACTGTTACCTCCATCCACAGGCAGTCACAGACAGAAGAATTTAAAACAGACAGGGCTGTGCAGTTTAAACCAGGGTACTTAAGAACTGAGCCCAGGCACCTTAATTCTCACTTTGTAGAAGGCAGAATTCAGGCTCATAGAATTTAAGAAATTTGCTTAGCTAATGAGTAAATTATGGTAGATCTGTTTAGTGGCTTGATGAGAACAGAAAGACATATTTGCCTTAAGGGCAGACACACAGTCACACAGACACAGAGACAAGGACACATACATACACTCACAGACATACACATGCACACACACACCAACATGTGCACATATACACAGACAGACACACATGTACATACACAGACATAGGCATGTACATGCACACACACAGGCACATGTGTGCACACAGACATAGGCACACACATGCACACAGACATAGGCACACATATGCACACGCACAGACACACACACACATATATACAGACAGACGCACACATGCATATGACACAGAGATGTACACACATGCCCACAGACATACATACACACACACACACACACACACTCACTTGTCTGTCCTCTGGGAATCCTTTCCATTTTAATGACACACACATTCCTCTGTCTGCTGGAGTCCCTTCCTATTATCTTATCTAATTGTCTTCTAGTCTAAAGACGTAGGCTTCATGAAGTTTTCTTTATCTTCAAGTATAGTTCAATCAATATCTGGCTCCTTTGTAAGCTCCCATTCATGATGCTTTGTAGCTGTTTTCAACCTGTGGCATGTTGTCAGTTCATGGCCGTGTCTTTAACGTTCTCCAGTGCTGGGATCTGTGACGGCTACACTCATTTCTCATTACTGTCTCCCATCATCCCTTCTCAAAGACGCCTGAGGAAGACTTGCACCATAGACGAATGACAGGATGTGAACTTTAAGCTCTGACCAAGGCTCTAAGAACATGATTTTGCTAACAAGCCAGAATCTAGATTCAGTTGTTCCCTTGCCTACCTTTCTGTCATTCTTGGTTTCCTTTTGCCAGCTGCTCCGCTGTCCAGATGTGGCCGGTGCTGTGGATGAAGTCTCCACCAAGGTTCTGGTAGACTGGTTCAAGTGTGAGGAGTCAGCCATAGAGCATCTATTCCTGCAGATCGCGGAAATCTTCACAAAGCACAAAAACACGGTGAAACTGGGATAGGGGCCAAGGACACGGCACCCAGAGAAGGATCGGGTGGATCTGGAGAGCTAGCGTGTCCAGTTACAGACAGGGCGGGACACACTCTTGGAATCAGAGTATGGGTCCTCTTGAGGCCAGTTGTGCAAGCACAGAATCCAGGTGGGCTGGAGCCATTCACGCTTCCTCTGGTCTAGGAATGGTCCTGGAGGAAGTTGCCCTGTAGGTCACTTCAGAGAACAGGCCCAGTCAATTCCAGGACCCCAGATGTTCCACCCAGGTCTCTGGAGATGGGTATCATCAGGAGTGAGGAGGAACAAAGAGAGGATTTTATGGTGCAGTTGATGGAACATTTCTGTCTTCTCACCTCTGCCTGTGGAGGGCAGAAGGTTCCTGGCTAGGTACCCTTTTGATAGTCCAGTTTGACCACCATCCAGTGTTGGTGCCATTCCTACTTCCAGAGTGAAAATCAAGAGAGCTTGTGCCCACTGGTCTGTGTGTGGGGTGGGATTGATGGGAAATGTCCGTGGGGTCAGAGTTTCCTGACTCTGCTTTTGAGCGGCTGTCACTCTGTAGATGAGGCACTTCTACATCCTGCAGCCGTACGTGCTGAGCTGCTGCTACTCCTGCAGCTGCGAGCTGGTGATGGAGACCTTCCTTATGCTACAGCGCATCATCATGGACTTTAGCTTGCATCACACCTCTTCCTTCATCATCGAGCTGACCTTCACTTTGGCACACTTTTTTGAGGAGGTAAAGCCCCGGGAGGGATGGAGAAGTTGCTCTCTTCCCCTAGGGGGCGCTGTGGACCAATAGAGAAGGGTGGTTCTATCTTACAAAAAGCCCTTTCTTAACCCCCAATTTCTTTGGCTCCTTAATGTCCTTGGGAATCCGACGGCATCCGTACCTTGTTTTGTAATAGTCAAAAGAGGGCAGATGAGAGCAGCACAGGAGAGCTGTGTTGTTGAGTAAGTGGATGGGGGGTATGCACGGGAACTTGGTTGGTGGGAGCAGGGTTCAGAATCCTTCTGACCTGGGTGACCAGTGCAGGTGCAGGGGTGCCGCTGTCTTCCTGAGAGGGTCTCCTCTTCTCCAGGAGTCAGAGCAGCTGCGCCTGATAGCCTTCGAGATCTACGGAAGCATCCTAACTAAGGTCTCCAGGATGACCCTTGTCTTTCCCTTGAGGCACCATATCCTCAACTTGCTGGTCCTCCTTGTGTCACACCTGAAGGATGCAAATGTCAACGTGATGGAGGTGAGAAGCTGGAGCCTGGAGCCTGGCATTCGGTTCTCTCTGGAAGTTAATGCAGAGCATGGCAAGCCCTTGGGCAGGGCTGTGACAGTGTTGTGTAACACTGAGAGGACCCACTAGGCTTTTGAAGTTGGAGAGGTTCAGTGAGCAGAGGTGCCGGGCTGTTGGACTGACTCTCCTCCAGCTGCAGCCTGACCCAGTAGAAGCTCACTGTCATGCAAACCCAGATGCCGGAAGTCTCATGGTGGCACTAGCTTTCTCCCTGCTGCCTTGCCTTGGCTCTTGTGGACTTTGTCCAGACTGTTTTCTGCCCTTGCCTTACCAATGAGGGGAGATGGAGAGCTCCTGGTGTGGGTTGTATGCTGGGCAGAGCAGACAGGCCCAGACTATGACAGGCCAAGCCCTGGGCCCAGAAAACCAGAAGCATGTACCATAGCAGACACTAGGAAACTGCTGACTTGATTTGTAACAGAAGGCCACTTAGACCACTACATCCAAGGATGCTGCTGAGCATCTGACAAAAAGGGATGGGTCCCTCCTGATGAACAAAGTGATCTTCCTGACCAAGTCAACCTTGATGTAGAGCAGAGACTACTCAGGTGGGGTGCCAAGACCTTAAGGAACCTGAGTGAGGTGGTATACTTCCATGAGCCTAGCACTCAAGAGTCTTAATGTGCAAATTTGAAGCTAGCCTGGGTTATATAGCAAAAGTCTGATATTTGTTTTCAGAGAGACTGCTTTGGGGTTGGAAAGCCATGGTGCCAACGGCTGTGCTGTAGAGTCATGCTGCTGTGGGACTCAGTGTTACTATCACAGCAACTGGAAAAGGCATTGGAACTGTCACTTCCTCTTGTTCATGGGGAAAAAAGAGGTTATCATAGAGCCAGATGTCTAGACAGGCTCTCCATTTCTCCTAAGCCTGGATCCCTGCAGGGTCAATCCACCAAGGTCAAATGGGCTGCCACCTGTCTCCCTCCTGGACCCCTCTGCATCTTTGTCCAACCTCACTCCCATGATCCTCATACTGAGCCTCCTATCTCCTCAGATCTGTAGGCTCGGCCTCTGCAATGTAGCTACCATCATGGGCTGGTCCAAACTCAAAGTGATCTTCGCCAAGAATGATGCATTCACCATCCTCAGTGCCCTGGTAAGCCAGCTGCTGACTCATCATTCTGCCCTGATGGGAGTTGCCCCACCACCACCTCCATCCCTCCACCCCCATGCCACTACCCCGTCACCCCCAACAAGCCATCTGTCAGTCTTCCCCCTGCAGCCTGGGTTAGCAGCAACGGAGAATAGCTCATTGAACAGTGTGTCTCCTTTGTGCTGGCCACCGAGTGGTGCTTTCTGCCAGCTCGGTACTTCCTGTCTGCCCTGGAGAGCTAGCTACATGACTTGGTAATTTTGAGTCTTTGGGAAAGGGTAAGGGAGAGAAATATGCTTTCTAATAAAAGGCAGGGCAGGCACTCCACCCAGCTCCTGCTCGAAGACAGGCTTGACCCCAGCAGAAGGGTCATCTTCATGGGGTAGGAATGGAGGAGGGGTAATGCTTAGCCAATTCGTTCCTTGTCTATTAAACACTGTGGTTAAACATCATGAAGACTTTGGGTTTTCAGCTCCAGAGGATGAGAGTCCATGATGGTAAGGCATGGTAGCAGGAGCAGGGATCTAAGGGCTCATATCTTGAACCACAAGCATGAAGCAGAGAGAGCAAACTCAAAATGGCACAAGTCTTTAAACTCTCAAAGCCTGTCCCCAGTGACACACTTCCAACAAGGCCACAACTCCTAAACCTTCCCAACAATGCCATCAATTGTGGACCTAATATTCAAATGCCTGAGACTACGGGGAACAAGTAAATCTACACACCAATAGAACTGAAGACTACTCATTATGTCAAGGACTGTGGCTTGGTCAGTCTAGGAAGGCTTCGTGGAAGAAATAAGGTTCTAGAAGCTGGGATGCATGAATTTATAAGAGATTTTGAAGCCTGTTTTGGTTTTGGTTTTGTTTTGTTTTGCAGTTGGGACAATTTCCCTTGACCTCCCCCCCCCCATTTAGACTGTGAGAGGCAAGAGAGTTGGCAGGTACCACTTTAGTTGTGCCTTCTAACGATGCTTCTTCCAGTTGCAGCAGGAAAAGAGCAAGGCGCTCTGGTTTTTGAAGCAGAGCGTGACTCTCTTCAAGAGTCCGCAGGGCCCCATCCGCCAGGTGGCTGTGTGGTTTGCAGGTATGATGGCTCTCTGTCTTCTTAGAGCTACTGTCTCCTTGAAGTTGGGTTGTTCAGATCGAAGGCTAGGTGTGCGAGGTTCTAAAATTACAGGAACCACGGCAATTATAGAGTCCTTGGCAATGACCAACACAGGGAGCCCTGTCTGTAGTAGAATGGGCCAACTCTTAAGAAACCAAGGCAGCACAGCTCCCAAAGGGTGGGTGGAGCATCAGGCCTGTGTGTAGTCCCGAGTGGGGGAAGTTCAGTGACAGGTAGACGCTACCTCCTGCCACCCCATAGACAAGCCTCTTTTGTGGCAGAGTTTATCTACATCTTCACCTGGCCCAATTACTTACGAGTTCTTTGCAGAATTGGAAAAGCAGTTCGTTTTCTTGGAGCAAGTCCAGCCCTAAGGCTGGTCACCAAGGATGGGAAAGACAGACAAAAGGACGGGTGATGACTTTTACTGGGGAACTTACAGTTAGGGCCCACTGGCCCCTTGTGAGCCCACCGAGTGCCTGTGTGCCCCTGTAGGTCAGATCATCCGGGACCTCACCATGACTGAGAAAGAGGAAATGGAGGAGGAATATATGGGTAAGTGGCCATCCTATTGCTTGCTGCTTGTATCTTTAGGAGTACTAGCATCAAAGGGGTGGCTTGGAAATGAGGGCAGGAGGGTTCCTAAAGATCATCATCCAGGAGGGCAAAAGCTGCATCTCCAAGTCACGTGGGTCTGGGGTTCTGGTCAGAGCTCCCCACACCCATTCACTCTCACTGCTGTTGAGGCTGTTTGTCTGCCAGGCTGGTCCCTTAAATTCTCCTTAGGAAAGAGCTACCTTCTCCCCAGGGGTACCACAGTGTCCCCAGCCCACCCTCTCAGGGACTTCATCCCTGCTCATGTTATAGTGTGGGGACCTTTGTGTTCTCACTGTCCCTGGGACATGTCCCCTGTACACTGCGCCATTATCTCTTCTCTCTTACCCTTCCATTGCATTCATGGCAGAGACCCCCAGGTGTGGCTCTGTCCTGGGCTGCAGTTCTCCTAGAGGATCAGAGGACTTCACACAGAATGGGAGAGAAAGGCAGCCCTAGGGAGGGACAAGTGGGAGGACCAAAAGAACAGCCTGTCCTGTGTCGCCCTGAGCCAGGGGCAATTTGGGCAGTGTGGATTTGTAGAAGACATCTCTGCTTACATTGTAGAAGTTACTGGGTTTCCTCCAAGCAGTGCCAGGGCCCTGCTGCCCCACCTGGTCCCTTCTGTTCACTGTACCATTCCCTGTGTTCTGTTACAGCCTTCAAGTACATGCAGAGAGACCCTGACCCCATAGTCAGCTGCCTCACTGTACAGACTTTCTACATCCTAGAAGCCAAGGGCCCCGAGACGCCAGCTAAGACCCTTTCCTCCTGCCTCTGCATGAGGAGGCTCCGAAGGAGATACTACTGAGCCCGCATGCTAGGGTCCAAGACCAAGGCTTGCCACCAATAACACTGTGACATCAGGCCACCTCCTCAGTCCTCTACTAGAATTGATGTGTCCCTGTAGAACCTTGCTAATAAGAAGAGAAAGCATGAGTTTTTTGTGGAGTTGGATGTCAGTCTGTGGTCATGAGCTGCCTGGTGTGTAGAAATCCTCTGGGTCGGGCTGGCTTCTCTGGCTCTGCTGCCTTGTGCCCACTCCTGTGCAACCACGTGATCTAAGGTCACAGTAAGCACTTTTCTTTGAACTAACTTGAATTACAGACTGGGCGTTAGACACATGCGGTATCTAGAATTTATTTGTACTAGCAGATGTTTGTTTTGTTTTTATACAGGGTCTTGCCATGCTTCCAGGCTGGACTCAAACTCACATTCTCCTGCCTCTGCATCCTGAGTGCTGGGATTATGGATGCGTGTCACCATAGCAGCCTTTATTTTATTTGAGATACTGTCCTGCTACTTAGCCCAGGCTGCTTTTGAACTCTCCTAGTGGCTGGGCAGTGTTCTTATTGGTAAACAGCAGTGTTCCCCTGGCTAGTTGAAGCAGGAAAGTGATTAGTGTGTGTGTGTGTGTGTGTGTGTGTGTTCAGAGATCATGGTTAACTCTGTAGGTAGGACCACTCTATAAAAAAGCAGCAATATGGCTGGCTGCCCCTGGGTACCACCCAAACCACAGCCCCAAAGCATCCTTCCCCTGGCACACTAAGGGGACTTGCTCTTTCTCGTGCCCCTATTGGAATCAGTCTTACTGGGATCTGCCTGACAATGAGTCCTTGGGGTGTTCTGTGTCTATACAGGGTCATCTGTGACTCCTATAGCCCCTCTCCCCTTACCTTCTTGTTTCCTGTTACCAAAACCTTCAGTCAGTCGGCAAAGCTTATAGGAAACAATCTCATTTCCTTAAAAAAATGCAAGCTTCTTCAGTGGGCAAGCATGCTTGGACTTGGCTGGAGCCCTGTCAACTGTGAAGTCTGGCTTCATAGGCCCATGCCTTGAAGTTCCCAGGTGTCTCCGGCACACAAGCCTTCAGGCACCTGAGGTGCTCAGCACTCAGAGGGCAGAGGCAGGCAGTTCTCTGTTAGAGGCCAGCCTGGTCTACAGAGTGAGTTCCAGGACAGGCTCCAGTGCTACACAGAGAAACCCTGTCTTGGAAAAAAAAAAAGACCTGCCCCCTCTCTTTGCTGGTCCCCCTAGGCCTACATCTTTCTTGCATTATCCTAAGCTCACCTGCTTGCAAACAAACTCCAGGGTGGCATTAGAGGTCATCAGCCAGGAGGTTTTTCTCACATTTTCCCCTTGGCCTGTTTCCTGGCTCATCATAGGCTGCCCTCAGTGACTACTAGGAAGCTTTCTGGGCTAAACATTTTATACATGGGAGTAAATGGAAATAGCCAAGACTCACTAATACCTTATAGCTCCTTCCCTCTCCCCAAAGGACAAATGTGCCAGGATAAATACTATATCTTAAAAATAAAATCAAACAGAACAACCAGTAAGTGGGTTTTGAACTAAAACCTCCTCCAAGACTGGGTGTCCCCACATGTCACTGCATTCACTTTAGTTAAACCAAGAAATAGGCATGCAAGAATGGATTCAAGGGCCTGTTCTATCCTGCTATCACTTCTGCTAGCTCTGTCTGCCTTGCCCGGCCTCAATTCCCTTTGTGTATAAAATGAGGGATTTGGAAAAATGTGTCTTTTGAGGTCCCACCGGACTTAGACAATGAACGGCATCAAATTCTTGTGAGGGGCTTAGTCGCTCGTGACTGCGGCACAAGCACGGTGAGTCTATCCTCTTGGAACCTACAGAAGGCAGCAGGGTGTGGGGGTGCACACATGTAACCCACGCTCTGTGGAACCAGAGACTGGAGGATCCCCAGGACTGGCTGGCCAGACCGAACTAGAAAGCTCTCAATTCAGTGATACCTATCTCAAAAATAAGGTGGAGCCAAGGCCTGAAGACATTCGGGAGGGAGAGGCAGGCACAGTTCTGTGAGTTCGAGGCCAGCCTGGTCTACACAGTGAGTTCAAGGCCAGCCAGGACTGCATAGTTGAGACCCTGTTCCAAGAAATCAAAAATAAATAAAATACAAATAAATAAATATGCAAGGTGGAGTATGACTGAGGAAGATATTGGCATATACACATACACACTTAAAATTAAAAAAAATTTTTTTGAGACAGATTTCTCCATGTAGTCCTAACTGTCCTAGAACTCACTCTGTAGACCAGGCTGGCCTCAAACTCAAGAGATCCACCTGCCACTGTCTTCTGAGTGCTGGGATTAAAAGTATGCACCACTCCTGCCCAGCTAAACAAACTTTTAGAAAGAACAGCCAGTGTTCTTGACCACTGGGCCATCTTTGTAGCCCCCATATTTAAGAATCTCTTAATTCTGGGCGCATGGCCAAAGGTGCTGATGTCCCCACAGGCTGACCTGAATATGGGAAAACTGTTGCTACCAACCTTCTGGGGGATGAAGGGAGGGGACAGAGGAAAGGGGAGACTACAGAAGCTCCCCCTCCCAGTTTCACCTACATCTAACTGTCACGTGGCACAGTTCACAGTGGGCTGCATCTGTCCACGGAATAGAGTAGGATCTTACATAAAACATGAGCTTTGGGGAGCAGGGGTGGGGCAGGAGACTGGCACGGGGTGGGGCTCAGCGGGCCAGCCAGAATCAATGATCTTCAGGAAGCCATACCACTCTCCTGGGCAGGAGGTTCTGTGTCTGTCCAAGAGCCTGGGACACAGGGCAGGACTGCCCACTGTGTCTCCCTTTGTGGCTAAGGACCCTCCCACTTGCTCTTCTGCAGGAGGAGCAGAAGTCTCTTTCAGAATCACTCTGGCTTGTTCAGTATAAACAGCAGGGACGCATGAGGGCTCAGAAGCCACTTGGCTTTACATTTGGGAAATAAAGCAACAAAAGATGCTCCTGGCCCCCTGGCTATATAGAAGGCATAGAATCTTCTAACCTTAGATGGTATTAAGGAGAGGGCCAGACACACCAGAGTACATCTAGAGAGATGGCAAAGCAGAATGTAGTTGGGACTGGAAGGGAAAATCAGTTAATAGGCCATGCACTTAGCATGCATGAGGCCCTTGGTTCCATTCCCAGCCCGAAAAATGAAAAAGGGTGGTGGAGAACACAGCTTTCAAAAGACTGAAAAACACTGACCCAGTAATAACAATCACAACCATCACAGAGTTGGTTTTGTATGAGTTTTCAATATATTTACACTTCTGTCATCTCTCTGTGAGTGGCAAAGAAATGAAACATGTCCGTGTGTACCCCACACAGGCCGTCCCAAGTCCTAGAGAAGGCATGCATTCTGGGAGTGACGAGTGGATGCTTTGGTGGTACAGGCTGATCAAATCCCAGCCCTGTCCTGATGAGTCACTCCCATTCTGTGGCTGTTCTCACTGCATAAAGAGGCCTTCATCTATTACCAGAAATAGGGATAGTCCAGCAAATGTCCTGAACAGTACCTTGGTACTGTGTACTCAGTCAATGCTAGTGCCTGCTCTTCAACGACTGTACTTGTCACAGGCCTTGCAGGCCACATGGAGGGTGGGGAGAAGGTAACATACTCCAAGGAACCCTAAACTCATCATAGAGCACTGTTCTCCCATGGGGCCCAGACACAAAGGCCAGTCTCATACACCAACCCCTAAACAACTTCCCAGTCACAGGTCAACAGCCCACAAGACACACTTCCACACAGACAATGGTCATTCGAGCTTTATTTATGACAAATCCTCAGAGCACACACATCCAATTCCATAACAGAAATGTACAGCGTGAGGTTTAAATAACTTTCATACACTATGTACAGTCATCAGCAGAGGTACAAAACATATACACACCTTGTGCTACCATGGCACAGGAGAGCGCATGAGCCAAAGGAGGCCCCGCAGCCCCGGGCAGGGGCAACAGCTGTAGGAGCTGTCGGGAGGGCAGGGCAGGGCACTAAGACATCGGTGGTCTTTTATGACTTTCAGCAGTACCGATTTCCCACTTTCCGAGAAAGCCTTTGGGACACACAATCGAAGGTGGAGAGGCGGAAGCTGGGTGCTGGAGATGAAGAGGGGTGGGCACAGGGAGAGAAAAAGGTGTCAAAGAATCTGGGCTTTCTGTTCTTGCACTTGAGGAGCTGTGAAGACCTGGGCCCCAGGAGGGGACAGCTGGGCTCAGTGGGGTCACCCACCATTGCTCCAAGAAAGGACACATCGAGCAGTCTCTTGTTTGAAAGGACAGAGGATCAGATGCCACAGGTTCAGGCCACATGGTGGGAAGGGATTCATTGCTCCTGCAGGGCAGGTCTTGCCCACACAAACAAACCAGGGTCAGCCAAGGGCGTGTGGCTGCACCCAGTCCGTCAGACTCCAGGGGAGGCCTTCAGGAATGGGGAGAGGGCGGGGCAGGGGATAATGCCCTTACAGCTTCCTGCCCGTGCTACCACCACAATGGGCAGCACGAGAATGTCCCAGTGAGGCAGCAACCTCCACACATGGTTTTGTGCTTTAAACTGCCCTTTGCCCAAGCCACACAGCCTCAGACAATTCCAAGCCCGCAGCTGGGGCAAAGGTGGGGAGGCTATAGATCCACAGCTGTCCCTTTTTAAGTAGCTGGTGGTGGCGCTCTGACCACATCAAGGGCTGGGCAGGGTCAGCTTCTCGTTCTTTGCCTTCTCTCCCTCCTTGGCAGTCTCTAAAGCGGGCTCCAGGCACAGCCTTCCAGGATCTGGCCGCTGTAGAGTCAAGTCTCTCCAACAAGAGCAAACACTGAGCTGGTTAATACTGGAATGGTTCCTGGCCCAGGACTGTGCAGAGACGGCCTAAGAGTGGGGGCAGTAGACAGCTTCCATCTAGATGGAAGCCGATCAGCTCCGGGAGCATGAACATGGAGGTTAGCTCAGAAGATGCGAGCCTGGGTCCAGGCTCTTCAGGCTCAGTATGGTGGGATACAGCTATAGGCGGGTTTTTAGAGGCCTGGGGTATGGGTGTCTAGGGAGGGCCCCACAGCATACAGATGTGGCCTGGGTCTCAAGTCTTAGGATGGGCACATGGGTGAGTCAGGGGCATCCCTAGTCTAACTAACGACTGAGCCCATACTGTCTACCCAGAGACCTGCTATTGTGCTCAAATCATAAAACCTCCTGGGCCTAAGTTTGCCCATACTGTCTACCCAGAGACCTACTATTGTGCTCAAATCACAGCTATTTTGTGCTTCCAACACGTAGGACTCTTGTGCAATGAGTAAAGCTAGAGGCCTGCCCCGACTATGTACCTTGGACACCCCTGACAGCGTGGGCAGGGACTCCAACATTCCCACAACACAGCTCAGAATGGCTGGGGGACGATGCGCTCAGAGCTCTGAAGTATTTCAAGTTTAGTCAATGACACTTGCTGGGACAGCATAGCAGCCCCGCCATGAGGTAGTGGCCCATCAGAAACGGCAGAAGGGGCAATGACGGTGAGCACCTCTCGCGGGGCTGTAAGACCACACTTTGTACAAGAACTGGCCTTGCAGCTATACAGTACAGGCACCCCAGGCTGGGCAGCCCAGCCCATGGGGTCAGGATAAGTCGCGTGTGTTTCTCTAATTTGTAAACAGTCATGCAGATGGGTTCTGGGTTTTCTTACAGGATGTGAGGTGCAGGGTTTCCATTCAGGGAGAGAGGATAGAGGAGAAGACGCGGTCACTTCTGAGTGCTAAGGCAGTTTCTTAGCACTCCCAGGATGAGCAGAGGAAGGAGGATTTCTGGTCACTGCAGCAGACTGTCTAGGTTCCAGGTGACCCGCTTTCCAGGAGCATCGTTCTGAGTATCCACACACCCAGACTTAACACCATGTCCAGCAGGGGCCACAATAAGCGGGACATCTTCTTAGTTGCAGCCTCAGACACAGCTCTGGGTTGGCTCAGAGAGGGTCTATCCTCAGCAGGGACCCTCCCATTCTAGGGCCACACAGACAGGCACCGAGGTACCTGGCCACAAAGGGAGAAGAGACAAGTACAGACACACTACGCTAACTCTTCAAAGTCCACACGTCACCATGTCCTCTGAATGGAGCTGGCATTCACCGCTCCCAGAATGTGAGAGCTGGCGGAGCAGTAGAGTAAGTATGGACCAGTTTTGGGGCAGGGGAAGCCAGGGGTGAGGAATGGAGTTGACCCCTTCTCAAGGCCTGTCCCGATAGGGGGTGCCAGACACTCATTCCACCTCATCCCTGCAGCTGAGTCCACAGCCCCGCAGGAGAAGCAAGGAAGGAGTGTGAACCTCCTTGTGCTAATCTAAGAGGGAGGGCCTTCGGCTCAGGCTGGTTTTAAGGCTTGAAAATCTGTTTCTAGAACAACTAGTGGAAAAGAAGCTGAGGAGGCTCCCTGTCCCCTTGGGGGCGGAGATATAATTAGCTGGGGGTTAGGTTGGTAGTCTTACTACCGAAGCCGCTACCTAGTGGACAGTCCACCAAGCTGCATCCCACTGGGCCACACAGGACTCAAGGGAGCCTGAGTTCCCTGGTCGCGGACTGATGGTCTTGGGTGGTCTCTGACCTTCAGAGTCTGTGGGCACCCATAGGTAGAAGACACATGTGGGCTGCGGACACAAGGCTGCCCAGCATGATGCCAGGCCTCAGGATGGAGGAAGGCACTGCGGCATCAGGCGGCCTAGAGACCTGGGCTATACTAGAAGGCATGCCGGGGCGGGGCAGAGCCGGAGCAGTGGCCAGAGCTGCAAAGGATGGAAGAAGCCCCGCCCTCCTGTGCACACCAAGCAAAGGAGGGTGGAGGTGGAGGTGGAGGGCAGGGGCTGGAGCTCCAGAGAGAAGACCCCCACCAAGGGCGGAGGGAAGAAGACGGGAAGAAACTTCAAGTCAGTTTCCAGGAGGCAACAGCAAAACATAAAAATAAAAAATAAATAACTGTGATATTGCTGACCTTCTCCCCCAAAAGGAATTGTAAGAGCAGCTCCACTGAGGCCTCAGCAGAAGGGGACCCCAAGGAATGACTGGGCCCCACTGGTGTTGGGTGTTGGCGGCCATAGGGTCAGCTGCAGGACTCAGCGGCTTACATATGGTTTCCATGGTTACCTGAGAACTACGTTGGTGGGCTCAGAGGCAGGTGCAGTGGCTCCTGAGGTGGGGCTAGGAGGCATGGAAGAGGCTAGCTCACAGGAAGATAGGTAGGTGGTGGGGGAGGCATGGAAGAGGCTGGCTCACTGGAAGATAGGTGGGGGAGGGCTTAGAACGGCTGCTCCCTCACAGTGTCACCCTGGGCTGGCAGCCCAGAGGAAGGGCAGGGCTGCCTCAGCGGGAGACAGTGTGACCAGTTGTGGGGAGGGCAAGGAACCGGGGAGGAGGGGCCATGCCCTTGACTTCACAGCTTACTCCCTCCCCAGCCTCTCCTTTCACAGGAGGCAGGGGAGGGACAGAGGGGACAGTGAAAGGAAGCAGAGCCAGAGCAGGGCCACACCCTCTGTCCTCAGTACACCTGGTTGGTCTGGTCAGGTGGGGGCACAGCTTCCTTCCCGAGCTGTGGAGGCCGCTGGGTCTGAGGGTCTGGCCACCCTCAGCCTTAACTTCAAGGGTGGGCTGCTGGTAGCCGCCGCATGCTCCAGAACTTCACTGTCAGGTCACTGCGGAGGACAGAATAAGGATGCTCAGCCCTTGATGTGAGCCCAGCTGGCTGCCCCCGAAAGTAAAGGCTGGGCAGATTCCCCACCTCCCTCACAGACGGCTGGGCAGAGGCAAATACTGCTCAGGGCCAGTGGGGACGGCACAGGGAAGGACACTGGGCAAAGCTGGGGGCCGGGCCATGGTCTCCAGGACCCCGCAGGACCCCGCAGGACCCCGCAGGACCCCGCAGGACCCCGCAGGACCCCACAGGACCCCGCAGGACCGCAGGACCCCGCAGGACCGCAGGACCTGTGTCCTGGGCTTTCTCGTTGTTTTCTCCAGGCCTCAATGCCTCCCCCTCGGCTCTCTGCTGCCCAGGGTTCCGTCCCACTGCTCATGCTTGCAAGACAGTTTGGTGGGGAATGTGTTGGGCCAGGCAGGGCACGAAGGGAGAATAAGAAGGTCAAGAGTAAAACAATCTCATACCGTGAAGAAGCAGCTCAGATCGAGGTGGGGGAAAGACAGGAAAAGGCAAGAGGGAAGAATGAGAGAGGAAAGGGGGTGGGTTGGGGAGGGGGTCAGGGCAGGGTGGTGGCGCGGCCCTTTATGGCCAGGACTCGTCGAGGAAGGCAGGGGGTGAGTCCAGGGACGTAATTCCACAGCTTTACCCGGCAGTCACTATGGGGGGAGAGGCAGAGAGGCAGAAAGGAGAGGTGGGAAGAGATGGGACATGGTGGGAACAAGGAGAGAGAAGAAGAAACCCGGCTGAGTAGGGCCCCTGGGACTGGGGGCCTGGCACTGCCTGCACAGGGGGCCACACCCACAGCTGGAGGAGCAGAGGTTTGGGAGTGGCAGGGCAGGCCTTAGCTCCTGCACGGGATTGCTGGGAGGACCAGTCTTGGCCTGAGGGTCAGTGGCTCCCTGATCCCCTGCCTAGTGGAGCACCCAGGACACTGGGTGCTTAGTGCTCAGTGCAGATGAACAGGAGGTATAGAGAGGAGGGCTCTGTGGGGTTCTGCTCTGTGAATCGGATCTGCGGGGGACAGCTGCTCGACCCTGAGCCAATTGTCAATCTACTGACTCTAGGAAGAGGGAGGGGAGCAAAGAGGTCCTTCTGCCCAGCACCCACCTGGAGGCCGTAAAGATGTGCTTGCTGTTGGTGCAGATGGCATTGATGGGGCTGTCATGGCCCTTGATCTCACCAATGGGTGTGAAGTTGTCCACATTCCAGACCTTGATGAAGCCTGCCCGGCAGGCGCTTAGCAGCATGGGCCGGCCAGGAACGAAGGCCAGGGCACATACCCAGTCCTTGTGAGCATTGGGGATTTGCTGTGGGAGGGTCAGGGCTGATAAGGAGTAAGGAAGGGAGGGGGCTTGCCCCAAGAGCATCACTCTTGCTAGTTGGTGGATGCTACCTGGCTCCTGGTGTCTACAGCTATCAAGAAGACACCCGAGCATTCCCAGGAGCCAGGCTGAGCTACGCTGTCAGGGGACTCAAAAGCCCAGAAGGGTCCTTCTGCGCATTCCCATGTTCAAACTTCTGTACTGCTGGAAAAGTACCTCCAGAAAAGCTAAGTTTAAGCCAAGGGCTCCACACAAGAGTGGATGCTGTACATTCAAACGGGAAGCAAGGGCTTTGTGGAGAGCATAGAACAGAGGGCCTCAATGGAACCACACCACAGGCTGCAGGGAGAGGAGGGTGGGGACAGCAGGGAGATGGCAGACAGCAGGCAGTCTTGGAGGGGCTCTGCTAAGGTCTGCGTGGGGCCTTGCCCTGAACCATTCCACCCTTCCCCTCCCCGAACCTGAATGAGCTCCTGCTGTTCCAGATCCCACTTCTTGATGCCATTGTCCCTGGAGCCACTGAACAGTATGTCTCCTTGGATGGCCAGGCATTCGATACCATCATAGTGAGGGGGCTCGAAGTTGTGGGTTGGACCAATGGTGCCCATCACACAGTCACCCAGCTGGAACATCTGCAGAGGAGGAGGGGCAGAGCCCAGAGAGGAGCATGTTTGGGGGCAGGCCTTGAGCACTGTTGGAAGAACACTGCCAGTCCCACCTCCCCCATCTCCCCTTTATCCACTTTTCTCCACTTTTCTGGCCATGCGAAGTGTCCAGCTATATCCATAGAGAGGAAGCCAAATTAGTGGGTTTTTACATATTTTGTATCTTTTCCCTATTTATTGTTTTAACGGTTGCATCATACCCCATTCAGAGGCTCTACCTACAAGCCTCACACATTTAGGTGGTTAATTTTTCACCATGTACAGAATAATTCTATGCCCTTAACTGTCACACACATCTTCCTGTCTTCTCTGAGATGCCCAGCAGCAATTCCCAGAAGTCTCCTTGTTTTTTATGTGTTCCCTGGGTAACGGGGTAAAGGCAGAATGGGCGGAGATAGTGAGAGCAGCATCTTTCAGGCCTCAGGGCAGAGGTGGCTCTAGTCAGACCCCAGCTGGTGTCAGGGCAGTTACAGGTACCTTCACGTAGTGGTCCTTGGAGCCAGTCACTACGAGGTCATGCTGGTTTGAAGTCTGGGTGACTGTCAGGCACATCACCGGGCCAATGTGGCCTGTCAGCTTGCCAATAGGCTGGAACCTACAGAGGGGAGAGGCCCAAACAGGGAGAGCTGGTTGGAGTGGCACCTAGATAAGAGGACAGGGGTTGGAGGGAATATGACCTGGAACAGACAGGCCAGTCTACTCTTTCTCCCTTCAAAGCAGATCAAGGACCAAGGTTTTCAGAGGCAGGAGACAGGTTCATAGGGTGAGAGGGACGGGAGGTACAGGACTTCCTGCGGTGGGCCACACCGTGCTGAGGTCTGTGGACCTTCCCTCGGCCTATTCTCCTGACTTCTCACTGACCTGTTAAGCTCCCAGATGCGGACCGCATTGCCAGAGGCCACATACAGCATGGTGCCTGAGGGGCTGAGGGCCATCTGGTTGATCTGATGCTCTCCCTGGGCACTGGTGATGGCTCGTGTAGATGTGGCTAGGCAAGCGTCTCCTGAGATCACCTGGCCCGAGGATCTACTCAGAGAGAAGAAAGCAAAGCCAGAGGTCAGAAGAGCCTATCCACACGGGCCAGGGAAACGAACAAGCTTCACTCAGACCACTTTGGAAAAGCCGCCTCTTCCATGATGCCTTTCCTATGCGGGCAGAATGACTTCCCCTGGAAGCAGGACCAAAGGGAGAGGGAGCTACACACTACCCAACATGTCTCTATGACCTGTTGGTATGCACTGGCAGGTCTAAACAGACTGTAAGACTCAGGGGCAGGCTCTGAAGCTGGTTCATGTAGAAATCACTTAACTTCTCTGAGCCCCAGTTTCCTCATCTGTTCAAAGAGGTGATAATATTATTTGTGTACTACCCTTCCCCAGACTTCATTAAAAAAATAGCTTTAGGTTCACAGCAAAACTGAGTGGAAGGCAGCTTTCCCATACAGCTCTTTCCTTCCCAACATGCACAGCTTCCCCCATTACCAACAACCCACACCACAGCCTTTGCTACAACAGTTGAACCTATGGTGGACACATCATCTCCAAGCTCATTACATACAGCAGGGCTCTTCCAGGCAGTCTACATTCTATAGGCTCAGCCAAATGTGTGACATTATCTGTGATTACTACATCATGCAGGATACGTTCGCAGCCCTAAATATCCTGTGTTTGCAGCCCTAAATTTCTTGTGTTTGCCTTTCAAGTATCAAACTTAGCAATTCGTGGCTTATAATGCACAAACAAGGACAGAACCCGACTTCTGTTGAGTTTGTGTCCCTGCTCAGGACTATGGTGGGTGGCTCGAGGCTGCTGCCCCCTGCTGGTGTTTTGGATTCCATCTCAAATGGTAGCTCCTGGAGGATTGAGACAAAGGTAGGAGCGGCCCGTGTAGGTCAAAGGCTCAGCACCCTGCTGTTCAGAAACCACCTTGTTCCCCTATGGGCCAGTAAGGACCTTTGTGCCCACCTAATCAGGCTGTGCTGTGATCAGTGGACATCCAAGTAGGGAAGCAGTTTTCTCAAATCTGGCCTGGTAAAGCAGGCCGGTAGTGAAATACTTACGTGAGGGTCCGGATGCACTTGGCCGAGTCCCGGATGTCCCACACTTTGATGTAGGAGCTGGACACAGAGAAGACCAGCCCGGAGTGGCTGCAGTATTTGATAGAAACCACGTTGTTGGGGTGGCCCTTGAGAGCCGCGATCTCCTGCCCCGTTACCAGGTTCCACATCTTGCAACTACGGTCTGCCAGAGACAGGGAAAAGACCATGAAGAGGAGGAAGCTCCCCCAAAGGACGGTACAAGGTCCCACTGGGTGCAGTCTCATAAAACAAACAAACCAACAAAAAATAAAACTTCATGAGGCAGAGAAGGGGCTGAGAACTTTAAGGGGCTGAGGTGTCCTTGGCTGAAAGAAAATTCCTACATTATCTCAAGGATGTGTTATTGTGTTGTCTTTACAACAGCTGCTAACAGACATTTGATTGTAAATGCTGCCGAATTAATCCAATACATATCCACTGCTTATTAAATGACAAAGTAGCACACACACATGGGAAAACTTGGAACCAATCAATCACACCTCAGCTGACAGCTATCCCCTCTCCTGTGTGTATAAATGTATGTGTCATACGTACACATGCATCTATTCATATGTGGATATCCGGGTCCCTATTATGCATGCATGCTACAAATTGGTTCTTTCTTCTGGTCACGTCTTTAACTTCTTTGCTGTGACTGGCTGTAGGACTGTGAAGTCCTGCAGCTGAGACCAGAGGAGCAGACTGACAGATGCAGCTGCAGGGATGACGTGGGTGCCCGGTAATATTGGGGAGGAAGTGGTGGTATTAGAAAGCGGGGGATGTTGGACTTCTGGGAAGCTTCCCAAAATGTCTAAAGAGGGGCGTGGGGGTAGTGGTAGAGCCAGCAGGATCATGGGAGGGAAGGCTCAGCCAGGAGTGAGTTGACTGAGAGCCCTGAGCCAAGGCAAAAGACAAGAGTCCAGCAAGTTCTCCACGCAGCCTCAACTCTCGTTTGGGCTCTGTATGCCGTTGCCTTCACAGCCCAAGCTGGGAAAGGAATGTGGGGTGGGTGAGAGACCCTAACCCCACGGCCCCTCAAGTCTCCACGCACCTTTGGAGCCCGTGAAAAGCAACTCATCGGTGGCATCCAGGCAGAGGATAGGCTTGGTGTGGCCCTCGGCCATGGAGACACACTGCAATGGGGCTGTCCGTGCTCCCTTTGCTCCGCCGATGGGGGTGATGATGCCCCTTCCCAGGAGAGAGGGAAAGAGGATGCGCCAGTCAGCCAAGGAGACCGTGGCCAGGCTGACTGAAGCACACATAAGAGAGGGGTCTGGGCTGAGAGGGGACAGTGAACAATGAGAGATTCCAGGACTGCTAGCAGAACTCCACCAGGGTCTGGAAGCCAGAAGGAGCTGCAGTTGCCATCCTCAGCCCTGCTGGAGAAGCCCGTGCCAGGCACACGGGAAGGAATGGGAAGGCTACCTAACTAGAAGTCAGAGACGGGCATGCAGCCAGCCCTGGTGGGGTCGGGCTGAGGACCAAGTGCTAACAGTGACCTCTGGAGCTTCCATCAGTCTACACACTTCTTTGGCGGTCAAAAATGTGGGGAGGACAGGAGAGAGGAAGGATGTCCAGGCTGTCATCCTCCCCATACTTCATTTGGAAGTCAGTGTTCTAGGGCCGGCACCTTCCAGCAGTGAGGCAGATGGACACCTACACAGAGCCTCGAGTTGGACCAGCATGGTCAGATCTGTGCCTGTCACTTACAAAGGGATAAATCAGGGCTGGGCACACACCTGTTATCCCAACATTTGGTAGGCTCAGGCAGGAGGATTGTTGTGAATTTAAGGCCAGACTAATCTATATAAGGAACGTAAGGCCAGCCTGGCACACATAGGAAAACGTGTCAAACACAAGCAAACCAGCCAACAAACAAACAAAAATCCCCTAAAACCTCCAAAGGGATAGATAGATCAGGGGACTGCAGCCCAGCTGGGGGGCTGGGATGCTGGGCCTTTCTGGAGCAAGCCTGCCTGGGCCTGCCTGGACCTGGAATGGTACCCGCTGGTTCTGCACAGCCTGGGAGCAGGAATAAGGCCAAGTCAAATAAGCATGAGAGTTTTAATATACCTCTTGGGGTTCTGAGGATGGTTTTGCCTTTCTCAGGAAGGTCTTTAAGGATGAGACCCAGCTACGTTACATCAAAACCACATTCTAGCTCTTCAATAGAGAAGGCTATTGTGGACACAATGGTTGTAGGGATTACCGAGATGACCCACATCCTGCATGGAGCACTCTTGCACGATCCTGCAGACTTGCCTTGGTCAGGTGCGACACCAGGACACTAGTCAGACATGCCCACATGCCAGATAAGCACATGCATAAATAACTCCCTGCTTTTGCTTCCAGCTTGTGACTCTGGTTTGGGCTGAGTTAGGCCAAGATTGCCATGAGAATGTATATATCAAAGGAGTTGAAAGAAGCTGGCGTATTACTGGTAACATCTATTGGCAAGGCCTCACTGCACAGGATAAATCAGTGGTGTTAACCACAGTCAGGCAGAGTTTGGGAACCAGAGAGTGTGCCTGGAGAGCTAGAGGGAGCTCTTGGCCTTTATATGGGAGCCTTCTGATGCTGGGATCCTAAGTGGAATAGACCCCCACAAGCTGTGTGCTAAGAGATACAAGCAGGGCACTGTCTCCCTTGGTGCCCCTCAGAGCTGAAGCTTGCAAGACTCACCCACCAACCCAAGCTAAGTTAAGAGAACCGCAAGCACAGCCACCATAGCCAACGACGCTCAATAAAGACTAGCGCTGACAAGGTCCTCATGTCACCTCTTGAGCAGTGAAGCTTTGCTTCAACTCCAGTCCAACCCAGGCTTCCATGTCCCTCCCCACCTTGCCCAGGGCAGGAGGGAGAAGAGAGCAGGGCTAGCCACAAGCAACCCCATCACAGGCCCTTAGCTCTAGCCAGGCATGGCATAGTCTGAGGCCACGGGGCCACCACGAGAGGAAGGAACCATGGGGCGAGAAGAGGTCTCAGGGGAGCCATGGATGTGGAAGAGGCAGGGGCTAGGAGAGGAGGGGCAGCATGCTGAGGACAGGGGTACAGGAGGGAGGGGCTGGTGTAGCATGAGGCAGAGAGGAAAAAAAAGAGAGAGAGCAAGAAGGGGCTCAAACATGAGAGACATTCTGTGTGTACCTCAGGACCTCCGACAAAGAGGAGTCGCTGTCATCAGACCTGGGAAGGGCAGAAAATTAGCTGGATTAGGGGAGAGAGGAAAACACATAGGAATGGCGGTAGCAGCAGCAGCAGCAACAGCACAGGGAGGTCAGAGGGTGGTTATTCTCCTCAGGGAAGGCAGAGAGAGGCAGGGGAGGGGAAGAGGGCCTTCGAGGAAGGTGGTGGGGTCGGGGTGGGAACAGACTGGCCTGGGAGCTGGGAGAGCCCCCCACCAGCGGACAACCAGGGGGTCTCTCAGCTAGCAGGGGAGGGGGAGGGGGAGGGCCATAGGAGCTGTGGGAGGCCAGCCCACTCTTGGGGGTTCCAGGGCTCTTTGCTAGTTCCAGGCTCTCTGGTTGGCCCACTGTGTAAGCCGGGACCAGCTGCAGCACTCCAGCAATGCTCAAGCCTGCCCAAGGACACAAGACGGCCCCGCTGCTCTTTCCCTCCCTGAGATCATGTCTGGAAGTTAACTCTGTGCTGCATGTGGGTCCCAAGACTGGACCAATGGATAGGACCAAAACCTGTAGACCAGGCTAGAAGGGACAGAGTCCTACCCCAGTTTGTGGGGGTCAGGGAGGACAAGTCTAGGATGGATGTAGTGGCACATGCCTGTAGTCCTAGTGCTTAGGAGGGTAAAACAGAAGGACAAGAGTAAAGTATTAAGACCCTGTTTCAAAAAACGAAATGAAGAAACAAATAATATCCAAGTGGTGGTGGCGCACGCCTTTAATCCCAGTACTCGGGAGGCAGAGACAGGTGGATCTTTGTGAGTCCAAGTCCAGCCTGGTCTATAAAGTGACATACTCCAAAACTACAGAGAAACCCTGAATTGGGGGTGGGGGGATAATAAACAAAGTGACCAGTCAAGCCAGCCACATGACACTGGGGAGGGGTGTGTCATGATGGGGAGGGAGGGTCAGGCACACCCACAGCTTCTGTAGCAGGAGCTGAGATGAAGGACGCTGACCTGTGGGGTCTGCCCCTCATGAGTTTAGCATCTAGGGAGCAGCCCTTTGAGCCAGAAGGGATGTTTCTGTGAGAGCGTGGGCAGAGCATGTATCACGTACAAAGGGCACGCAGTCTATAACCTGGGGCTCCCCTGAAGGTCACAGCATCATTGCTCCTCATGGCAAGAAATCTTTCAGGGAAAAGAAAGGAGTCCTTTGGGTAACCATAGAACTCAAGATGGTCACAGTGTGCTTGGGGGGAGCACAGAAATGAAACCATGAATGATGAGGTCCTCTCTAAGGCAAAGTCCATTGTCAGAGTGTCAGGGTTGGCTAGAGTCAGCAGCCCCAGATTCTGGGCCACTTTCTAGGCAAAAGCTTTGGACCACAGTCTTTTTTTGGGGGGGGGGGGGTTCAAGACAGGATTTCTCTGTGGCTTTGGAGACTCTCCTGGAACCAGCTCTTGTAGACCAGGCTGGTCTCGAGTTTACAGAGAACTGCCTGCCTCTGCCTCCCAAGTGCTGGGATTAAAGGCGCCACCCCCACCTGGATGGATCACATTCTTATGCAAATCAGGGAAGACAGCCGATTCTTGGGTTGATTGACAGAAGGGGATGTGTCTGTGAGTCATGCGTGTTCAGTAGACTGTAAAGCAAGGTTGAGCACCTTCTGAATACAGGATGGCTGCAAACAGAATGACCTCATAGCAACCACAGCACACCAGCAGGAGCTGTGAATACAGGGAGCTGAGCTTGCCACACAGGTATAACCCAGAGGTCGCTGTCCATGGGGCAGTGCTCAAGGATTCCTGGGGCCTTGTGTAAAGTCTTTGCAGTCAGGGAGTTTAAGAAAGGGCTTCAGAGAACAGCAGAGACAGCAGAGGCAGATGAAAGGAGCACTTTAGAGTACCCTCTGGTATGCTTGCCCACACTCCTGACTGTCTCACCCTAGCAAGCTAACTTCCGTCTGTTCCTTTCCTGGCATCCCAGCATGCTCTGGGGAAAGGAGAGACCCTTGGTCAGTACAGAGAAGATGAGACTTTCAAGGGCCTCATGGCTCAGAGGAGCTGAAATAGACTGGCTGAGTTCTCCCCAGCTGACCAGTTCCCACAGACTCCCTCCCAGCCTCAAAGCCCTGATTGGCTCTCCACGGGCCTGCTCTTACTTGTCCAGTGCTGATCCCTGGCTCTGGTTGCTGGTGAGACGAGAGAAGACATTGCGGTCATTGCGGGGCCGAGTAGGAGGTGACGATGGAGGTGTGAATCCCATGTCTGCGGATCTGGTAAATGAGAACAGAGTCATCAGTGACCACGCCCTTATCCACAAGTCTACCCAGCATTGGGTTTCCAGCTTCTGCCCCACCATAAAGCCCCAGGAAGACAGGGCTTGTTTTGTAGTGACCCCGGTCAAAATCCTAGATGATGCTTTAAAATATCTATTTTATTTCATGTGTGCGGGTGTTCTGCCCACATTTGTATCAGAGCACAATGCCTGTGGAGGCCAAAAGAGGGCACCAAACACCCTAGAACTGGAGTTAATTACAGGTGGTTGTGAGCCCCTGTGGGAGCTGGGGGTTGAACCCAGGTCTTCTGGAAGAACAGCCAGTGCTCTTAATCACAGAGTCATCATCTCTCCAGCACCCAGATGCTATTCTTAAAAGCACACCCATGGTGTATTTGGAGTTTCACCTACTCTTTGAAATTTGTTTGTAATCCCACAGTGTTCCTGGTGATTTTCTGTCTGATTTACACTGAGTAGTGGATATATATATATATATATATATATATATATATATATATAATTTATTTTTATCTTATGTGTATTGGTGTTTTACCTGCATATATATCTGTGTGAGGATTCTGGATCCCCTGGAACTGAAGTTACTGACAGTTGTGAGCTGCCATGTGAGTGCTGGGAATTGAATTAGGGTCCTCTGGAAGAGCAGCCAGTGCTCTTAACTATGGATTATCTATCTCTCCAGCAATGGAAGTTTTAGGTAACTCAAGTGTGTGTGTGTGTGTATGTGTGTGTGCTGTGTGTGCTTCCAGCTGAGGCTGTGTCCACCGTGATCCCGCAAACACATGTCCTGTGGATGTTCAAGTTACTGCCTTTATTTATTATCACATTTTTGTGTTTCTTAATGATGATTTTGATTTTTATTTGTCTCTTTTGACACATGATCTCACTATGTAGCCCTGTCTGGTCTGGAACAAATTATATAGACCAGGGTGGCTTTGACTGGCCTGCCTCTGCCTCCTGGGTGCTAAGAGTTCAAGTATCAATCCCAATTATATGGTGATTTTTGATTTCTGAAACAGTCCTCTCTGATATTGTTAAGCATTAGAAAGCTGAGAAAGGCTTGACAAGCTTCACTGGAGCCCAAGCTACAGTGTCATTGCTGAGCTTAGCACCGTCAGTCCATGGTACACAGTAACTAAGGTGTCTTTGTTTAAACAAGGTGATGCAGACACCACTGAAAACGTGGTCAGCTCCTCGCAGGAACCGGGCCCTCCATCCTCCCCAAGAACAGTTCTGGCTCTGATTCACCGGCTCGGTGTTCAGAACATCTCAAAGAGCTGAACTGTGGACCATGAGAACTGACAGTTCCTTCAACGAAGAGTCTACCACCTTGATGGCCTGCTGACTCCCCTCAGTGGAAAGCTGTCATTACGTTGCCCTCCCTTTGGATCGGCATCCTGAGTTCATCTCAGTCCTCAGACAGCAACTTCCGGGTGCTCTCTGAGCTCACAGATGAAGTCTGTGTGGCTACAAGCATACAGATGTCCTTTCAACTCCTGACTACCAAGGCCACTTGCAAGTCAGTGCTATGTGCGTCTGTTTTGGTAAAGGCTGGGGTCTGGGGCAGGTTCTTTCTCTGCCTTTCACACACAATGATCACTCTGAGTCCAGATGCCTCATCATCTAGCTGTGAAGACCACCAAACCTCTTAAGACTAAGTATATGACCATGGGGCCATAAAGGGCCGTATCAGCAAGTGTGTATGATGATTAACTGAGAAGAATCCCAAAGCCATTCATGCACCTAAGGACTGGACAGGGACTTGAGCAAATTCTAGAACGTATTCTCACCTGATAGGCTGCCCCCGGTCATAGGACTTTCTTCGGGTCAGAGGGGATGTGTCCGTGCCACCTCGAGACTGTCGAGGGCTAGGAAAGAAGGGCCCAATGAATCCGAGACCTAACTTTCTTCCCACCTTGACCCACGTACCTGGATCCCCTTCCTTACAAAGTGCTGCCCCGGGTGGGCAGGCTGACCGTGCGTGAGACCTTGTCCCGGTAATAGGGGTCCCGGATAGAGAAGCCCACTCCATCCTCTTTGATCTCAACGAGGGAGGCCAGGGACTTGGTAATGTTCTTGGTGGAACTGTCCAGTGGGGGTCCCAGGCATTCTGCAGACACAGCCTTCATTTGGGCAGATAGCTTAGGCTCACCCTAGGAGAGGAGGAATGAGCGGACCAACTTGACCAACTGATGAACCATAAAGGGGAAGTAAGAACTGGGCCTGATGACACAGACCTGCTATCCCAGGTACATAGGAGACCGAGAGTCTAACTCAAAAAAAAAAAAAAAAAAAAGCAGAGAGCAGAAGGTCTAGCTCAGTGTGGGTTCAAACTCCAGTATTGGTGGGGAAAAAACAAAACCAAAACCCATGAGAAGTGGGTAAATTTTGAGGAAAATGATACTGCCTGGCCTGAGGGAGAGTTGCTGATGTGCAAACCAGAGTGTCCATCCAAACTGATCTAATCAGATAGCTCCAGGACTAGGCATAACGCATTGCTCACAGCCTGCAGTTTCCCACATCTGACTTTAATAAGACCTGAGTGCTGGTTCGTTCTCATCACCGATCTCTCATTGTTAAGAAAACTCTCTTACTGTTGACTTTCATGCGGTCCAACAAATAGTTGCAGGAAATGTAACCTAGAGTTCCAGAGTCAGCTTTAACTCTGAGTCTCAGGCTGAGAGGGAGGCGTTCTGTAAAGTAGGGTCTCTGGATATAGTGATGTCATGGGGTAGAAAGAGTTCTTGTCATTTCTCCCATCGTGAGAAAGAGTGGGTGCCTAGCCTACATAGCAAATTCTAGGTTGGTCTCCCACCATGCCACCCCTTGTTCCAGGCCACATCCTTCTTGGCATCTGTATTCCTGCTGCGGACAAAATTGAATGGGGGCTGGGGGCATGGAACTGCATTCATAGGGATAGGCTGTGAGAAGAGAGGCGGGCCCCACTAAACCTACAGCCTGATTTCCAGCAGGGCTTACCTTGAACTTGAAGTCGTCATGGCTGGTGGAGCCTTTCATGGTGAATGACTGGGAAAAGCTGAGGAAGAAAGCAAGAGAGCTTAGGACCATGATAGTTCTACTGTAACTAACTATCTAAGTCTCTCTAGGACTTAGTCATGTGGGCCCCAGAGAACCGGCGAATCCAAGCTTAGCCCTGGGGCCTATGGTGAACCCGGTGCACCCCGACCCCCCTCCACGCCCAGGTGCATGCAATGAGGCAGCCAGTGACTCCCTGCTTGAAAACTCACCTTCCCTCAGAGAACTCTGAGACTTCCTCGTCTGTGCTCGCATAGCCATTCTCTGAGGGAGTGGGGGAAGGAAGGAAGAAGATGGTTGAGAGACCCCTTCAGAATATGTGGAAAGGGGACACAGCCTTTCTCTCGGACCAAGGCTTGGGGGGAGTTCTCACACAGGGGGTTTTGGGAGCTGGAAAGCCTTCCCCACACTGAAGCATACCCTGCTGCACATTGTAGATGAGGGCCTGCAGCTCAGGGTGTGCCTCGGCCTTCTCACGCAAAGCATCTAGGAGGAGGTGGTTCTGGGAAGAGCCTGTCATGTCTGTTTGTCTTAGTCGTCCTTCCAGCAGCCGGATCTGGGCTTCCTTCTGTGCTACCTGTAGTCCCTGGGGACAAAGAACAAGGCTTGGGCTTACTCTTCCTAGTCTGTGGCTGATGTAGCCCTTAGGCACATACACAGACACAGACACAGACACACACAGACACACAGACAGACACACACACACGCATACACACACATACATACATACACACACACACACACACACACATGAAGGTCACCCTAGTATATACTCTGTTATGGGTAAACTTACAACCCCTCGTTCAGTGCAGAAGTCCCAACCCCTGTTACCATAAAATGTGACTGTACTTGGAGACAGGTCCTTTAGAGCGGGAACTAGGATAATATGAGGTCATAGGGGTAGTCCCTAATACAGTGTGACTGGTGTCCTTATAATAATAGACCATGATAGGCTATGCAGGAAAGTTCATGTGAAGACATGAGAAGAAACCATGGCCATGGAGAGAAGCCTCGGAAAAAACGCCCTGCTGACACTGGGATCTTAGACTAAGGACATCCCTGATGCACCAGCCACCCAGCCTGTGACATTTTGTCATGGCAGCCCTAGCACACCCTTACAGCCCCCTAAGACAAAAAGCAGCACTGAGGAGCCCCTGGGGGTCTGGCTAAGACTTGGGCAGGATGGCTTCCCCACTTCTTTCCAGACTAGCTGGTGTCTGTCCCCAAGACTCAGGCCCTAGGATAGGAAGAAACCTTCTTCAGTCTAATGACTCCTGGTGTTCTAGTAGGCAGGGGGTGGGGGCGTGAGGGGGGTGTGGAATGTAATTTTTGTTTCCTGCTCCCCGATTCCCAATATGCACACACTTCTCCCTCTGCTCCAACAGACCCAAGTCCAGTCCTGCTGAGGATGGGCCTGGGCACCTTTAACTGAAGCCGTGTGGTATGCCAAGGCCCTTACGTGCAGCGTTCTGTACAACCAACTACAAGCTCTGTATTGTCAATGCTCCGGTTTTATAGCCACAGAAGTGGAGGCTTGCAGGTTCAGTAGCTTGTCCCAGCCTGTGAATGACGCAGGTGGGAAGGAGCCAAACCCGTGGGCTTCACCACCAGGGTATGTGTTGCATGCCCAGTTCGCGGGAAGATGCAGCTCACCTTGTCAATGGACGCCTTGAGGAAGTTGTCTAGCAGTAGGCGGGCTTCAGCTAGTGAGCAGGAGCTAATGACCACTGACGTATCTGTTGAGTCCAGCTCCTCCTATTTGAGACCAAAACGCAGAAACCTTGTCACACAGGGCTGCCGAGCCCGCTCATTGCTACTACCCCACCCAGCCAGGCTGGGTCCTGTGGGTACCTTGGTTTCCTCCAGCTGCATGATGGTGGCTTGGCAGTCAGTGATGCTGTCATTGATGTAATCAATATTGGCTGCCAACACTTCCATCTCCTCAGCCAGCTCCTGCAGCCCCTTCTCCTCCTCGGGGCTCTCAGCCTGCAGACGCTCCCGCTTCCTCCGCAGGGCCTCCTGTAGGAGGAATAGCTCCTCCCTTTTCTGTGGGGGGTTTGGAGAGAGGGAGGATAGTGATGGAGGGGACACCTCGGCCTAAGCAAGCTCTGCTTTCAGATCGTTCACCAAGACACCCGCCTGTCGGGGTCACGCAGAGGTCAGAACAGGCACGAGGAGCCGGAGAAGTGGGGAGTGACTGTGCAGGTGGAAAGTGGGGTGGGAGGGATGAGGGGGGCCCCACCTTAATGAGTCGCTCCATGTCAGCCTCCAGGTTGACAATGGTCATCCTCTGCATGACAATGTCGATGATCCTCCGTTCCAGGGACTGCCATTTGAGTCTTGCAGCCTTACTGAAGCTTTGGCTGGCCCCTTTCTTCTGGAACTTCTTCCTGGGAGAGGGAGGCAAACGGGCTTTGGCTGACTGCTCTGAACCTCCGAAGATCGACTGAGCTCCTGCACAGAGCCTGACAGACAGCCCAGGCACCAGAGCACTTTCCAGAGCTTCACAGTCCCATCCTGTCCTCAGGCCCTGCTCACACGCCTCACCTGGCTGGGCCCACAGGCCATGCTCACTCTCCTCACCTGGCTGGGCCCACAGGCCTGCTCACACTTCCATCCTGCCCACAGGCCCTGCTCTCACTCCTCACCTGGCTGGGCGGGTGCCATTGACAGTGGCTGCAGGATGGTCTCCCAGGAAGTGGTTGATCTTCCGGTTCCACTGGCGCACTATGCTGGAGACAGAGCGCGCTCCTGATTCAGCCTCAGACGAGGTAGTGCTGGCAGATACCTCAGCCCCAGAATCCAAATTGTGGGGCTTCGATCCTACACGCCCAGCCACTCGCTCAGACATGGGCTTTGCCAAGCGCCTTAGTGCAGAAACCTGGGCAAAGTGAGGACAAGAAGAGGGGACCCAGTGAGCAAGGAAGACTGGAGCTTCAGGAAAGCCTGACTTGAGGGTTGGGAGAACAGAGGCACTGTGCAGGCCTGAGCTTGGGGCTGCAAAGGGATAAGAAGCCTTCAATGTAAAATAAACACAAGAGATGTTCTCTCTCTCTCTCTCCTTACTCGTATTTCCTTGAAGGATATGTGTTTTATGGGTGTGTATGCGTGTGCACATCTGGGTGTGCATGTACACATGTTTCCTGTGTGGACTCCAGAGGTGGACACCGAGTGTCTTGCTTTATTTCTCTATTACTCAGTGTCTCTCAGTTAACCCAGAGCTCTCCAGTTAGCTAGACCAGCTGGCCAGCAAGCTCTGAGATTCATCTGTCTCCACCATGCCGGGTTTTTAATGAGGGTGCTGGGGATTAACGCCCAGGTCCTCAAGCTTATGTGGTAAGTCATTTACTGATGGGGTCATCTTCCTAGCCCCTTTTTCTCTTTGTTGTTTTTGTTTATTTTGCTTTTGTTTCTTGAGACAGGTTTCTCTGTATAACAGCTCTGGCTCTCCTGGAACTCACTTTGTACCAGGCTGGCCTCGAATTCACAGATCTGCCTGTCTCTACCTTCCAAGTGGGATTCAAGTGTGTCACCACTACGTGGCTTTTAAATGACCGGTCAGGCCCTGGGGGTGGGGTGTGTGTCTTCTGCCCTCTAGGTTCGGCTCACTGGTTGAGAAGTCATTTCTCATGGGCTACCTACAATTTGGCAGGCTATGTTCACTGAATGAAAGGAGATCCAGGCCCCAAGCAGCATGCTTTTCCGTCCCCCTTCCCCCCCACATTGCTTTAGAGGGTAACTTGGGAGCCAGCCCTGTACATCCCAGCCTGATGAGAGTCCTCACCTCCTGGGTTTTCCTCCTCAGGACTATTTCCTGCTGCCTCTTCTGAGACTCCAAGGCCCGTATCTGAAACTGAAAGGAAAGGTTTGGGCCACATTCAGCCGCCAACCACACTCTTGCTGTCCAGACAGGGTTGGGGACAGGCTGGGCGCTCTACAGCCAAAAGCTCAAGATTTTCTTGTGTTGGGTGATTCTTACACTGCCAAACTGTAGATAAGATGACACACAGAGTTGCGCCTTTCTACCAGGAGTGGCCATGAGGAATCCCCGCTCACCAGGGCAATTCTCTTGGTCTTGTCTCCTACTATGAACACGAATCTGAACTAGCCAGTCTTCCTAGGCTAGCTCTTCTGTGCCCGAAGCTCCATGTGTCCGATTTTGCTAGTGGCCTTGAAAACTTCATGCCTTTCTCTGGATGGGACCAAAGCCAACCGTGGCGCCACCCTTCTAATAGGCTGTATGTGCTCCAAGCATGGGTGTTGTCACTTGGAACAGTAGGAACTGGGGGGTGAAGGGTCCTGGTAGGGAAGGGTGGCTGAAGGCTCCAGGGAGCTCTTACCTCCTGCCTCCGTTGTTCTTTCTTGAGCTGAGCAATCTCCCGGTTCCTCTTGGTCTCCACCAGCCGTCGCCGCTGCTGCTCCTCACGCATCTGCTTCATGAGGGCCACCTGGGATGGCAGAGACACTGGAGGTGAGGCAGGAGTGGGCAAGAGCGGCTGATATGCCCAGTCACAGCTGGTTTTGAGGACACTGGTCAGGGAGGTAGCCCTCTAGACATCACTGACTTGGGGGTCCGAAATGTAAGATTTCCTCCCCGCTCGTCCTGAGGGGCTAAGATAATCTGACTAGCCGTTAAAGAAGTGGCCTTACCGCTTACAGTCTATCCCAGTCCCCACTAAAAGCCACCATCCTCAGCTTGGCTGAGATTCCAGGGCCAGTCTCATAGTGACAGCAACATAATAACTTGCTACGTGGCAGGCCCCAGCCTTATGATGCGCATCTCTCCTGTTTTACAAAGAAAGAAATGAGTCTTCCAGACAAAGTGACTGAGAGACACAGAGCTAGGAAGAGCTGGCTCGACTTGGAGCCTGGGTCATCTCACTTCCCAAACCCAGGCTCCTCTAAGTCACCTGCATGTGCGTCTGCGTTCCTCACTGCAGGGAGATGAGTGCACGCCTGGTACAGGACAGGGTTGAAATGGGCTCAGGACTGAGGCAGCATTGCTCTGCAGGGTTCCTATCAGGAGACCCTGTAGCTCTGGGTCTCACCCCGTCAAGATCTGCAGACACAGGCTCTGCTTAGTCATTGGCTGCTCTTCTTCCTACCCTTCAAAGGAAGAACTGGGGCCCTGCTCGGGCACTGTGAGACAACCCTAGGCCCTTCTTTTCCACTCACAGCCCTGGGATCACAAGGGCATAGTCAGGTGACCAGAGCTAGGTCCTGGATGAAGGGCCTCAGAGGTCTAAGAACTGAGAACATGAACACGGGTGGATTCTCCTGTCTTTGTACCACGTCTTGGGCATTTGGTCATTTTTCCAAGATTCAGAAACCCCATGAGAGTGAGCCCTTGTGAGGCGTCTGGGGTCATTTCCACTCAAGATGGGAGCTAGTTGGGGGAGGTTGGGACTATCCTGAACAGGCACCAGTAAGAAATCAGGGAGTGTGGGGGGGGGGGGAGGTGGGGGGGTGGGGGGGAAGTGCATCAACAGACAAGCATGCCAGAGTTGGCTCAGAAGTACATGTAGTAGTACCCAGGTCACAGCTGACTGCAGACAGCCTGGGACTAGAGCTCACTGGGCCCCCTCTGCATTACTAAAGGGCTCCAGGGGCCCAGGGGATTCTGTGGGTGTTTGAATCGCAAGTCCTTTTACCATCAATGGCATCATGTCTACAGGGTGGAAATATTGAAGTAGAAAGTGAGTTTGGGGCTCTTTGGGGCCATGCTGGTTTGATCACAGCAAGGCAGGGAGGGACTTTTTCATCTGCAAATAGAGGACCTGGACCTCCCCAAGGACAGCCTGTCCAGGTACAGATCCATTTCCTCTAAAATCAATTAGCTTTGTCTTTCCCGTGTCCACTGGCCAGAATCAGTCAGGTCAGCAGTCAAGACACACTTCCTAGTGACTCCTGTCCCATGAGTCCCCAAGGGACTCAGCTTGCTGGGGCTAGCACCTTTGCCAAGCTTTGTTAGGGGTCTAGTCCCAGAGCTTAGCTCAGGGCTGTATGGAGAGCTGAGAGATACCAGAAGCTATGGGCCAGGACAGGAAGGTCCGAGGGTGATGGAGGATATACACAGAGCAAGGATCTGCAAGCTCAGGCAGGAGCTAAAACCACCCAGATACCAGAAGTTCAAGACCCAAGCCAATGCCATCAAAAGAGCAGACCCTGCAGACTGTACCCTGTGGACTGCGGCCCAGAGCCACCAAGAACACACACCAGTTCAGAACATCAAGGGCAGAAGTTGCATCCCAGCACTATGTCCTGGTAGCAGGAATTACCTTCCCTGAGCTTCAGATCTCCTTGAACACAATGGGAATGCTAGCCTCCTTTCCTAAGGATGGAACGTGACTGAGCATGCAAGATGCCTAACAGTGCCAACTATTACTATGACTAGAGGCTTGTACCAAATGAGGCTTTAAGGCTTCCTTGTGCAGACAGAAAATATTAGTACAGCTATAGTGATATATATATCACTATATATAATATATATATTATACTAACATATATATATTATACTAATAGTGCAACTATTAGTACAGCTTCCCAATACGAGGGCAGCATTGAGCAAGGTGCCCGCAATGAAGCCAGGTTACTAGGAGGGAGTGCGCATGCTTGGGGCAGGACCAAATCAGGTGATGTGTGTTCAGTGGAAGAGCCACACTTGACAGCAGTGATAATATTTAATGTGGAACACGGATCCTAAGACACGACATAGGTCCCCAGACCCCGCTCCTCGTGTCCGTTGCCTACCTTGGCCTTCTTCATCTCCGCTACCTCCGCTTGCAGCTTCTTCAGCTCCCTTTCGTAGCGGGACTGGTTCTTGAGCAGCCTGGCGTGCTCCTTTTGGGCAGCCTGGAGCTTCTGCAGGTCCCGGTTCATCTCCCGCAGCCTCTTTTCATAATCCGCCTTTATCTTGTTGGCCTTCTCCTCCGTGTAGCACTCCATGGTGCCTGGGAACAGGGGGAAGTGGTGTCAGAGCTGCAGGCTCCACGGTTCCCACTACATGTGGGCTTGATGGGGAGACGGGCCCCGAGTTCTAAATTTACAGTTGACCCTTTCCCTGAGCCTGCTTCTTCGTTTGAACAGCGAGGATGTGGGTTCAGCAGCCGCCCTAGTCCCTTTCCTGCTCTGACACTCCATTGCTCAGCAGTGTTTTCAGACCAAGACTCTGGTCTCTGGAAAGGTGGTGTTAACAAGAAAGAATACACTGGCCAGACACTCCCACCAGGACTGGGAACCGACATCCCCAACTGCATGTCTAAGAGCAAGCCGACTTCCACATATCACTCCATCTCAGAAAATCTTACTGCTTCTTGCCCGGTGGCTCAAATCCCGACCTGGCTCCCTTATCAACCAAGCCTCCTGTCCACACAACCAAGCCTTGAGCTCAACCTTCGAAATCCTTGAATCTGACCACATCTTAACCACCTGTCCAATCTGCCTCCTAAGTGGTCTAGCTTCTGCTTTCATCCTCCTATATTACAGCAAGCATTGTGGTTTAGAAATGCCTTTAAGTCTGTAATACCTCTCCCCCAAAACTCCTTACCCTCTCAATACTCTTGAGTCAAAGAAACGTCTAACGACAGACACAACCCATTCTCTGACTGGTCTAGACCGCCATTCCACCAATATGCCGGGCTCACGGCTGCCTCTGGGTCTTCTGTTCCCACTCTCTGGAATGTTCTTTCCATTTCTAGTTCTGCTCTTGTGCTGCCTCATCTCTTTTGAGCTGATTCCAAGGTCACCCTCTCCGGGTAGCCTTCCATGCCCCAGCTGCCCACCCCTAAGCTCGCCATCCCCTTTCCTTTCCGTATTAAAAAACAAAACGAAAGCCCGACTCGGTTGTGCCGGCCTGGATAGCAGTTCTGCTCACTTTATGCTGCTACTCTGCTAGAGTGTACATTCCATGAGAAGGATTTTACACACTAAAGCAACTCCAGCCCCCGGATAACACCTGCTCGATAAGCAATTCAACTAACATTTGCTGAATAAGGGGACAAGGAAATGAATCACCGAATGAGTAGGCTGCAAAACAGCAGAAGGGGGGGGGGGCACAACTTGAGAAGCCTTATAATCTGGATATAGTGTGGGTGGGAGGGGTGGGAGGGGTGGGGTTGGGAGGTATCTTAGTCACGTGCCTAGGGAGATAGAGGATTAAAGATTCCTAATATTTAAGATGGAAAAAGGAAAAAAGAGCTAGGCATAGTAGCACCCGTGCATGGTTCTACCACAGGGAGACTGAGGCAGAAAGATTGCCACAAGTTTTGAAGCCAGCCTGGGCTACATGGCAAGACTCTGTCTCAAAAAGAGGGGACCATCAAAATGGCTCAGCAGATAAAGGCACTTGCTGCCAAGCCTGATGACCAAAGTTCAATCCCTGGGACCCAGATGGTGGCGGGAGAGAACAGGCTTCTGCAAGTTGCCCTCTGACCTCTTTCTCTCTCTCTCTCTCTCTCTCTCTCTCTCTCTCTCTCTGTCTCTCTCTCTCTCTCTCTCTCTCTCACACACACACACCACGCAAGTAATTTGAAAGCAAAACAAAAGTAGCAGAGAAACTGGGTTAGATACAAGAACGTTTTAACTATGGGTCAAAGGTCGCAGTGTTGGCCAGAGGTCCCTTGTGCAGAAGGCCAGGTGCTATCAGAATGATGCTGGGTTTCTTGACAGAGCAGGGAATGGGTAAGAGGAGCGTGGTGCTGGCCTCACTGAGGTTCTGCAGCACGCGGTCGCGCTCCAGCTGTGTGTCTCGGATCTTGTTCTGCAGCAGGATCAGCTTCTCCTCGTACTGGTGCTTGAGCGTCTGCAGCCGCCGCTGGCTGTTCTCCAGCTCGTCAATCAGCTTCTGCTTGATCTCAATCTCGCACGTCAGGTCCGCCAGGTCTGCCTGGAAGTTGACTTCTGCAGGCCGGACAGAGGCAGACTTAGCCCCGTGCCAGGGGCTGGGGCAAGGGAGCAGATGTGGCAGTCGGGGGTCAGGGACCATCCTTTATCAGTGACTGGAAAGGTAGGCAGAGTGCTGCCACATGGGCCAACACGTTCAATGAGCCACTTTAGAAACGCATGTCTGATCTCAGGAGCTTGGAGGGAGTCTAACACCTTCCCCACCCTGATGGGCCCACGAGCCTGCATCACCATAGGACCACGCTTGGGTGGGGGAGGATAAAGTGACCCAGAGCACCCTGTAGGGCTGTAGGTAGGAAATGACAACAGGACAGAGCTGAAGGGCAGATGTCTGCACATGAAGAGGAGGGTGTTGGCACTAGCCAAAGTCATTCATCAGAATCCACCAAAGTGGGTCAGAGACCTCTCTGATCATGCTCAGTGGTAACTCAGGGAAGGCCAGTACCTTTGCACAAGGCAGTGATAAGCACTGGACTCATCAAGTCTTGTGAAGGGTCGACCTAAGCACAGTGGTGGGCATATACCGAGAGCTAAGTGCCACCCATCATTTGTTATTACTATTTTGTTGGCTTCACGTGCAGGACTCCAAGCCCTGTCTAGACAAGCAGTCTCTGACAACATTAGCAGGCCCGACCCCACCCTGATCCATCCGAAATTTTTCTTGGGAGCCAAGTTCTAACTGACAGTCCCACCATGGGGACTGGCTACAAGTGTCTCATCTCCCCTGCCCCAACCCACGCACCCTTTTCTTCGGGGTCGGAGTCTGAGTCTACCAGGCTCTCTTCGCTGCCCGTGTCTTCATCCTCATCCTCACGCCCTTCCTCCTCCTCACAGCCGCTCTCGTCTCGCTCCTCCTCCTCCTAGGCACAATACACCATTAGGGTTGTACTTATCTCATGAGATGGGAGCCCCAAAGCAGAGACCGGGCCAGATACAAGACTTCAGGGATATCAGCAGGGGTGGGACCCTGCCACACCCTCCTCTGGGAAGACCATCCACTCCTAGCAGCCTTTGTGGTAGATGCTCAGTCTAGCATCATCCATTTAAGATGAAGCAAAGACCAGAGGGATGGAGATCACCATGGCAACAAGTCAGCATTATCAAGAAACTCAAGGGTGAACTAAAGGCAACTCCCTGTTCCACCCCACACAACACTGATGGAATCTCTACCCCAACAGGGGCGTGGTGGTAAGCCCATGGTGAGGAAGACGGGGAGAGGGGGGTCCTCACCTCCTCAGCCTCATTCTCGTCGGTCTCCTCACTATTTTCCTGATGGAGTTTTGCCCTCTTTTTGAAGGCCTCTTTCTCTGGGCTGTTTATGGAATGAAATGAAGCCAGATAAGAGACTAACACCACAGGCTGGTGGTAGTAGGACTAGGTTCCTGCTTTGTAGGGAGCCAGATGTACTTCTCCAGTACCTACCCCCAACCCTGCTCTATCTCCTGGAATTAACCTTGTGAAAAAGCACACAAGGGAAGGTTGAGGAGGTATCTTTGCTCCAAACTGAGCAAGCCCATTACTGGTGTGCCCCTAGGAGTGGGGTGAGGCTGCGTAGGGGTAGTCGTCCCTGTACGTGGGGTAGGAAGCAGTCCTCCTGGAGGGTGCGTGGGGGCGGTCCACTCCAAAGTTCTGGCTGCAGGGGAGGTAGAGACATTCCACTCACCTCTTCCTCCGCTGCCTAACCTCTTTCTTTTTCAGCCGCTCCAGGTCTTGCTTGGCCCTTCGGATCACTTCAGAAGCATCTTCCATGGAGCTGGCCGGGCTGCCCCCAAACGCTGGGCCTGCTGGAGATGCTCCCAGGGAGTAGGGATTGCGAGCAGAGGCCCGTGACAGGCTTCGGCGGAGGGACTCATTCATGGCCTCACTCTCCAGCAGCTTTGTTCTGTGTGGACAGAGTGAGTGGGTGGGGCCAGGCAAGCCACACAAAATTGGCCTGGCCAAGGCCCTCCAGCCTGCTCACAGTGCATAAGCGTACTCACCGGAGCTCCTCAATCTCCCGGATGTAGTTCTGGATCAGAGCGCCAATGGCCTCATTGCCATCACCTGAATGGAGAAGACAGACAGGCACAATAAAGAAAACAGGGGACAACAATAAGGGCGGAGGCCGTGGCTCTAAGACTGGTGGCGGCCTTGTATGCGCTTCCAGCATGCTACGTCACGCAGGCTTTTCCATAAGGGAATCTATGTGAAGGAAATGCCTGAACATGATCACAGTTGTAACCAAGCACTGTTGGGTAATAGCATGAAATTGGAAACAATCTAAACGTCCATCAATAATGGCTGTTCAATAAATTATTCAACATCACATATGGAGCATCATGCAGTCGTTTAAAAATTAAGTGGCTTTTAACGTGCAGATTTATAAGACATGATGCTAAATGAAAAAAAGGAAGTCATAAAATAGAAAGTATGACCTCATCTACAGAAAATGCAATGCATATTCTTCACATACATACAAATGATACATTCAAATGCACTTACACTCAAAACAAATGTACTGAGAAAGTGTGGGAAAACACGGACTTAGCTGCACAGGAATGAGCCTTCTGAAAGCAGAGACGTGGGTGGAGAGCCTGCTGTGGCGATTTTCATCTTTTTCTTAATGTACCACGTGTCTCTTACAGCTATGCGTGTATCATGCTACATTAGCGGGGCGTGCATAAATGTACTAATCTGGGCACTGGCTGGCCATCGCAGCCTGCTTGATACCAAGAGGCTGAAGTGGTAGGAGGCATGTTATTGCTTCAAGCTGGTCCACTGTGCCCCAACTTACCAGCCTTGGCTAGAAGCAGGTTGGCCTCCTGGCTCATGAGCTGTGTGACCCGGTTGTTGATGGCATCGATGGCCTCCTGCATGGCCTTCACGCGAAGCCGCAGAGCCCCATTCTCCTTCTGTAGCATGGCATTCTCCCGGAACAGGTCACTGTAGCCCTCTGCACCGTCCTCCCCAATCACCCGCTTGCCCTGGGTTGGAGACAGGTAGGGAGCACTCAGGTGCTAAAGGTCATGGGAGGGTACAGTGACAGTCCTCTTCCACCTGTCCTCAGCCTTCCCCAGGGCAGAGTGGCACTTGTGGTCTCTCCCTTTCTCTGGTTTTCCTAGCTTAGCTCCTGTCTCCCAAGGCTCAAAAGCTTACAATGCTTGCTCACACAGCACTGGATATGGGGCTTCACTGCTTATAACCTCATTGCCTGGGAGTCTGAGGCATGAGGGTCACAATCTCAAGGCCAGCCTGGGCAAAATGAGTCCCAGGCCAACCTGGACTACATAATGAGACTCCTCTTATAAAACAAACAAACAAACAAACAAACAAACAAACAAACAAACAGCTTGGTGGTGGTGGTACCAGCTTTAATTCAAGTACTTAGGAGGCAGAGGCCAGCCTGGCCTACAGAGACAGTTCCAAGACAGCCAGGGCTACATAGAGAAACATTGTCTCGAAAAACCAAAGACATAGTTCTCTCTCTGAGTCAGTCTGGCGTAAGACCACAGGGAGTGGTGGGGACTGGGGTGGAGAAAAGTCACAGAGAGGCCGTCACTCTCTTGATATCTTTGCTCCCTAACGTTTAACGGTCTGCCTTAAAGCTAGAATCAGCAAATCAGAAACCATGCATACTGTCACCAAGACACTGGGCTTACAGAATTGTCTGCTGTATAAATAAAAAGTTAAGTGTTGTAAACTAATGAATTTGGCCTTTTTAAACCCCTCTCTGAGCCGGGAATTGATGGATCTCTGTGAGTTCGAAGCCAGCATGGAGCATGGTCTACAGAGTGAGTTCCAGGACAACAGCCTCCAAAGCAATACAGAGGAAACCTGTATTGAAAAACCAAAAAAGAAGAAGAAGAAGAAGAAGAAGAAGAAGAAGAAGAAGAAGAAGAAGAAGAAGAAGAAGAAGAAGAAGAAGAAGAAGAAGAAGAAAAGGACCCCCCCCCACGAATGTCACTCAGTCAAAGAACTACTATTTACCCTATCAGGGCAAAATTTTAGCAGTGCAGAGTTTGCCATCACTTTTCATTGCCTTGACTCTAACCATCTGTGTCCTGGGTTGCAAAGGAGGTCAGTGGCTCTTAACAGCTCACAGACAGGATATGATTGTACAGTTTGTTTGTATTTGAATTATGAAATTTCTTCATATAACAAACATTGCTACTCACTCCAGACAACTTAGTGCCAGTTGTTGGTGGAGACAAATTTTTCTGCAGAAGTTGAGACTTCCTCCTTGACTTCCAAAAAAGTAGTCAGACAAGTTGCAGTCATCTGAAACCATGTCCAAACCCACCCATCTGTGTGCCAGATTCAGACTAGGGGCCACCAGCGGGTGACGTCAGCCTTGGATATGTGGAATTAGACATGCCCCTCAGAGCACCTGTTTTTCTCCTTCCTATTGTATTTTATATGGCTTACTCCCTACCCAGAGTGCCTGCTGGCCTCCTCCTGCTGATACTCTATTCTTTTTTCAAAATCTACAAGAAGAATTCCTTTCACAAAGCCCTCCCTGACTGCAAGCAGGCTGACTCTTCTGCCTCTGTTGGACACTCCTGTGTCCCCGCTGTCAATGACTCCACCATGGTGAAGTGGTCTCATCTATTCCAATGCAGTACATTCAGTGGACGTGAAAGCACCTGGGAAGTACCTTCCCTGAACAAAACACCCACACTACAAAACCGAGGTGCTCTAATTCTTAGGCTTTGTGTTCTAAGCCTGGATGGCTCAGTCTGAACCCAGTACTAGGAGCCACATCTGATGCACAGCGATGTCTACCAGACATGATGGATGGGTGATGAGAAGTGGGAGGCACACGCCCGACCTTGTCGTGGGATGCTATAGGGCAGGGTGTGAAGCAGGGCACCGTCTCCTCCTGGGAGTGCCCGGGGGAGCCTGGGTGTGCTCACCGCTTTGTACTCCATCAGTTCCATCTGCAGGCGTGCAATCTCAGCTCGCAGCGCACTGATCTGCTGGCTGGTCTTGTCCTGGTTCACCACCACTTTGTTTTTGATGTTGCGAGCCCGGTTGGCATATTTGAGAGTGTTAAGCGTCTCCATGAAGTCCCGATCCGAGGGGCTCACACAGGCGATCATGATGGTCTGGCTAAGAGGGCAACCAGGCTGGGTGAGGACAGAGGGCAGAGGCAGACCCAGAAGCACTGCTCCAGAGCGGAGTCTCTGTGTCACACTGATCCCTCCCCAATTTAATGCTTAAAGGATCCTGAACCTGAGATGTGGGACCCTGGACCACCTGACCGAGATCTTCTACAGCAAGAGAGGAAAATCCTTGAAAGCCGTTAACAAGGGCGATGTCTAACTGTAGAATTCTCTGCTCGGTGAAGCACATATGGCAGGGCCTCTCTATGGACTGGTGTTTCCCATTTCTTGTCTCATTGGACTATATGGTTTTCTTTAGAATTGTCTCTTGCTGCTGTGAAGTAATGAAACTGAGTCTACCTAGCCACAAGTCACCCAGTCCCTCAGGGTTCCTGCCTCCGAGTCTGCAGTCTAAGCTGAGAAGGCCCCCTAGATCAAGTCCACATCAGTATTCTCCATCCAGGAACTTTCCCACCCTTCCTAGACATTGGCCATCATGTACCTGTTGCCCCCCAGAGAGTCCTGGAGCAGGCGAGTAAGCTTGGAGTCCCTGTAGGGCACGTGCACTACCTTCTTGCTCTGGTCCCCCAAGGCGCTGATCACATTGCCCAAGGCCAGCTGCGGGAGAAAGTGCCTAGGCTCAAGAGTCATACTAGGAGGGCAGTGAGCACAGTCCCAAACATCTGTACCCTCCAGCACCAGCAGCACTCAGGCCTCTGATATGATAAACTGAGGCCTGGGGGTGCAGGAAGGAAAACCCAACAGGAGTGACTATGGGTGCCCCAGTTAGCAGCTCAAAGAGGACTGGGCAGCCATTGAAGTATACAGCCTGCTTGAGCCTGTGCCCTCTGGCTCCTGGGGCTGGTGACTCTCCATATGCCTACCAGACCACAGTTGATGGAGATGCCCTCCTTGGCCCGTTCACCGGTGGCCCCGGTCCGCTTCAGCCGCTCGGAGCCGGCCAAGTCCACAAAGTGAAACTTGGCAGTGAGTGTCTCATACTCGGTGCCCGTGGGGGCTGCTCCATCAGGAATCCCCGTCACAGTCTCGTTCACCTGCAGCGGAATGTGACAACTGGCTCACCCCAGCCCTACCTCCTGTTCCTCTACTAGCCTTCCACCCCACAGCATCTCCATCGGCAAGAGTAGGCTGCACAGCACCAAGCCCCCCTGTGCAGAGCACCTGAGAGCAAACACTGTATTTGCACACACTATCAACGACCCCACTGCATAATGGGGTGAGAGGCTGAGGAAGAAGCAACTGCGAGTGGCAGAGGCACGCTCCATTTCCGGAGGTCTAGCTTAGCCCCATGTTTGTTCATCCAGTCCCTGGGACACACTTAGAGCATGTAAGAGCATGTAGCTCCTGGGTCCCCAAGAGCACCTCACCAGGTCAGGCTGGGCACACACTCGCATCTGGCACAGGTGGATGGTGAAGATGGCATGGGACCGGGAGCTCTGAACATTCATCTGGGTGCTGGCTGTGGTTCGTGACAGGGCGCCCTGCTTCAGGCACTGGATCAGCTGGGGACAGATGCAAAGAGAGCGAGCACTCAGGACCCGTGTGCTATAGGGCTGGGACCTTCAAAGATGCCCATGCATAAGAGTGCTCACCTCCTCCTGGGAGTTGATGAGCCGAGAAGTGACACCTGTGGTGTAGATGCCACCGTTGGCGTCCTCGTGGATCTTGATGTTGGACCTGCGGTGGCGTGCATCAGGGTCACGCGTACTATCAAACAGGTCAAGGATCTCCTCGTTGTAGAGCTGTGATGGGAAGGGAGCCATGGCTGCATTCGTATGGTACATGGTCCAGAGACCCAAGGGCGTCCTCGCATTTATATACCATCTCAATTTGCTAAAGTGGAAACAAGCTCTGGAGTTTAACTTGCTGAACCCTGATCCTCCTAGACAGTGCTATCCTGAGGCTGCACGTGCTGCTCTCCTCCCTGAGGAACAGTATCCAGCAGCTGTCAGCTCCAGAGGGAGACTGAGGACAAGGACAGAGGGATGCGGGTCCTAGGGATGAGGCATGGGGAAGACATGAGCCTGCGTTGGGAGGATCTCATCATATTGCCTGTCTGGCAGAGAAGGCACGAGGCTGTGGTTCCAGATGAAGGAAGACAAAGCTCTAAGAGTCCACAGAGACTGAAGCATCTTTGGATGGGGGAAGAATGGCTGTGTGTCTTGCCCAAGGCTCAGGAGCAGAGGGAGCTAGAATGGGCACTGTGGGCCAGCCTTCCGGAAGAATACTGTGCCAGGTGGTCAGAATGGCCAGCTCATTTCAGATGTCTGCTGAGGTAATTCCTGTGATTGGAGCTGTGGGAATGAAATGCTATGTTGTCAAAGGTGGCGGGGGGGGGCATTACCCAATCGAGTCCGATGGAGTCAGAGAGAGGGGGCACTGCAGCCCTCGAACGTCTGAGGCTTTGTTGGCCTTAAAGGGCAAAAATATCCCGCAGGAAGGGGAAGAGGAAACAGAAGGAAGAGATGGTGGAGACAGAGTGCCATGGGGTCTGTCTATCTTGTATTAGGGTAAACACACTGCATCAGTTAACCCCTTGTGGTTCACCCTTTGGCCTGAATTTGCTGGTGTGCTCTTTGAAGTTCTCCATGGCAACAGAATGGCAAAGGGAAGAAAACAGAAAAGCTCAATGACATACAGACAGCAAGAAACACACATTCATGTAAACAAACATGCACACACAAAGCACACAAACACACACGTACATACATGCATACTCACACTTATGCAACCACACATGAACACGCGTATGTGCGTGTGTGCGTGCATGTGTGTGTGTGTGTGTGTGTGTGTGTGTGTGTGTGTGTGTGTGTGTGTAAGCCAAAGGACTAAAATACAGGTCCCTTATGGGGAAGGTAGCAACCATGGGTGCAAAGGAATGAGACACTGGGGCAGTGTACAGGGGCAAATCTCAGCCCTGTCCATCCCTCTGAGGGCAAACAAAGCTCAGTTAAAGCCTCAGGGTTGGGAGGTGAGAGACCAGGGTGGTTCCAAACCCATTAAACACATCAGAGCAGGGTTCGTTGGGAGGGGAAACTAGATGTTGAGAATCAGAATGCCCAACAGCACATTTCAGAGGAACCGGCCAGGTTCCTGTAGGAAATATCAAGGTGGATCACCTTCCTGGACTTTTAACCCCAAGAAGGCCATCTTCTGGACAGAGCACCTACTGAGTTGTCAGCACGGCCCAAACGTGAAAGAGCCCGGAGAACCCTCATGTGCTCCCCAAAGCTCATGGCTGCACAGTCCAGGCTGATACCTCCCAAAGCTGCAGGGCCAGAATAAAGGAAAGGCCCTGCTGGAGACCCTTCTGTCGTGAGAGGCCAGGATGTATCTCAGTCCAAAAGATACAGGCAGGTGCTTGGAGGCAGAGGACAGGCTTGGTGGGGCAGAACACATTGACAGAAGCAGGGCTCTCACCACGTACCAGACTCACTAACCCCTATAGAAAGAGGTCAAACCAACTTTGCAGAAATAGTTCTGAGTGGTCTTGTGGGCTGCCTGCCTAGGGCGGGGCCAGAATCAGTCAGGATCAGAGGAGATCCTAAGCTACATCAGTTACCCACAAGAGTTTCCTAGCCCTTGCTTAGCAGCCTCTGTGGATGTCTTCATGTTCCCTATGCTCATTTCTCTGCATGGCCTCAAGCTCCTGCTTCCATGGCCTTAGGCTCCGACACAGCTTCTTTCCAGCCACCCTCCAAGGCCATGGTACCTCCAGGAACTGGGCGCTGACTTTGAACTCAGGCCCAGTCACGCCCTGCTCTTGTGCCCGCCGCTTGCGTTCGTCGATGCCCCTGAAGAGGTGTGCGATGGCCCTTGGGATGATGCCCTGCTCCTCTTCTGATGTCACTGTGTCGAAGCCGGTGCCCATAGTGTATGTCTTCCCAGCCCCTGTCTGCGTCGGCAAAGACAGAACGCAGGTGGTGACCAGTACTCTCTGGGGAACCAGCAAGCCTTGGCTTGGGCCAAACCTCTTACCCATTACCCCCAGCCAAGCTGTCCCCGTTTCAATCCAAGAGCCATACCCTACAGAATTCTCTGACAGAAACCTAAACAGCCATGCAGCCATAACTCAAATGCCAGGCAAAGCTGCACAATTGGGCCTAGACTGACTGCTCTCTGGTGGGCCTCTCCCCCTCACTGGGTGGGGGAGGCAGGTTGAAATGGCCACTGGTTGGGGCAGGGGTGGCTTACCTGTCCATAGGCTAGCACCGTGGCGTTATAGCCCTCAAAGCAACCTTCTATGAGCTTGCTCACACAAGTCGAATAGATCTGCTCCTGCCAGGTGTCCAGGTCAAAGACAAAGTCATAGGTGAAGGCCTTGTCCTTCCCCAGCAGAACCTGGGGCTCCCCAGGGGTGACAGAGGTACAGATGTGACAGCCTTCAATCTTCTCCTTTGACAGCTGGGGCCTGATCCTGTGCAGGGTGGAAAGAGCTGCTGGGTGGAGGTGACAGGTCCTCCTCTTGCTTTACCAGACACATTTCTATTTACCCCACAAGCCAGGAAAGGAAGTAAGGTAGGAAGCCCCAGGGAACACTCCAGTAACATATATATATATATGTGTGTGTGTGTGTGTGTGTGTGTGTATACACATATATATATGTATGGAGAGAAGAGTCACCCAAAGCCGTGGTTACTAACATTGATTGAATGCTTGGAACCCTGACTGATACATATATATATATATATATATATATATATATATATATATATATATATGAGAGAGAGAGAGAGAGAGAGAGAGAGAGAGAGTCACCCAAAGCCGTGGTTACTAACATTGATTGAACGCTTGGAGCGCTGACTGTCTGTTAAGTATGTTCTATATAAATGAACTCATAGGTTCTACATTGTAAACCCACAAGGGATCTATTTATTTGCCTGATTGTCCGCTGTACAACCTTAGGTCAGTCATTGAGACAGAGGCTGACAGCAACTCAATGACTGGCCCAAGGTTGTACAATGGAGAGTGAAGGGGCCAGACCTGGGTGAAGGCGCCCCTGCCCCTCAGAGGCGTCAGTATCCTCTTACAAGGAGATAATAGCCCATTCTGGAGAGACACAGCTTAGGGCAAGGTTGGGGAGAGAGGGACGGGCTAGGTGACTCCACACAACTCTGGATCACATTCCTCTGTGCCAGAGGCCGTTTGGGAGAAGAGTCCAGCACCTAGAGAGGCTGCAAGGGTCTTCAGTGCAGCAGCCACCTCCAGGTGCCAAGGCCTAGTGGCACTCTCAGACACAAGTTCTGGTTCTTTCCAGGAGCTGAGGGCAGCCTAGGTCAGGTGAAAAACACCCTGTCAGGGCAATGAAAAGGGGTGCTGAGCCAGCTGCAGGGTGGGCCCATGTCCCAGATCCTGCCTCAGAGGAGGAACCCCTATTAGAGGGAGAGGTGGCACCGGTACCTTGTGGGGAGCTAGCCACAGGCAGAATGTCTCCATCCAGCCACCCCTCACATCCTTTTCTAAGCTGCATCACCATGATGAGGTCCCCATGGCAACCAAGCATGAGTCAGTAAGCATGCGTGCAAGGACTGGCAGAAAGCACCCTTCGGATATCCTAAGGCAAGGGTGGGGGTAGACTCGACTGCCGTGGGCTCACACAAGCGGCCCCATGGACTGTGCACTTACAATAAACTGCTTGTCAGGTCCCTCTCCCTAAGCCAACGTTTACCAAGAGAACAAACAAACAAGAGGGGCTAAGCCAGCACCCACTCAAGGCCCAGAGGCCCTAGCTGCAGAGCCCTGTGTCTCCAAGTCACCATCTTGCTCTTTTCCCAGTAGCCACAACCCCCAGAGACCCACTCAGAGCTTTCAACTGGGTGAGGAGTTCCCAAGCTGCACTCTGCTGTGGATGAGAGGACTGGGAAAGGGCAGGCATAGGTGTGTGTGTGTGTGTGCGTGCGTGCGTGCGTGTGCGTGTCTGTGTGTGTGTGAGCGTGCGCGTGTGCATGTTTGTGTGTGTCTGTATGTCTGTGTGTCTGTGTGTCTGTGTGTGTGTGTGTGTGTGTGGTGAGCACTCAGACAAGTCTCTACCCATACGTAGGAGTCTGGCTTTCTTCAGAAGTGTTTTCTGTGAGGTATAAACAGTCACTTTAGTGAATGGCTCTCTCCAGAAATGGAAGCCCAAAGGAGTCCCCGCTCTTACATAACTGTCAAGAGCCATACTAAGATAGGAGCCCAGCTTCCAAGCCTCTTACCTGCTCACCTGAACTGGTTCCTGACAGAAAGGGCAAAATTGATTCTCTTACATTCACTCTGAACTTCCAGATCAGAACCCCATCACACACCGCCCCCAAGACCTCAGGGCCAGCAGGCTCCTTCCTTAACTTCTACTTCTGCCTGAACCACTGCAGCCGATACTCAGAGCTCACTGCACTCCAGGCAATCAATGCCTATGAACTGACACATCTTAACTCTTGTCCTTACAGCAACCCCTGGGGGTCATTACTAGTGCCCTACTGACAGATGAGGAAACCAGGGCGCTGTCATTCAGAGTCACAGACAGTGAGGAACCATTCCAAGACCAGGCAGGCTGAATGAACTAGCCCTTCCACAGCCCTGTGGTAGGGCTCGGGAGAGTGGAGGGAAGCCTCAGACACCCTGGGAGCGCATGGGCAGCTGTAGAGAATGAGGCATGGTATAGCATAGACATTGGAGCTTTGGCTCTGCCCTGGGCCTGTGGATGCCTCCTCCCAAGCACATGGGTGCTCTCTGGTGAACTGACGGGGCAGCCTGGGAGGACCCTCCGACTGTGTAGACCAGCATGAGCTCCTGAAGACACCCTCCCCACCACGTGGCAGCCTGTGATGGGATTTCTGGATCCAGTTCAAATACCATTTAATTACTGCAGGCAGATGGCAATGCCGGCGATTGGAGAAGATTGAATCAACATCCCTGGAGACAGGGGGAGCAGGCCTGCTGTCAGAGGCCTCCCAAGGTCTTCAGTGGCCAGCCCCCAGAGCATCCACGGGGCCAGTAAAAAGAGAGTGGAGGAGAGCAGTCTGGGAGTGTACACAGGGTCAACCTGGGCTTTAGGTACCAAGAGTTGTGAGCTCTCCCTGGGATTCTACTTTCAGTCTAAAGCATCCTGATATAAGGGGTTCTGTACCAGAGAGCCATCTAGCCTCTTGCTAGCCTATTCAAAACACCAGGATGCAATCTGTGAAGCAGTTCTCCTAGGGGGGGGATAGGAGACAGAGGACATAGGCCTTGGGTGAGTCACTAATTCTCAGAACAAATGATCTAGAAGAGGGAGAGTGTGTCAGTCTTGTGGCTAGTGAGCGGCTGTGGAAGCCAGCAAAGAATGAAGATCTCACAGATGCCTTCCCATGTGTGGGTAGTGGGCCAGCCAGCACCCACTAGTACTTCACCTTGCTGCTTTATGAGTTAGGGTGTCAATCCCCACTTCCCAGCAGGAACCATGGCTAAGTCACTCAGGTAGTAAAACAAGAAGGCCGGCCGGCATTCAGCCTCTGCCCAGGCTAAGACCACAGGCATTCTCCTACCTCTCCCTAAAAACTCCACCCCCACCTTGCTAGAAACGTCCCCCCTCCTGCCACTGTCGGGGCTGGATTAAGCACTACATGTCTATTCAGACAGCGCCAACCAGGGAACGGGCTGCCCTGCCCTTGAGGGCACGCTGGGCTGTGACAGCTGAGCTCATCTCTGGTGCCTGGTGGAGATTTTGAACCCTCAGCCCAACAGGCCAGAGACAGGAGACTTTGTCATGCCTCTGCCCTCTCCTTGCCTAAGCCTCCGCCTGCACTTGGATTACGCGCACCTCTCAGTTTGAGCTTTTTAAGAACTGCATCACCCTCACCTCCATCCACTGGCCCCGCCCTGGATGACGTCACTTCTGTGGGTGGCGCTCAGAGAGGTAGTGACCTATAGGAGGAGAAGTTACTCTATAGCTGTGGGAGGAGGCACAGAGGGCAACCACTCAAAGCTACATTCTTCCCAGGGGCGTGGCAGGAAGGGTCAGGGGTCAGCTGCCAGGTTCTCTCAACTGAATGGTGGTCCCTGGGATCTACCAACCAGGCCGGGACTAGGAAGAGGCACACATCTCAAGACAGACATGAGAAGGACAGTCTCAGCTGATCAGGACAGACTATCTGATGATCCAGATGTGCCACACCTAGACATATTTCAGAAGGAATCAAATGCAGGTGAGCAACAAGCCTGCACGTCCATGTTTACTGGGGATCTTTTCAGAACGGCCAAGTTATGGAATCAGCCTAGGTGCTTGTCAGCAGATCAACTGCCAAAGAAAACGTACATATATACAACGAAATACTATTCAGCCATTACGAAGAGTGAAATTGTTATTTGCAAAGAACAGACTGGAGATCCTCTTGCTTAAATAGGGCCCAGGAAACCCTAACCACTTAAAGGAAAAAAAAAAAAGACTTGAAAAGGGAAAAACAAGCAGAAGTCAGGAGGAAGCATTAGTGTAAAAGAGCAGGTCCAAGATCAAAATGCATGAGAAAGGCATGATTAGAATAAAAACGCAACATTTGAAACAATTAAGTTGGCATCCTGTGGCTTCAGGCCAGTTGCCTATTATTATCAATGAAGGTTCTCAGCCTAAAAGATCCTGTGACATTTCTGCACAGGGACAGTGTGAATCTCACTACAGACCATCCCTCTATCCTTTTTCTTTGCCCTGTTGGAAGGGAGGGCCTTGAGGCCCTCTTTGAAAACCCCCTCCCCTTCCACCCATCCCCGGAATCTCCCAGAACAGAGCCTGCCTATTCGCCATTTGGCAAACAAATGGCAGGCAGGGCGGCGCAGTCAAGGCTTTTCAGAGGCAGGATCTGGCACGGTGGTTGAGGTCGCCGGGCTTCCTCTGCTCACAAACGAGCAGTGGCTGGCGTGATGTGGGCGGCTGCCCCCACCCCTGCAGCGCTGAGCGGCAGCAGAGAGACTTAAAGGCCGGGACAAAGGCGGCCAGCCGGAGCCGGGGACACGGGAAGAGCTGAGCTCAGCGGTTCCTTGGCTCTTAGGGAGCAGGACAGGACGGAAGCGAAGGGCAGAGGACACGGTGAGGGGGAGGCCGGAGGATGCTGAGAGGCTGCCACGGGCAAAACACACTCTCTGCAGAGGGTAATAACTGAGTGTATCCGGGCACGTGCCTGGGACCCCACACCCAATCCCAAAGTTTAGAGGGAGCCTCACCTTACAGCCTCTAGTGACATCATACAACGCCAGCCAATCACCCCTTCTAGAAGATCTGGGTGACCTTGGGCTCCTAGAGGTTGGTTGTGCTTTTTTTTTTTTTTTTTTTTTTTTTTGGTGAAACTAGTCCCACCCACTCAGCTAGTGGCTAGGTGCCTCCCAGAGTTCTTAACCTACTCTCTTCAGCTAAGGTTTCCAAGGGTGCAGTTTTTTGCCCTTAAAAAGGATTTTCACTGATGAGAAATT